GTATAAGTATTTAAATATAAGTATGCTTAAATAATTTAAATGCTTAAATTACTTAAATTACTTAATTAAATTATTTATTTAGCAATACTTTAAAGCTTTAAAGTATTTAAATGCCATGCTTTAATTAATTAATTATTACTTTAATAGCTTCTTTCTCATGGCTAATGCTAAACGCCACTCTTACTTAATAGCAATCGCCACTCTCTTAATAGCAAGGCTACTTTTACTTAATAACAGGGCCACTTTTGCTTAATAACAAAGCTACTCTTACTTAATGATAAGGCTACTTTTACTTAATAATAAGCGCTACTTTTACTTAATAGCAAGGCATTATTATTATTAAGGTTATTATTATTAAGGTAAATCTTATAATAATTAATTATAAGGCAAAGGGGAAGGAGAAAAAAAACATTTTTTTATTATGCTTATAAGCTAATAATTAGCTTTTAAATTATTTATTCATAAGTAGTGGCGCTTAAATGTTATTATTGCTTAGCAAACTAACTTATATTAATTTTAGGGTAATTTATGCTTAAGATCTTATTAAAGGGCGTTAATAAGAAGGGCATTAAAAAGAAGGAAGGTTATACTTATTAATTAAATATTAATTATTATTAAAAAGTAAATATTTTAAAGATTTAATTAAGTTGTTTATATGGCTAAATTAATAATAAATATTAACTATTCTTTTTAATGATTTTAAGTTAATTAAGTAAATAAAATAATTGCATTAATAGCTTGTTTGCTAATTAATACTTTAAAGTATTTAATTAAGGGTATTAATTAAGTATATAAATTGCTTAAAAGAAATGTTATTTATTAATACTTTAAAATATTTAAGCGCCTTATGCTTTATTAAGTGCTTAGCGAGGTTTTTAAAGGGTTATAAGCCCTAAAGGTATTGCATAAGTGCCCTAAAAGGCGTTAATTGCAAATAAGGGCTTCTTAAGAGTGCCAAGCAAGGGCTTTTTAAGGGTGCTAAGCGAGGGCTTCTTAAGGGTGCTAAGCAAGGGCTTCTTAAGGGTATTGCAAGGGAGGCTTTTTAATATAAGGATATTGTAAAAGGGCTTTTAATAAGCTAGGAAGGTTATAATGGCTTAAAAATATTGTGAGAAAATATTTAATATAGTGTTTTTAAGCATGCTTAACTAAGGAGTTAAAAGAAGTTAGCGAAAATAAATGCTAATATATATTTCTGCTTAAGGCTAGCTATTAACCTTAAAAGCTATTATTATTAACTTTGCTTAAGGCATAATAAATGCATATATATTAAGGGTAAGGGAGTTTGCTATAATTTCTTACTATAATAATTACCTCTTTATATATTAAGTATTTATTAATATTATAAACCACGCTATATAAATTCGCAATATGCAATAATTATTAATTAATATAATTGCTTTTAATTAGCTATTTAAGGCCATTGTTAACTAAGAAAAGATACCCGTGGTTTGCTATTAGCAATAAAGTTAAACTGCTATTAAAGCAAGGCTATCTCTTTAAACCTAACTATTTATAATTACCCTAGCAATTATTAATTAATATTGGTTTAGCTTTCGTATAAATGATAAATAAATAAAGTATGTAATTAATTTGGCTATGGTATAAAGAGTAGGTTGCAGCAAAGCTATAGCCTTTCCCCGTTTAGCTATAGGCTAGCTATGGTAATCCGTGTGCAGGGCATATAACTGCCAGCTAATAGCTAGCTAGCACCGGCTGGCAGCTGCTATTAATAAGATTAGTTTAAACCTTGTACCTCCAAATCTATGCATTACCTGCAGCGCACCTACTGCATGGGCACGCTGCATATAATGCCCATATATACTATTCCCACAATTTAATAAATATTAATATAAATATTAATAATAATAATCTTTATTTATTTAATATTAATAATAATTTAATAATTGTTAATAATAAAGATAATTAAAATTAAGTTAATAAAATCTTAATAAAGATTATAAAAATTATTAATAACTTTATTATTATATAAGATATTAAAAAAAATAAGCTGCTTATTAAAATTAATAAGCTAAAAGTTATAATTATAGCTTAAGTTAAAGTAGTTTTTTTAAATAATATTATTATAATAATTATTATTTAAATTATTAATAACTTTTAATATTAAAATAAATAAATATTTTTTAATAATATAATTAAAAAGTTATATATTTATATTATTATATTAAAACTTTTAATATACAATTATATAATACTTTTAATAATAAATATTATTAAAATAATTATTATTTTAAATATTAAATTATTATAATTTTTATAATAAAACATTTAATAAGAATTTTAATTTTAAATATTTTTTATATATATTAAATTATAAAAATTAAGTTATTAAAAAGCTAAATTATTATATTAACTTAAATTTAAAACTTTTTATATTAAATTATTAATAAGTATATATAAAGCTTATATATAAAGAAATTTATTAAGAAATATATATTATTATTTAAGTAATTTAAATAAAAAATAATAAAGAAATTATAAAAAATAATAAAAGGTAAAAAAAGAAATTAATAAATAAATAAGTTATTTATAAAACTTAATTTTAAAAAGATAAATAATAATTAAAAAAAATTAATTTAAAATAATATTAATTATATTTTAATAATAAAATAAGGATAATTTTAATAATATTCTTATTACAAAAATATATTGTCACGAAAGGGAATATAGAGACAAGGCAGCTGTCCTTAATACGTTAATTTAGATTAAGACGGCGCTACCTTTTATGTAAGGAAGAAGTCTTATGGAAATCGCAAGGCAAGGGTTTTATGCCTGAGGGGTATGGGGCCCAGAGCCCCAGTGAATGCCTGCAGTTAATAGGGTCCTTCACCCATACACCCACTCACATATATAATAAAAATAAATATAAGTTAAAGAATTTAATATTAACTTTATAAATATTAATTTTCGTTATAAAAAAAGCTAAAATTAAAGTTTTTATAAAAAAGTTAATAATTTTTATAAAAAAATAACCTTAAAAGCTAAATATTAAAAATAATAAGCTTTTATTTAAGATTAATAAATATAATATTTAAAATTTAAGGAATAATATAATAATAAAAGTTATATAAATTTATTTTAAAATTTATAATAAGCTATAATTTTAAGTTACTTGAATAATACTTATAATAAAGATTATATATATTTAATATATAATAAATTATTATTTTAAATTAATTATAATAAAAATTATATATACTTATTAAAAAAAGAGAAAACTATAAGTATTAATAAATATAACCCTTGCCTTTACTTAATTACTTTAGTTATTCCCTATAAGGCACATAGCCTCTCAGAACTTAAATAGAACAATACCAATAAACAATTGCTTCCCCATACGATTATCATACGTACGAGAGACCTACCAACAGATATCACTTGCTCGATCAGTGTGTTCTTACAACCCCCCTCGCTGTGCAGCATAGGCAGCAGCTTGCGCAGAGCTATACGATCTGAACGTTGGGTCGGACATCCCGGGGCTCTCGTCCTTGCTGGGCCCAAGTGCTGAAGTGTGAGAAGACATGTAGCACCTAATTGACCTTGACAAACTGTTCTGAATGACGCAACAGGTTCTGAAGATATCCTTTGAAGTGATTTGTAGCGACTCATCTAATCGGTCTGAACCCTTGAGCGCTGCTGCCTATCAGCATTGCCGGAGATGGTCTCCGTGATCTGGTGAGTCACTCCTGCAACTAGACTCGGACTGAACTGCCGGAGGCCGATAATCGCAAGAACTACGTTCTGACTCTTGAGTATCTGACCTTTCGCTCAACTCAGGTTGTCAACAGATAGGCTTTCTTTTTTTCCAGGGGAAGAGGCTTATGTTGAAGGGTGTAAGTGGTACTGCAGCCAAATAGCAGTTGGCGGCTCGAACCGCTGCATTGCAAACCTTGAACGTATTTATGTGACTAGACTTCCACATCTATTTAGATTGACGATAACGATCGGCTACCTCACAATCACCTCATTCGATTCAGAAATATCCTCATACCCCTCGAACTGGTCTTTTTACAACGGAAATTTGTTCGCCTAACCGAAAGTGTATACAAACTTCATTGTTTGTCTGTCACAAAACTCCGATCACGAAGTGTTCGTAACAGTCTCTCTGAATATCGGCTGCTAATCTAAGAATTTTGATAAAAACAAGCAGGGCGAGGTTTTTCTCGAGCAGGGCGTCCTTGGATTCGAAGACATTCCCAAATTCTGTGACCGCCGAGAAGGCCTCTCGGCCCAGTTTGTTGGCAAACTCAGAAAGTGAGCGATGAGTGAGCTTGCGTTGCGTTAACAGCTCATCGTATAGCTGAATATCTGGACAGCGGTGGTTGCTGTAGTTCTCCAATTGATAAAATTAGCGCGGTTAATGCCAGCATGTAGCATGGTCGTGGATACTCCAGAGAATCAACCCCGAGCAGGGACGAGGATGAGGATAGGACGGCGAGGTGCCCGTAGCTAGGATACATGGTAGCTACGAGACTCAACATCAAGCCATCCGCCAAGGTAGATGCGGGCTGGGTTCCTAGCACTTACTCATTTCGACTCCGAATGACTGGATAGCCAAGAATGACCGCACCGCTGATCGGCACCGCGCTTGTCGCCGGTCTGCCTTGCTGGTCTTGTCAGCTCCAGGGATATGACAGGATACCCGTGCGGCTTTCGCCCGTAGCGTAATACGAAACACGGTGGCCTATCAGCAACCACGGCCCAGCGCCTTAGTTCAGCTGACTTGCAGCGAAGCTGTCTCGAGATTGGCGTCTCAAGGGAGCAGATCAAAAGAATCTCGTGGTTCTCCCAAGTTCCGCCTAGTGGCGGTCGTCAAAGAGGGTTCCGTTGCCTATAAAAGCCTGAGCGCAATACAAGCCTTCCGTCACCTTCGACGTTTACGTATGCACCTGTATTCTCTAGCTCACTGCCCTTCAGCTTCCATTATACGACTGCATATCAAGTACTTCTTCCAAATATCCCCATAGTCTTCGAACACAATGGCATATGCCTCGAGCGCCAATCCGCAGACAGTGTCTGCCAAGAAGCCCAAATATGACACAACGGATATGGAATGTTGTACGTATAGGCCTTCCGAGTGAAGACAACTTCGGTCTCCCTTGATATGAATTTTTAGCCAGTGCAGGCTCCACAGGGCATTTTGACTAACGTGTCGTAGATACCGAGACCAACGGGGTCATTACTACTACAATGTTTGACGTCCCCGGGGTAAGCAACGCTCTGATGTCATTACCTTGGCTCATATACCGTCTCTCGGAACACCGTGCTTGTTGGTCCCTCCAAAGAAAACATAAAATTGACCAAGTTCGTCAGTATCGTGTCGTGAGAGTCCTAGGAACTGTTTACGGAATGACAGTACGCACTAGGAACTGGGCTGCAGGCATCGGCATGGGGCTGAAAAGCATGGTGGGCGGCGAGCTGAAGTGGTTCACAAACATGGTGAGTGGTCTCCCAGCCCGAGATCTGCTCTACATCACAGGGGCTAATACCTTGTGCTCAGATGTATTCCGCTCGTAACGAAGCGGTCTCTCGCGTGGTAGATGAGTGCCAGAAGCGGCAGGGCAATGCAATCATCGCAATGCGCTTCGACGTCGCTGATTTGGCTGGATTCACGCAAGTTTGCGCATATGGAACCGCGGCCTTGGTAGAGAAGGTTGACGCGAACGCTGCTGAGGCCCCACAGCTGGCGAAGACCACCTGATTTGGTATTCGGACCCAGATCTTGGAAGAAAACTCGAAAGATGAGCAGGAAAGCGTCGATTTCGTGTTGGTGATTTTAGACTGATTTCGGAACTGAGTCTCCAAATATGAGGAACGTGTAAGTGAATGCTAATGCTCCATATTGCCCCTTCGATACCAAAAACAAATGTTGAACAATTAAATGACGCATTAATGATCGATCCCCTACGCGTGTTTGGATGTACAGTGATTCCTCGAGAGATTGGCGCCTTCGTGAGAGTTGAAATCCATCCTTCTGCGCATATCCCATGAGCGGCTCCTGTTATGAGTCGAGCCCTCTCTCTTTCATCCCTTTGATATCAGAACGAGCTGTTGTTTCGTCGACAAATGGATACCAGAGAGTTGTGTGACTGATGCATTGTCCCGATTTCTTATGTCATGCTGTGACGGAGTTGACCTTGCGTAAAAGCGTTCCCGGTTGTTCTATTTGTGTCGAGCTGCCCTTGAAAGGGGATTTAATCGCTTGAAAAAGCTCGGTCGCTGTGACAATCGAGCTTCTGGGATGGTATCTAGATTTTGAATGAATTTGTAAGTGTGTGTGAACAAGTTAAATTATGTTTGCATAAATTGTCTTGCCCACCTAACAAAATCGAGCACCGACACGGACATGAAAGATGGAGGGTCTTACCTTTCAAAGAATACTCGGAGTCTGTACTATATCCACTTTCATCTTTGCTCGAGTGTATTTGCTTGGCAGGCGTTTGACGTTTCTGATTTGAAGCCCAGGTTGGAAAGACGAAGGTGGTCGATGGTTTGCTATCTTTCATGGCAGCCATGATGAAGCCAATTTCCATGCTAGTGTTCGCCATTTTCAAAGAGCCGCTTTGGTGTCGGGTAAAGGAGCGAATTAATTATTCTTTAGAAAGGAACAGGCTCAGAAGTTGAGAAGAGATCCGAATATTGGTTGGAGTTCACAGATGGAAGCCGAAGCATATATACCCATTCGCTCCTTTTCACCATGCGCGTCTTCAAATCGAGTCATCGAGCACCGTCTCGCAAGTCCGAGACCGCTTTTCACGGTGTCCAGTCATACTTTTCCCTAGCTTCTTCTTAGTCCGCTGCACGCCGGTGGTGAAAACCACTACCCGCGCCCTGTGTTGACATGATGGCAAGAAGCAGGTGAGAGCCGAGCACCGAGCGCCGGGAGCGCTCCCGATTTGCTCAACCGCAAAGGTCCTGAGTTCGGCTTGGCGCAGGCACTAAATGTCAGTGTCGTGGTTCGGCTTGCCATATGACACAAGACTGTTCGCTGCTGCAAAGAGGAAATTCTTTTTTGAGTAAACAGTGATCTTAGGCTCTGACAGCGGCGATGTTAATTGGGCGGGCGGTTGTCAGAGTCTCATATATTGCAGGAGCGAGCGCTCACATGAGACCATCACTGGCATAGTTAGCAGCCCACCCCAGTCAGTTCACTTGAAGAACATGCCTGAGACTATGGGTTTGTCGTTCGCAGAAGATCACGTCCTATGTGACTATGGTTGAAAATTTCTGAGCATATAATTAAATCAGTTGTGCCTAGCAATATTATGATTGTCTGCTTGGGCGGTCTTACTCGTGGTTCTTTCCACCCTGTGATGGAAGTGATGTTGGGTTTTACGATTCATGACAATCACACTGAGCCTCATGGTCCCTCCGAGGCCAGTCTACTTCCTCTTGTTTGACTGTGACGATAGGAATGTGCCTCGTGCATACGCCATGTGAGTGTCTACACGGCAAGTGACTTGACAACGGTCAAACACCCTGGGAAAATGATGAGCTTCTAAGCCTGCAGTGAGCAGCGCCAACTTAGAACAATACTAGTGATGTGAGGTTGGTGGAACCGAGCCTCGTCATAGAGCCGTATCTCTCAGTGTAACATTTAGCTTTCCCACGTTTCTAACCTTAAACACAGTGCCATAGCTTGCTTCATGGGCAGTATACGCTCAAAACATCATATTGCGGACGACGGACAGCCCTACTTGCAGCACATGCCTGCGCTCCGGGCTACGAATAGCGTGAAAATGGGAAGAGACACACAAGCCACTGCATGAGATGGCTAGCTTGCAAGTGCCAGTCAATGATATAATTCGTTTAATGTGAAGTACTAACATAAATATTTTATAAAGCTGACCTCATTGATCCATATTTGTAAACCAGAGGGACAACTCCACGCGTTGGTTCCATAGACGCCGGCGCTAAATATCGACACTCTCCTGGCTGTATGGGATCTCAAGGATGCAGCTTCAAGGAATAATGCTGTCTTGGGACGTCGACGAGACTCGACATGCATACCACCGACCGGCAAAAGTATATGAGAGCATTATAGAAGAGTGAAAAAGCAGTGGAAGTGGTTGGTCACGACGATCCAAGAGAGACAACCAATAAGAGGCACGACCAAGGCCGATCCGACCAACACTGCCCGGGGAGGGCCCAGTGGGATGTGAACTCATCGAAGCGTATGACGGTGGCATGTTTCTCGACACACAACAGCCCACAAAGGACAATCATGGACCCATAGGTGAAGATTCGAGCGGTTGGGTCAAAGGCAGGCGGGATCGAGGCCAGGGTCGGGCTGCTTGGCATGCAACGTTAGCCGCCTTTCTCTAACGCTGGAAAGCTTGTCTCTCCCATGGGTCGGATTGACTTTCGAGATCGAAGCTTAACCGGGCCGCCGCGATCTAGCGAGGACTGAAACCACAGGTGCTATTCACCATCTGTCAACGTAGCAGGTAGAGTGCAGCAGGCAGCGGGCAGGGATTGTGCGCTGTGAGCGATGATGGAGTGTGAATTTCTGCTGAGGGGAGCGGGAAAGGATGAAAATTGGCTGCCAGATCTGGCCGTACCGTACCACAGAAAACGTCAGACGTGAGACGTGGGGCACGGGCCAACGGGCTGGGCAGGGAAACCGTGGCGGTTTCGCCTGGGGCATCAGGGGCTTCTCTTTTGGTGCTCACTCAGGCCTCTGCACCGCCAGGCACCGCTTCGTCCCGTCGGCGTCGTCTCATGTTGCACCCGATTCGTCTCGTCTGGACCCCGGCTCCAGGCTGGAGTCCCAGCTGCGACATGTTCGTGCAACACGTTCATGCATCACCATGGGCGGTCCCGCACGCTGCAGCAGAGCCACTGGGCTAACGTGCGGGTGACGGCGGCGCCAATGTCTCGTTCGTCTCGTCCGTATTCCGTCCAACTTTGACTCTGCACACCCATTCCTGTTCTATTCTACCCTCCCTTTCCCACGTTTTGTTCCTTTTTGAATTCAATTTTGACTTTCCCCCGGAAACCTGCCAATCTCTTGAGCTTGTGACCGGACTCGACAAGTTTCAATTCGCGTGAAGGCTGTGCCTCTTTTATTCTTTGTAATACGGTCTTTTCTGTCGGTCATTCCCGGGTCCAAGCTTGCGATATCGTGACGGTTGAACCGCACCTCGGGTTCGTTGGATATTTTGGGAGAACAGGAAAAGAAAGGGAAGCCGATTTCGAAAGCAGACATAATCGTCAAATCCGCCGAGCAAGATGCAGAACCCATTCACCACCGCCATCCTCCTCCTGGCCGCCCTGTCGGCTTCGGTGCTCGCCTCGCCCGCGTCCGGCAGCGACGCCGCCGAGGGGAGCATCAAGGTCGTCTCCCGCCAGTTTACCGAAACCGTCCTCTCGACGCAGGCAGCATGCCTCCAGTACGGCATGATAGCCAACATGTCAGTCGTCGGGGGCAACAGCAGCTACCGCACCGTCTTCCTCGAGCAGAGCCAGACCGGCACCCTCGCGAACTCGGCCATGCTCAACAAGGCCATCCTCGTCGCCCCGAATCTGACCGCCGATGTCGAGCTCAACCAGGCATGCGGAAACTTGACCGCGATCGCGATCCAGGAGGCTGCCCTCAACTTCACGCAGGGCAAGGTGGCCCAGTTCACCTTCACCGGCACACCGGGCTCGATCGAGAGCGGACCGATCATCATCGTCGTGGTGCTGCTGTGCTTGCTCATCCAGGTGGCCCCTCTGACGGCATTGTGATCGTGAGGTGACAGTCTGGAAGAACGGCATGGGTGGGGGGGGGGGGAGCGCGGAGGAGGAAGTTTACGGGTGCTGAGAACTCGGGGTATGAAGCCGGCGGCGGGAGGGTGCGAGGCACGGTCTTCCGAAGCCGGTCTGAGGGTTGAAGGCCATTACCAGATGGGATATTCATGCATTATGGCATTAGCAACGTCTGCACTTCTTGGTAGATGAGACTGAGGCTACATGCATCCAAGTCTTGCAGGGCCAATTTAACATCTGCCACTATTCATACAAGGTTCCAGACGATACCGCCAAGCTCAACAGAGGGCACGGTTGTTTAAATCCGGAAAGATCTAGGAACAATGTCTTCTTACATTCACACAGCCTGGTATGCCGTGGTGACACGGCGCTTCGAACGGGCACTTCGAAGCTTACACCGAATCAGCAGGACACCTAGGTCTGTTTTGGTGGTACGACAATTCTTACTCCTACGACATGGACGAAGTCAACGCAGCCACCGCTGTGTGGATACTCTGTAGCTGAATCATTTATTCTAATTTTATTTATTTCTCATGCGACAACACCAAGGATAGACTTGTACTCAGCACGAACTGAACCAATCTCGCAGCTAGATCAGCTGAATTGTTGTATTAAGCATTGCAAAACTCGCCTGCTGCGAATTCTCATGTAATAAGATTACCGAGCACGTCCATATTTCAACTTCTGAACACCCCTTTTTTGATCTTCAAACAGCCGAAATAGCCAACGAGTCTCGGCGTCACCATCGAGACTTCAAGAACAACTTCCCCGGTCTCCTCTTCTCGTATTACAAGTTTTCATCTCCACGGAGTTGTATGCTCAACTGCAAACAGTCTATTGGCCTCGTGGCCTTGCTCGCTTCAGTGACCTCAGCTCAGCATCTTCCGCCTCCTTCCAGGTTCACGAACCCAGGAAGATGAACATACCTGCGAGGGTATGAGGACCACCAGAACCGCGTAAAAGACTTCGCTGTCACTCCGCCATGCCGGAGAAGACTTGGTCGAGGCTCCAAAGTTTGCTTTCGAGATATCTCCAGACAGTTTTCACCCTCCTTGCTGGTTCGGACTTCTACAAAGGAACCACTGCAAGATTGAGCGACGCTAACGAAGTACGGCTGTGTCGTCGGTTGCTTCGATTTTGGCACCAGCGAAATTCACGACCATAACCCGCTGTGCCTCTTCGTTCCAGCGCAGATCAGACTCCACCAACGGCTCTCGAAACGTCACGCCGTGATTTCTGATGTCTTTAACCGTACGAATGATCTTCTCGCGTCGTGGCAAGGGCGCCTCGGAAAGAGGCGCTTCAGCCGAGGACAGGAGCAGAACCTGTTGGATCGGTCCGTCGTAAGTCGGGTCTCGCAAGCCTTTGCCGAGCGTGGCGAGGCCGAGGCAGAATGGGATACATTCGCCCGCGAGTTGCGAGCCGAGTCTCAAAAGTATGTCGGTCTCCATCAGGGGGCCGTAGGCAGGCTCTTTAGGATTATCAGAGCGCACAACGCCTTTCCCAATGACGGTGTACCCGTACGGAAGGACCACCCTAAGGATTGGGATGGACTCTCTTGAGACTATCTCGTACTCGGAGACGATACTCTCACGGTCCGGCTGGTTCTTCGGCACCTCCTCATCTCTCACTAGGCCCCACTCGTTCATCAAAGTCATGTCCAGCTTGCGAACCGCGGTGCCGAAACCCAGCCGTCGATGCTTGCTGAAGTTGGGGCAACTCGGGTCCGATCCAGCTGGGTCTGCTAGGCACAGGATGCATTCGAGTGTGCAGAGCCGATTCGTAAGGTCGCTGCTGGACTCCGGATCGTCAGGAAGCTGCGGTAAAGTTGCGCCATCCTGGTCGGTTCGTAGTCTTGTGTGGTCGTGTCGCTTGGGGGGTCACCTCCATGGTCCCCAGTGGAGGTAGTGCGAAGGGCAAGGCTTCGCTGGCTGAAAATGGGGCTGGGCCTGTTGTCGTGCTCGAGGTCGACAGGGCAGGTCGTATCGTGGCCAGTGACTGAGGTGGCTGCTTAGAAGTGATGTTGTCGTACACGCACATATCGTGGTGCCATCGCAAAGCGTCTCGGTTTGGGACGCTGGAGAAGTGCGCCTTCTTGCCCTCGTACGGGGCAATGCTGTCGTAGGGGCCGAAGCAGCGAACGGTCAGGGTGGCAGGCTCAACGGCGACAAGTCGGGCCTTCCACAGGGCGTGGAAGTGACCGAGAAGCACAATCCCGTTCTCTCGAGGGTCCCAAGTCATACGCCACTTCTCCGCGAGCTCGTCATCCTCTCCCCTTCGATGTCTGACTTGTCGATGGGGCAGACATCGAAATCTTGAGGGGGGATGATGTGGGAGATAGTAAGGCCAGGGTCGGACCACGCGAGCATTGAGTTCTCAGGCGTGTAGCGGCCGAGGCCAGAGATTGCGCAGCACCGACCGGAGGTGTTGGAGAGGGAATGGAAGCCCTTCATCGCCTCTTCGGCGCGCCACAAGTTCTGGGGAATCGTGCCCCGTGCCCGTGTGGTGCCTTCCCAGGTTCCGTCTTGGGACAGCTCGTAGGTTGGCGAGGGTTGCATGACCATTGGGCGGTAGCCTTCAGGCTTTGTTGCGACGACTTGTTGCACTCTGGAGCAGCATTGATCTGGATACCGGGTGCAGCGTCAAGTCAGCCGCGCTATCCTCACCCCTTTGTATGTCTTGGAGAGATTCGCAACTGGAGACTTACCAAGAACGTGATCCATCGCGGAGTGATCGTTCAAAGTTCCCGTGTCCTCGCAAGACTCGAGATGGCGCACAACGTAGTACCTTCCTTTCGCCAGGAGCTTATCGAGAGAAAAAGCCTCTCTGGAAAGTTGACCTCGATAGGGGTAAATTGCCCACACATGTTTCTTGTTGTTGCTTCTTTCGCTTGTCGCCGAGAAAGTCAAATGAAAAGACGCTTTCAGCATGTCTAGGGCTTCGGCGACAGTAAGCGATGAACCCTGCGGTACGTACAACCCTGCAAAAGTTTCGCCCTTCTCGTCGAGAAAGCCGACGTTTGTCCGCTTGCGTTGCATGCGGATACTCTCCTCCATTGTGGGTGTTCGAAAATCTCGGCCGAGAGTGCGAGCGCACGATGGGAACATTGAAGGTCGACGTGACGAAGTCGTCGGGCGGGATTGTGGGATGGTGTCTAAAGCGCGCCTGGAAACGCGACGGAAACAACGCACTAGACGCCAGGCTCTTGGGGGGTTGTCTGGCGACGAAGCAGAGGGATGAACTCGAGACGTTAAGGAAAGAACGAGTCCAACGGCCTCAATGCCAGTAGGAATCGTCGAGATGGATTAGGTGAGGAAGCTTGGGACAGGGTGGTAGGTAGATGAAAATGTCCATACGGCCAGGACACACGAGCAGGAAAGTACAGGTAGCGGCCACCCGACTGAACCTGGAGGCCCCATTCATAAATATTGCCGACGAAGGCTCTCGTGACCTCAGGTCGCCCAGCTTCAGCTCCCACGAGAAGCATCCGTAGGGAAGGCATGCTTCTGCTGTACCCACGCCCAGTACCAGCACGAGTAGGTGTCGATCCCAGAAGGTCCACGTGCGTGCCCTAAAGCCCAGGCGTTGAATTCGAACGGATTATATATTGAAACTTGAAAGGCTATATACCAACAAAGCACATGCCCACAACGCCCATACCCCCCGAGTCGACCCGTGACTCGACCTCGCCGCATCATTAGCCTCGTTCAATATCTTGGCGACGTTCCCAATCGTTGCGGGCATCATGGTCGTGTTGTGCCAGCTGCCGCTCGTGAAGTAGGTGCTGTGCACGCCCAGGTCGACCACGCCGTCGATCTGCTCCGTGAGCATCTGTATCGAGGCATTGGTCGGCCCGCGGAACTGGTGCACGATGACGACCGTCTGCGGCAGGAAGGCGCTGTTGTGCGGCAGCCCATCGCCCGTGGTGAGGTTTGCAGCCTCGAATGGCTCGTAGGGCATGGGGCAGTCCCACGAGACGCCATCGGCGTCCGGGTCGGTGGTGTAACATGTCTCCTTGGTGACGACGGCGGACGCCATGTTGAACAGCTGCGCCTCGTAATCCGGGTCCACGACGTGGCCCGCGTTGAGGATGACGCTGTACTTGCCCTTGCTCTTGCCCTTCGCCTCGAAGGTGTCGTTGGCGTAGGCTACCAGGTCCTGGTAGAGCGAGGCGTTGACGGGCGAGGAGCCGATCTCGTCGAACCAGAGCCCGTGGATGGAAATATCGGCATCCTTATTAGCGTCCCAGGTCGGCTCCTTGTCCCACCTGGACCACTCGAGAATGTCGGCCTTGACCTCGTCGGCCGGCCGCTGCCCGTACCTGGTGTACACATACCCGATGGTCTGGGCGTTGGACAGCTTGCTGATGTCGGCCAGGTGGGTGGTCCAGTCGCGGTTGCAGCCGTGGGGGATGTAGTCCTCATTGTCGACGTTGCAGTACCCCTCGTTGAACCCGGACGGGTCACTCGTGTTCTGAGGCCCGTTGTTTGGGTTGATAATAACGTAAAAGTGCATGTGTGGATTGTCCTTGATAGCGTCCACCGCGGCCTCCCAGTTTGGGTTTGTCCACGTCGTATTCCCAGGGTAGACATAAAGAGGTACCATGACATCGGTGCTGGCTACCACCATCGCAGCGAATGCCGCGAGGCCGAGCAAGGACCTCATGCTGCAGGCGGCAGTCCCGTGCAAGGGACGTGGAGACGTAGATTAAGATGATGGATGACCAGCATACATAATCCAAAGCAACCAAGGCGAATTGAATGTTTGCTCGCGTGGTTTGACTGGTGACCGGGTCTGCGGTTGGGCTGGGCCGGATGTTCGGGCTTGAGGCGCAACGAACAAAGAAGCCAATACTGTACCCCCGGCACCTGTCTCGGAATTGCCTAGCCGAAACGAAACACCAAGGGTCGTCGGCCTGACGGTGATGCGCTGCGCAGCGAAACGCTTGAAGCGCGATCAAGTTTGGCGACAAGGAGAATGGACTCCGACGGGCAAGGGACGGATGGACACGGATTGGAAGTTGAACTTGCCCGGGATGGAAGGAAAAGTTTAACGATCCATAAGGAAATCAATTCTATTCTACTAACGAACTCGGGCACGAGACACATTAAAGGGGCAGACGGCCGAGCAGAGCAGGGGCAGCTGGACTAGATGCTAGATGCCAGATGCTAGCTGCATGCTGCATGGTGCATGGTTCGACGGGCTGACTGGCTGACAGGAGGGTAGAAATCTGCTATCCCAAAGCGTTGGAAGCGCTCGTATCTGTGCGGTCTTGGCCTGCAGCTGACGGGGAGAGGCTGACTGGAAAAGGGTGAGTGAGACACACGGCCCTTGCCGTGCCAGTTCTCTTACTCACGAGTAGATGATTATTGTAGTCTAATGAGAAGAACAAAAGTATTCAGACAAAGCATCAAGCCCATCATCCAATCAGTCCAAACGGCCCCCTTGTGTTTCCAACGACGGGGACGGGAAACCGTTGGAGTGGCTTGAAACGGGCAGATCCTAAGACGCTGGAGAGAGTAGCAACGCTTGGCCCGCATGTGCTCATTGAACCAACATTCCCCACAAGCACGCGCGACTCTCGTATTCATCTCAATTCATTTCATTCACTCGCGCTATGATGAGTATGATGATTTATTTCTCACACAAAGAGTGTTATACTGCCGCCCAGTCGTTGCTCGTCATTCGTCCGAGGATCGCGGAATCCCACGCATCGGGCCGTTGTCCCACACATGCCTCCCTCGGGCGGTGGCAGGCATGCATGCGCCCACCGCAGCTATTTTGTGTCTGGTGACAGGGTAAACCAAACAGCATCCGGACCCTGCAGTGGCACTTCACGCCCCGCCGGTAACCGAAAGTTAACTCCATCAGATCGAGATATTACCGCCCAGACGGAGCCTATGGCACACGGGCCGCCTCTCTTTACTTTATTTTAACTTGACGTTAGAGTTGGCCTCCTCCTGCTGTGCTGCAACCTCGTCGACCACATAACGTACAGTATCCCCCTTCCCTCAGCCATTGTGCCGTCCGCCTCTGTGCTCCTGGCCGCAGTCGACGAGAAACGCCACAAATGTGACTATCCCAGTGACCCAGCGCAACCTGAGCGCCCACCCCTCACCAACTGAAATCGTCACTACAGACGGGAAAAGCAGGAACGAGAACCTGTCGCAGAAGTGATCTCTTGATTTTGGATGGCGTCTCATGTAGGGGACGACGTCGAGTACGGGATACCTGCACTGGCAGATATTGTCCGTCTCGACGCCGCGCACTTATCAATCGTCGCGGAAAGCGGCGGGCGGCCTCGTCTGCTGACCAGACCACACTTTCCTTACCAACACAGGAGAGCTCGCTTCGGTTCATGGTGACCCTTCACCCTCTTTCTCCGCCTGAGTCCGGCGCGACTGGGATTTCGACTCCTAAAGCAGGACCTCGGGCAGACACATGGTCTGCACGTCGTCGCGTGTGACAGGGGACGGTCAGTACAGCATTTTGGGCTGTTTTGGTTGAGTCCGACGCGCCGTGATTGCAGCTCACTTGCAGAGCACCTGCGAAGTCAGCTCGGGGTACCAAAACACAACCCACTGCTCTCAATCATCATCTTGTCCCACCGGCAATTGGCATATCCGCCCCAGCCATTAGAACCAACCTTCTCGCACTGCTTCTTCAGACGAGGTACCTGTTAAAGGGCCTGGCTTTGCTGGGGCCTTCACTTCGAGAATTGTATATACCTCATCAAGTTGATGATGGTCACGCTGTGTGATTCAGTCACGCTGTCCTGCTGCTCTTCTATACACACCCCAACACCACTCTACACGCCATATCCATCAGGGGGGTGCAGCCCGTCGGGTACCTCAAGGACGCTCGAATAATAATCCGGGTTGGCGCTGCCCGTCCACTTCTCCTTGACAGCCGGCAAGACCGTCCGACCGCTGGGGCTCTGCACCTCAATGTTGGGGGAGGGGTAGACGGGGAACGAGCCCCTGTCGTTGAAGACCCCGTCGTAGCTCTGGTTGTAGAACATAGAGTCCAGGGGTGGCGCGGAAGCATCGCTCCATTCCCTCACGACGTCGCCCGTCTTGTCGGCGACCCAGGAGAACACGTTGGCACCGGCGTCCCACCGCCCAAGGGTGTACAGCTCCCAGTTGGCCGATACCGTGGCGATTTCCGAGTAGTGATTATAGAAGCTGCTGTCCGTGGAGCCGACCAGCTCGGAGGGGATGGCGTCTCCGAGTAGGATGGCGAGTACGCGGTTCGTGAGCGCATACGAGGCGTTTTCATCGAATGCGATGAGCACGAGCTTTCGAGCATGGCTATTAGTAACATGTCACAAGCAAGGAATGGAACTAATCCATGTGTACGACGATGGCAAGAACCTACAGTGTTGTTCATGAAACGCGTGTCGGTTAGAAGAGGCTCGAGAAAGCTGCGAGTCCACTTGCCAGCGACAGTGACCGACGTATCGTGCCCGTCAGATGTCATGTTTGGGGTTATGAACATCCACTGCGGCAGTGTCTCGTTCGCCAGGTCGTCGTAGAACAGCGTCAGGTTCTTCATGACGCCCAGCCGGTCGGCGCGTTCCGAGTTGGCGCCGTAGATGACGGCAGGGTTGTGTTTCCGCACGTAGGCGTTGGCCCCGGTGACCTGGTTGACCCATTCCTTCCCCTCGAATCCGGTGCACGGCATGTCCTCTTGATACTCGCCCCAGGCAATGCCCTTGTCCTCCAGCAGGTCGACGATCGAGGAGACGTTGGCATCGACGGTACTGACAGCGTCGTTGTTCATGCCGAAGTAGTCACCTCCATGAGAGGCAATATAATTTGGCTCGGACGGGTGAGTCACGCCAAAGTAGTTGCTCAGCGTGATACCCTTGTCAGCCAGCCATGCCAGGTTGGCTGTAAACCTGTCTGTCAGTGTTTGGACGACGGAAGGAAACGGACTACAGAAAGGAAAAGAGGTGCTCACGATCGCCAACAGCCAGGTCATAGTCGGTATTCTCAAGCCAGATAACGGCAAGACGGTCAAAGGCCTTGCCCTTGACATAGCTGACGGGGCTGAGGGTGTCGGCGCCCGTCTGCTGCGCAACGACAGACCCCGCAGCAACCGCCAGGTGGTGGGCGACCTGGAATCTCATGCTGGCTCCTTGAAGAGGAGAGAGGGATGCAGACCGTCACCACAGGGCAAAAGACGTCGGGAGCCAAGCCAGCGGCCGGGGCGTGGGAGGACGGCGTGATCTATTTGTAGGTCGCCGTGCCCAGCCGAGCAAGGTGGGATGGTGACTGACCGAGTCCTATTGGGGCCCGTCCGAACTCGTGTCGATTTCACCCCGACCCCAACGGAGCGTTCCCGTACCGTATACCCAAATATTCATCCCTCGCGCCGAGCTACCCCTAGATCTGGAAGAGTTCTAAGGACTGTGCTAAAGTGAAGGTGGAGTGGGCCTATAGGTGAGTGTTGGTTTACAGGTGAGTAAAAACGGCTGCGCTCGGTTGGACTTGCCCTTGTGGCCGCCATCCTGGCTAGCCTGCCGCCGGGTGTGTGGCACTTACGCGGACAGAGGTGTGCAGTTGTGCTGGGCTGCTAGCAACCAGAATCCCAGAGCTATATGTAAATTGATCGGGATCCTTTCTCAGCTTTGGGAGATGCTGTGAAGAGTGAACTTCCTGGAGCCACCCATCCTGCCTTATGTGACGGAACCTGCTATGAATGTAGCGCCCGCAGCTACCTAAGTACCTTGCTTGTTTGGCTTATGTAAGCTCCCCATCGAAGCCGATATGTACGGCCCGTGCGTGCCTGCCGGGCAATTTGCACTACCTCCCATCTTGACTTAGGTAAAAGTTTGCGCGGGGAGTGATTAGATGTTCTGCAACAGCGTCAACATCTACAATGGGTACAGGCAAGAAGGAATCGACCCGAAGGACCCGCCAGGGTAAGACTGGACACGGTCTTGATAATGTGAAAATCAAGGGGGAAAATTTCTATCGGTCTGCGCCCTCTCCAAGCTGTGAAGCACACTCACTTGTTTGAAGCTCTCTTCTAACAACGCCAGCAGCACAGCTAAGCAGGCGAGACAACTGAAGATCGAGAAGAGCGGCAAGGCGCAGCGCAACGCCGATGGACAAATTACGCAGGCCGCTGCGTACCAAAGCCGAAGCATCCCCGACGCTCGCATCGAACCGAATCGCAAATGGTTTTCCAACTCGCGCGTCATCTCCCAAGACAGCCTAGCCGCGTTCCGACAGGCCATGTCAGAGAAGAAGGCGGATCCATATCGCATCCTACTTCGTACCAATAAGCTTCCGTTGTCTCTTGTGGAGAAAGAGAAGGAAAATGGCGTTGAGAAACATCATGCGAAGATGGCTATTGAGGCGTCACCCTTCGATACTACCTTCGGACCCAAGTCGCAGCGAAAACGGGTCAAGCTCGAGGCAGGGAGTTTCGAAGACCTGGCGAGAGATGTGCAGCAGCATTTCGACTCGTCGATCGATCCTTTTGACCTGGATCCGAACGTGGGGGCAGACGATGGCCTTCTGTCGTCAGCTGTGGAACCGATATTCAAAAAGGGCCAGAGCAAGCGCATCTGGAACGAGCTGTACCGCGTGCTGGACTCGTCCGATGTTTTGATCCAGGTCCTCGACGCTCGAGATCCTCAAGGAACACGGTGCGAAAGTGTCGAAAAGTACCTCCGGACGGAGGCCCCGCACAAGCATCTTATCTTCGTGGTGAACAAGGTCGACCTTGTACCAACCAGGATTGCTGCAAGTAGACCATTGTTATGTCGACCCAGATCTTGGATTCAAACTAACTTAACTGCAGGCATCTTGGGTTAGAATGCTGTCGAAGGAACGACCAACGCTTGCACTGCATGCCAGTATGCAACACCCTTTTGGCAAAGGCAGCTTAATCAACATGCTGAGACAGTTTGCGGTCCTTCACAAGGACCGTAAACAGATATCAGTCGGCATCATTGGCTATCCCAAGTAAGTGATCTCAACACTTCAGATACCCACACCCACTCCACCTTCCCAGCGACCGCTAGCTGACTAGTACAAGTGTGGGCAAGAGTAGCATTGTCAATATGTTGCGAGGCAAAAAAGTTGCTGTTGTAGCCCCCATCCCCGGCGCCACCAAAGTCTGGCAATACGTCACACTGTGGAAGGATACTTGTAAGCCTACTGAACTTGTCAAGCCGCCAAAGATTGGCAAACTTTTCGAAGTTGCGTTTCTGACCTGGGCTTCGCTTTAGATCTCATCGATTGTCCAGGCATCGTACCCGCTGCGAAACAAGACACGCCGGAAGAGCTCTTGCTCCGTGGTGTGGTTCGCGTTGAAAATGTGCAGTATCCAGAGCAGTACATTCCAACCCTTCTATCACGCGTCAAGCAGCATCACTTGGAACGAACATACAACCTCCAAGGAGGATGGACGGATCACATCCACTTGCTTGAGCTGCTCGCACGCAGAGGCGGGCGGCTGCTCCCTGGCGGCGAGCCGGACGTGGGTGCCGTGGCTAGGATGGTCATCAATGACTTTCTACGGGGCAAAATTCCATGGTACATGCCGCCCCCACCCACGAGTAAAGGGGGCGAAGGGGACGCAGGAAACACTGGAAGCTATTCTGAACGAGCAGCAGAGGAGTGCAAACAAGACGATGATAGTGCGACAGACACAGAAGGTGCGGAAGAGATATTCGAAGGCTTCAGCCCATCAGCTTAATGTTATCACTAAAAATTGTAAAATCAAAGCAATTCTTTGGCACTATCACCTCCCGCGGCCACCTCATATTTGAAATCGCAAGACGCCTGCAGGCCTGCATCCTTACATCCAGAGCAACTTCCTTTCCGTTGAGCATTAGATTCGGCCCACGTTGGCAATCTGTGATCTGCTAGCGGTGAGTCTTAGTCTTGGAATCATTATAAAATGTTTACTGACCTCTATATTCCCAAGGTTTGCAGGTCCACTCATGACATGCAAGGCCTAGTTCATCACAGCGACTGCATGCACCTCTACAGCCGCGCTGGTGGTGATTCACCAATTGGTAATGAGTGCGCATGGTGCAGTTACATGTCTTGCATACGTGGGGCTCGTCCGTATGCCAACAACTCTTCCGGTACTCTTCGAAGAACCCTGGGTCTAATCTGAACTTGGAATCTGTCAGACCTGAAAGACTGCAAATGTATGCTTGAAATTTGTTGGCAACTTTGGTTCTCCAGTCCTTCTCAGTGATGAACCAGACTTCATCGAGCAGCGAGCTCAATTTCCATCGGAGCAAGTTTGCAACATCCGACTTGTCACTCTTAAAGGTGCCTGTGCCCTTCCATCTCTTCAGACCTGTCCCAAGCTGTTGCAGAAAAGGCATGTCCCGTATGAGCACGAAAAAATAAGCGCTGGAAAACCCAATGTCTTCGACGCTTATCTTATAGGGGCTGTAATCCGGGTCATCTGCCATGCGATTTTGAAGATGGCGAAGGCCTGCCAATACATCAAGGCGTTTCAAGGCGTATGACGGCTTCAATTCCAACTTGACCAAGAAATCTTCCCAAAACTCGTTCACGGTTTGTGTTTCGCGTCTTGCCTTGTTCACTAGATCAAGTTCAAGTTCTTGGTAGTGCGCATCGTCTGCAGTATTCCGAGTGTCAGGGCTTGGGTGCAACGGCATGTTCAAAGATGGCACCTCGTGGCGTCGAGGAACATTAGCTTTGTGGCGTTTCCTAGGCCGCTCCTCTGTCTCGTGGCGTTGTTGCTGAAATATGGGCTGGGTGATAAATTGTGCCCACGGATTGAACAGAGGTGTTGCAGCTTGCGTCAAACTATGTGCCCTTTGCTCATTGGCGAATTCAGATTCCCGCGTGCCATGATCGCGCGTCCAGATTTCAGAGAGTTGTTTTATGTCACTGAGAAACAAATCCGAATCCTTGTCATCTGCATCAAGGACGTTGTCGCGTCCGATGCTGATCTCTTCGCTACACATGTCCTCCCATCTTCTGTTTGGAGCTTGAGGCCATGGAGGCAGTGTCTGCCACGAGTCCCATTCTGAGTCCGTAAGAAAGGCAGGATGACGTCTAACCCACGACCGAAGATGTGCCAGACTTGTGTATACCGCCAACTTGATTTCAAGCCTTCCCCAATCAGCATCACTGACAGAATGCTTTTCTGACTTCTCCAAGTCCAATTTCAATCCTTGGATCACGCTTCGAATCAACTTATCCAAATCGTTTTGGTTAAGTTCCGCTAGGGGACGGCGATAGATGTTAGGACCGTCCATGGCTGCAACCGGCAAAAGGGGAAAACTGAGGTTTGGTTGCAAATTTTCGGAAATAGAACCGAACATGCTGGTTAATTCTTGCGAAGATCATATCGGATATTCCGAGACGTGACTGTATATAGCGATCATTCCAATTCACCCTCGGAACGCCGGCTGGCAAGTGGGAGTCAGCAAGCAAACAAAAACTGGGGAGATACCTGGTTACTTAGGACAATCTGAAGCTCATACCTCGCAGGCTATCCCAGAATGGCTTCTGCAAGATAGTTCCAAATGGATTAGTCAATTTGTAGTTGAGTCGGTTCGAACAAAGGTCTCGTGTGATGAGAACCCAAAGTCTCTGGCAGTTCCACGGGCACACAAAGTCTGTGCTGATTGAGCTCGGCGCAAGGTCGAGTGCGATGTGCGCCACTTCGAGCCAGCGTATCCCAGTTACCTCTGGTATGCTATAGTTCCCGTCTTCTCCCAATGTGACGATGGAAGGCGTGACCTCATCGCAGTACTTTATCACAGCACATACGACAAGTAGTTTCCGATTGAGGCTCTGTTCAATAAAATACACGTACTTGACTTTGTGGGAGGCTAGTACCGTTTCGTATGCACCGCGGATGTCTGAATATGTCGCTTTTGGATCTTGGCGGCCTAGTTCCGGGTGGTCGCGAGTGATGTCTTTTATGTCTGCCTGTGTGACATACCGTCGACCTGTCTTCTGGTAAAAGGACTCAAAGCTGGCCATCACGTCAGTCGATACCTGAGGTAAACACGGTTTCTTCGGGCTCCAAAATGTAATCCACTGCTGCGTCGAAGGGAGCACCAGATTCAAACCGCGAAATGGAGCCCGGGGTAAACCCTGTGGTCTGGTGATCTGTGACAACCGAAGACTCGCCTGTGCGTAATAGAAAAACTCTGTCCGCTGAGCCTCTGATGGCTGCTGAGGCACCCGGCAAGTGTCTAGGAAAATTGTACCCAAATCTTCCGAGTTCAGAGTCAATAGACGAGCTTTCGTGAGGAGCGCGGGCGGATGGTTCTTGGGCGACTTGAGGATTCTCGCGAATTCGTAGAAAGCGTGTGTGTGCCCCGGCAACGCAGCGTACCATTGACAGAACAGCGGCGGTCGAGCCGTGCTCGCTCTTGCCACATCGATAGCCTGTTCATGATGGGGGAGCCGTGATCTGTAGCCAATGTTTCCGCAGACAGTAGGATCGAGTGACGTTGCGCTGCCATGATAAAGATGCACTGGGTCTTCTGGACCGGGGTTTCCTGGACCACGCACAGCGAGCATATAGTGCCCGATAGCATTCGGAATCGCGCACTCACTCGCAACATCTAGATGTGGCAGGCTGTCCAGTATAGCAGGAGTCCAGATCTTCTGGCCAAAAGCGCACTGTATGTGGAGCGGAGTGATGCGAGGGTCACAGTAGAAAGTATGTAGTCTCTTCCGTGAGGCACTCGAGGCGTTCGCAAACCGAAATGCCCAACACATGGTACCCAGTTCCCATTTCGGTGCTTTGTCGTAGGAGACAGCAACCATGGCTGTGATGTCGATCAGCTGTTTGTACCAGTGTCGGAATCTATCGATACATTGCCGCGCCGCCTCTGGTATCTTGATGATTAGCTTCGCAAATTTTAACCTCTCGAGATAGCCATATGGCACATGCAACTAACCGGAAGCAACCAGTGGGCCTGGATCTGGGCCAGCAGCCTCGAGGAGGCTGTGGAAATCGTCATCTGTTAGCTTGACCAGAAACCGCTGGGCAATGTTCGCGGCTATAACCCGGCGCTCGATTTCTTCGTCTGGATAATCTGGTATTCCATCTGACAGCAGTGACAACCCTGGGAAAATGCCCGACTGGTCTCCGGCAGCGGATAACGCAATTCCAGGAACCGAAATTGGGTTCTCTGTCTCGACAATTTCATCCACGGCTTGCCCACAGTATGGTCCCTATTCCTCGACAAGCTCTTCTGACATAGAGCTCGACCCAAGGTCCTCCTCTTGGTCCAGTCTTGGTTCGTCGTCATCATCTTGGGCGCTCTCCCGAAACATCAGCCCTCGCCGGTGTCTGGCTTGAATTAAGAGGTTGTCTTGGAGATTCGATCGCAGTTTATGGATTTCTACCTCGCTTGTGGAAGGAAGAGTGTATCCGGCCGAGGTTTGGAGGCCATCATCATTCTCTGCTGACTCGTGGCAAATCCCTCGTCGGCTGAATCGACCGAATCTGAAAAGATCACCTAGACTGTCTTCAACAACCCGGGTAGCAATATCGAGGATCTGGAACTTCGCAACATCAAAGCAATGTACTTCGGGATCCTGGAGGTCGTTGGGATCATCAAGGTACTGGTGGATGCGAAATGGAAACGCGTCCGGTTTCGACTTGTCTTTATTCCACCAGGTATGTTTCCCAGCAGTCTTGGAGAAAACAATAGTCAAAAGATGACTTATGCACGCCTTAGCTTCCACTAAGGCATTCTTGATGTCTTGTCTTTGCATCCCGGAGCCGTATAAGAAAACATCGCAGATGCCGTCGAGGATGGAGCAAATCACCAAAACGTGGCTTTTGTGCGAACTGTGATAGATGACGACGGTGCGGCGCGGCCGGCAAGTTTGGTTGTTGCCGTTTGCTTTGCGGTGTTTTCGCGCCCCGACCCCAGTAGCTTCTCCTATCTCAAACGGGCGAAAATACCAGGCAATACGTTGTGCAAGTTCCGCATCATCTTCTGACACCCCAGCCTTTGAACTGCCTACCCACTGGTTCCACATCGCCGAATGCACCATCGATATGTCCGGGCGGGTTGGTATTGGAGTACCTAGCATGCAATGCAGCCCAATCTGGAGGAGTCTGTCACTCAGGGTAGTGGTGCAACATGCCAGATCCTCCAGCGTGACATCCAGGGCCGACGTGGCATCTGCATCGACGCTCAATTTGTTGTCTTCCACCAATATTCTGACAATCCTGGAGACAAATTGACGACGAGGGGTCGAGTTGTCGACCAGCTTTTCGAGCACTATTCTCGCATGCTTTTTAGCCATCAGGCCTCGTGGCCCATGGCCCAGCTGGCGGTCCATGTAGGATGTTACTTTCGACTCCCAACCACATTTCTTGACAGTTGTGAGTTTGTTGTGGAGTATATAGACGGGATGTGCCTCTCCCTCGGTCTCAAGGTAGTTTTTCCGTGGGGAGCGCCTTGTGCTGCGTCGTCGTGGACTAACGACCGGATGAGTCACGCCGTCATCAGGACTCGTTCCTAGGGATAGGCGGGCCTTTTTGTAATCGTCGCAGTTATCACACTGCAGTTCATGCCCGCTGTGCTCGAGAATGCAAGAGTAAGTTGACGGTATTAGTGCGAGGAGAAGGTCGAGGTCGGATGAGTATTTGCACCGGAGGCTTCTTGAACCAAGGAAAACACTGGCACGTAGAAGCCCTGTTCCCGCTGCGAAGTAAAGAAGGTTGACGTCCGCAGCGCCGTACGCGCGGTCCGCGGAATCAAGCGTGGTGCAATATCATGTGCATGGAAACAACATTCGCTTTTTCGTACCAACTACAATCTTGACGCTCCATCTAGACTCAATGACTAACGCTTTGGTATCAATAGTGCAACTACTCGTCGCTCCCACACAGACTCCGAAGAAACAGGTGCCCACCCAGCGTGACCAGCCTCCTAGTACGCCGTGGCATTCGGCCCAGTCTCCGTGTCGTACCCAACCGGCGTGGGCTGCGACCGCCCACTGCCCGGCTGCACTCGCGGTATTCCCCTCTTCTCGTCATCCTGTGAGTTGTGCTCGCTACCCGAGTCGACCGCTGCGAGCTGCGGCTGCCTTGCTGCCCGGCGCTTCTGGATCCAGCCATCTGAGTATCGGACCACCGCCAGGGCGACGCCGACGGTGAGGACAGCGATGTCGATGCCGAAACCGCGGCGGTAGAGCGGCTTGTCGTCGGCACGAAATATCTGGGCACCGTAGATGCCTGCAATGTTGGCGCCCATGATGACCCTTTCTGACACGTTAGCATCAGGATTGAGAGGTAAGGCTGTGGCACAGTCAGTGCCGGATAAACTTACATCGCCATGGCGAGAGCTCGCTCCTCCGAGTCCGTGCAGGTCAGAGACATCCAGGCAATGTTCAGCGGATGCGGGAAGGTTCCGAATGTCTGCGTCCACACGACACCAAAGTATCGGACACCTCGAAGGCCACGCAGCTCCGTGAAGATCCTGTTGAAGACGTATCCAAGAAGATGCAGACTCAAGCCGGCCATCACCGTCTCACCACGCTTGTTGCTATTCGTATTGGAAGATCCCGTCAGTATTACACCCAACAACTCACGGCGCCTGTGGCTTGACTTACAAACGATCCGACACGACACTAAAGCTGAAGGACACTGGAATCTGAAGGAAGAGACCAACTGATGCGAGGGCATTGCTGGTGAGAGCAGGGAACCCGAAGCTGCTGACGATAGACGGCGAGTAGGTATCGAAGGCACGCTGCGGGCCGTTGTTGCAAAGCGTGATGAGGAAGTGAACCCAAAGGCGCCAGTTCGAGAACTAATGAACCAGTCAGTCAAGTCAGACCCACTTCGACGAAGAGTCTTGCGGAATGCAGCAAAGGTTGTTATGACATACGGCCTTCTTGAACGCAGGCAGCCCGATGCGCTTCTTCTTCCTACCCTTCGCCGGATCATCAAGCAGGACACGCGTGCGCAGGATGTGGACCTCCCGCTCATTGAATATCCGCACGAGCGGGAGGAAAGTGCTGTGGGGGTTCCTGAACGAGTCCGGGAGAAGGAATCCATAAATGAAACCACAGAACACGGTGAAGGAGCCCATTATGGCGAAGAGCCAGAACCAGCCGGGCTTGCCCCCGACGCCGCGCATGTGCAGGATGCCGTAGGCCAGGAGCTTTGACGAGGCCTGCCCGAACTGGTTTCCGAAGTAGAAGAACATGACTCTCTTCGCGGTCTCCTTCCTCGTGTACCATGTCGACAGCGTCCAGAGGCCACCCGGGATGAACCCGGATTCTGTGACGCCGAGGAGGAAGCGGGTGGCCATGAAGGCACCGTAACCGTGCTGGAAGGCCTGGAAGAGGCTCACGAAGCCGAAGAGGAACAGTTGGAGGGTCAGCCACTTGCCAGGCCCGACTCGGTACAGGATCATGTTGGACGGGATCTCGAAGAGCACGATTCCCAACGACAGCATCTGCTGGCCGACGTTAAATTGGTCCTGGTCAATGCCGACATCCTCCATGAACTTGTCCGTGATCGCATTTGCAATGTTTCCTCTGTCAAGTTGCAAGCAGAAGAACCCAAGGGTGAGGATCGGCATGATGATAAGATCCAGCCTGCGAGCGATGATATCAGCACCTGTTGGAGATATGTGGAGTTGATGTGGATTGGACCCTTACTTTCGCTTGGCTTTACTCTCCTCCTCCTTGGTCCAGTTCACCTCGTAATGGAGGGACTGCTCATCGTCGACCGGATGGATGGGGTCCGGTCCTGGCAGGACTTCCTTCCTGTCAGGTAGCGACATGATTGTTTTCGTGTAACAATATTCAACAAGGCTGTCTAGTTTGTATACAACTTGAAATTGAGAAATACGCAAAGATCACAGGTGTGTGGCCTGTTCTGCAAGCCAGGGTCCTTCTACGAGTCATCGCATCCATCGTCCGCATACATGTACTCTCTTTCCTATATATGAAAACCATGGGCAAACAGCCGATTTCCACATTGCAATTTGTTCATGATGGTGAAATGCTCAAGGCTGAGCACGCAATGAGAAGCTACCCTCAACTGACTCTACGATCTCTGCGATAGGGATCTTGGAAAGTCTTGGAACCGAACGAGTTTAGACTTGGTGTCTTGGTAGAGCTTGATCTGACCCGTAGCCAAGAGGCCATGCCGTGGCGCCAATACTGCTAAAGCCCACGCGAGAACCTTAGCTGCGGGACAGTGTGACACATTACTTTTGGCTCAGCTTCTGAGGTCCTTTTCTCGCCCTCTCGCCCACTCCACCGGAGAAGCAGAAAACGTTAATAATTCGTTAAGCAGAGGCGACATGGGCCCGCCGACCACGGCGCACCGGTCTCGTCCTGCTGCCCGTTGTCGTAAACCTGAGCTCATCCCAGCCGCCGCCACTAGTCAGTTTGCCAAGTGATGGGCCCAACCTTGTGAATCCAGACATTCGGGATCCCCGCCATCAGAGTAGGCGATTCGTCTAGCACGGTGGTCTCGATCAAGATTTATCAAGCCTTTTTTCCCTTTATCCTCGGGGAAGCTTCCTCTGTCAGCCACTGTTAATAGTGTCTGGCCACCAGGTGATGGAGCACAAAACAGCTCATCCCTAATTGTGAGATCTTCTTGCAACCGTGCAGGCAAGAAACGGAGATCAACGAGAATAGGCGATTGCCAATTGAGAAACTTTTTCAAAATTCGGATTTGTCTAGCACAGCTCACGCGACAAACAGTTGAAACTACCCAGGACTTTGCGATCGACGGTCGATTGTACTTGGGTTACAAATGATGATGACGAGTGTTCTGGTGTTGGGCCGTTCACATGAGATCCATGAAACCACACCAGCGATAAGACTACAGCTCAGTCTAACTACTTGCAAGATGCGATTTGCATATAATCGCTTTGCGCCTGAACCACCAGGCTTGCGTATAAAGAAAAGGACTGACTTCGCTTAGCGCCCTGCCCTCGCGTGCTATTGCGCGTTCCTCAAGTGCTACTATCGACCTGAAGAACTTCATTTTGAAGTGAAATGGCCCCCACTGGCAAAATGGTTGGCATTAGGGTTTCGAGCCGGGATGCCTTGTCCGCTCGCTCACCGATATGACATACATTTTCAGCTCAGGTTACCGCCCGCCCGGTACGCAAAATTTGTGGCTGTCCTGCATAAGCACTGATGATCGCGGGTGCTTATGAGGCTGATGAAACACGTGGAATCGGCATGTGATCTGAAAGCCATCTGTACTACATTGCTGTACAGGCTTGAGGCACTCATCTAAATCCTGGCTGGGCCTAGACCAAAGCCCACGACAACCTCCACTGAGTTGTGTTGATCAGTATGTTCATTGCCATTGTAATTACGGCCGATATGCCAGTTGGCCATCAAGGATCCCATCATGGATTGCTGGGACGTCCTCCCCTCCTGCTTTCTGGTGGCGGGCCTGGGACGTCGAGCTGAACAGACATACCCCCACCACGTGGCGTTCTCACTCTATTCGGGCGCTTCAGGTCTCCCGTCTCCTTATGCACCTCAATCCAACCATTCGGCAGCATCCGATGTGCGGCCTGGGCCTGGCATCCGAGGGGCCTAGAACTCCCACGCGGACGGTGCTGCGACCGCTAGCCAAGCCCACGGCTGTTTTGGCGCGATTGTGTCAAAAGCGGCTTGATGGCATCACATTTTAGGTCCCTTGAGATCCCGCCCCGGTGAAGCGCCTTACAGCTCTTCTAGATGGATCTGGGCGTTGGTAAACTGCGGACAACTACACGAAATATGTGGTTGGGCTGCCACGCTAAGCCAGGCGTGTCAGCCGCAAAGTGCACATCGAACATGTGTTGGGGGTCGCAAGTGCCGAGAGGCAGTCATGAGGGAATAAAAAAGATAAAGTCTCCTTCAGCTCCTCTCACATGCTGCTGCGAGGCGCAGGTGGCGGCCGAAAAGGTACCAAAGGTTTGGTCCTCGCGTGCACCATGCTTCGATGCGATTTTGCCACGAGATATCTGAAAAATTCCATCTTGGATTTTGACCGCTCCTCCCGCTACATAAAACCTCGCCACACATGTGTTTATAATCGTCTCGAACCTGAAACTAATGGTAAATTATTGAACATGATTGTGCTGTGCTTCACTTCTTGGTTCACATGATACCCGTCATGTTGGACTCACCCTTCCCAAAGCACGGCAACCATGTCTCCAAAGCCCTCTCGAATAGGGCCGTTCCTGCAAAATAAGGCTCCGTACTTATATAACTGCTGAAGCCGATCGTGGAGAAATTCTGGTGGTAGAAATCACTCGTATTCAGCAGCGCCCGCATGTCACTGACATGGACCATGCCATCGTAAATCAAACCAAAGATGTCGTTATCCTCCGGAGGTTCGTTACAGCCCGGGATGACTTGCGTCGTCTTCCTCCCTGGGGATCCTTGTTCAATGGAGGCAGGTGATAAGGCCCGCCAGGGATCGTATTGACCGCCGGTCATCATTGTGTTGGAAGGCTGCATGAGCCAACCGCCATACTTGTTTGACGCCTCGACGTTCGGGCTGGCTGGGAGCAGGCCGGGGAAGGTGGAGTTACAGTTGGCCTGGAAGTAGTCTATGCTAACAAACTGCGACTGGATGGTGTGCTCATTGTCTGGGTTCCCTCGCTGGTAGTACCCATACTCGGAACAGTACTGATACGTCCAGCTATAGCCCTGTACCGGATCTGGTGGGCTCACTGAGTCGATCTCATCATAGTTGACTTGCACAAGGGCGACAAGAAAGGCATTCCACGCTGTACTAACGTTGTACTCTAGTGCAATGCCTGAAGCGGGAGCAATGGACCGCGCTGTGCCGCCGTTGTCTGTGGTGGAGACGTCCGTCCGATTTTGAGTCTCCAAGACGTCGCAGAATGGTAGCACCGAATTTTGGAATCCGAAGTATTGGTAGAAATTCAAAGGTGTCAACAGAAGTGAGCCGACACTTGCATTGTCAGGTTCCTCCAAATCCTCGGCGCTCACGACTGGATTTAGATTTGACGGGGATGCCCGGATAGCCGTCAACAGCTGTCGCTTCAGAGCAGTCACCTCAGACTGCGTGCCGTTGGCAAGAACACCGTCGACATGTCGTGTGATTGCGGTCAAGTCGGCAGAGCAATTTCTTGTCATGCTTCTCTCCGCCTGTGCGTAGTACGTCCACATGTCCAAAGCTGCTTCGGTGGGCGGACTCGATGCCCACGTCGCGTAGAAAGTCTCAGGGTTTCGAACTCTGAGCTGGGCACCGCGAATCCCGGGGTAGCTGCCACCGAGCCAAACCCATGGCGTTGTGTCTGGGGATAGAGATCCGCTGACGCCTGTGGGGCCCTCGAAGTGATTTGCGAAGTAGACCGTGTCCTCCAGAGCTTGCTCTGTGTTGAGATATTTGTACCCCTCAGGATCAAGAAGCTCTCCTGTGGTGCTGTTGATGGGATATGGGTAGCTGCCTTCTTCCAAGCCGCCGTAGTACCTATGCTCGGCGAGCAAGGCGAGTCCGTTGAATCGACGGGCAAGTGTCATGACAGCTGAGGGCCCTGCGACCTCATTGAGGAAATAAGGCACCAGTGGTTGAGCATTCTGCTCGCCAGAATCAAACCAGAAGACTGGCCCGCCTTCCTGGTAGAAGGTCGCGTTAAACCAGTAGCGATTCTGGAACGTGCGAGTATCCGAACTATTGAAATGGTCGACGGGAGTTGTGATCCATGATGGCGGGTAATCCGAGCCATTGATGCTGGAGACCTGTCGTGCAGTCAACCCTCCAGAACGGGGGAGCTGAGCATGTCGCCGGAAAACCTCATCGGCTCTCGGAGCTGCTGCACCAGCGAATGAGGCGATTTGCAACAATGTCGATAGTGTACTCATCAGCATTGTTACAACAAGGAATGCTTGGAATAATCTTTTCCGTGTTTTATGCATAAGATGCAGGAAGTGTTACTGTCCGCGGCATTTTCAAAACTCGTCCAGGTGGACGGTACCACACCTGACCAAGTCACATCTGCCTCCATTTTCACTTACATCACCATGGCTGATAAGGGCGACCTAGCACTATTACCTTCCCAGCAGGGGCTGGTGCCGAGCTTGAAGTCGGCGAGAATCCATCCCTGCTGTATTGTGTTGCCCCTGAGCGGGGTGCATGCGCTAAGAATATCAGCATGCATCGAGCACTTGGTCGCCCTGCCTGTTAGTATCGGCGGGAAGCAGTCCATGACGACGGTCAAGGAACATCTATCATTGTCCACCTGGGCCATTGTCAGCAAGTTCAGAGGAACCAGTAATCTCGGCAGGGGGAGACTGGACAATTTTGGGACCTTCCGGGTGATGCTTAAGTAAGCAAATGCCACCCGCAGACAGCAGTCGGACTGTTCAATTAAACGTTGGCCAGTGCTCACGCGCTCTGCTGCGGAGGACCAAGGACCTGCCTTGCGTGGGCTCTTTCGCAGCTGTGACGCGACGCGTCGTGCTCGGAAGCCCCACCAACTTTTGACCTTCAAGCAACCTCACCAAGCAATCACGCCCCGATACCTTCCAAGTAGCCGTGGCCTGTTTATCACGTCCGTGAAACAAGTCATCAAGCTCCCAAAATGTCGGATTTCGAGGACGAGATGGACGTTGACGTCCCTGCGCCGTCCAAGGACATCACTCTCTCATCTGACAACACCGCCAAGGGCAAACGAAGTGCAGCCAACCTGCCCGTCGAAGCCGAGGACAGCTTGCCATGGTGAGTGAGACCCCGTGGAGAAACACTTGATATCGCTTGCAGTTCCTCGAGCTATCACTCACGCTCACCCTGCTAGGGTCGAGAAATACCGTCCAGCAACCCTCGCCGACGTCTCTGGCCACCAAGACATCCTCGCTACGATCAACAAGTTCGTCGACTCAAACCGTCTCCCTCACCTCCTCCTGTACGGTCCTCCCGGTACAGGAAAGACCTCGACGATTCTTGCTCTCGCCCGCCGCATCTATGGCGCCGACAACATGCGACAGATGGTTCTTGAACTGAACGCCTCCGACGACCGTGGCATTGACGTCGTACGCGAGCAAATCAAGACCTTTGCATCAACCAAGCAAATATTCACCATGGGAGGCTCGGGCAGAGGAAGCAACAGCCTGGCGGCTTACAAGCTGATCATTCTGGACGAGGCCGATGCCATGACGAATACAGCACAGATGGCTTTGCGTCGCATCATGGAGAAGTACACGGCCAACACTCGATTCTGTATCATCGCCAACTACTCGCACAAGCTGTCACCTGCATTGTTGTCGCGATGTACGAGGTTCAGATTCAGCCCGTTGAAAGAGGCGGACATTAGGGTGCTTGTTGACAAGGTTATCGAGGAGGAGCATGTCAAAATCGACTCTGACGCGACCGAGTCGCTGGTCAGGCTCAGCAGGGGTGATATGCGTAGAGCGCTCAATGTGCTGCAGGCCTGCCACGCATCCAGTAAGATCAATCCTTCCTCCTGTTTCTTTTAAAGCGGGACTGACAAGGCTTCAGGCACCCCGCTGCAGCCACGCGACGCCCCGAAAATAGCAGAGGGGGACATTGTCAGGGAGACCATCACTCTCGAGACCATTTACAACTGTATCGCCGCGCCGCCTCCAGACGCCATCCAGGACATATTGCAAACGTTGCTGAGCACTAGCGATGTGACGTCTTGCCTGTCAACCGTCAACACGTTGAAGGCCGCAAGGGGTCTCGCACTCGCTGACATTATCACGGCCCTGGCGGAAGAGGTCGCCAAACTACAGGTCAAGCCGGAGGTCATGATTACATGGCTGGATGCTCTCTCACAGATCGAGCACAGGATGTCTGGGGGCGGCTCAGAAGCTGTCCAGACCGGCGCTGTTGTCGGCGCCATACGGAACGGTGTTGAGCTCATGGGCTAAGGGCTGAGCAAGGGCAGGGAGTAAAAAAGGAGCTCGGGACACATGTGTGGAATGGGACATGGACGATTGCATGCTATGGAGTTGGGGATATGGAAGCTTCAATGACTACCCAATATATTTGCTTGCTGACTTGGTCTAGATAATTGCTCATGTGAATCAGGCGGCCATTAAAGCCTGCAACTCTTTCGCTGGTCTAACTGCTACTGCTTGCTGCGTCAACTGTCTACACCTTCTGCTTGCTGCCTTTACTCCTCTTTGCCCTTAAGCTTGCCATCAACAAGCGGCCACATCCGCTTCACGCACCACAAGACTTGCTTGTCAGATGTCTCGTGATACCAAGAATGGGCCGGGTTCCTCAAATCCACCTCCTCATTCCGCCGGCACCGCTTGTCCTCGACGTCCAACCTGTACAAATAGTGCAGGGCATGGAAGTCCGATATCTCCTCCCGCGCGGACCCGTCGGTGTTGCGGCCCAGACAGCCCGTCTCGAACAGTTCCAGGACGATGCGCCAGAAGCACTCGCGCTCACAACTGTGGAAGTACGGCTTGCCCTGCAGCTCGGGCCACTGCTCCGTCTTGCCCTTGTCTGGCATATCTTCCGAGGCAGATTCTGCGAGGTCTGTCCCGCGGATGTTGAGGGCGTCCAAGGCGTCTATCATCTCTTTTGCTGTCGTATCCGGGAGGCCTGCGAGCCTCGCGGTGAGGTACGGCGCCGGTTTTCCTCTGGCTCCCTCCATGATGCTGTAGAGGTAGTGAAGCACATCGTTGTGGACGTGGGCGGTATTCTCCAGAGTCTTGCAGATGTCCGCTGGGTAGTTCCAGCAGACTAGATTCCAGAGTGTTCGCTGGTGGTGTTGAAGTTCTTCTTGGTCAGACATTGTGTTCAAGTTGTTCTTTGTGTTTCTCTTCTCTTCTCGTTCCAGTTTCTCGTTTTCTTGCGTTCCGAGGCTCAGGTGTCAATGATCTGAAGTTGCGGTGGTCTCTTTCGTTCGGAGTGTAGATTTCCGATGGACAAGAGCCAACAGAATATCCGAGTCTCGCTTTTATAGGCTTGCAGCGCTCAGAACAGCCTCTTCAGTGACACACGCATCAGCTTTGTCACCCTATATCGACAACTGTTCGCGTTATTCAGTCAGTCGGCCGTGACTCCGAGGCTCGAGCTCCAACGCTCTCCTGCCGGGCAGTCGCTGCCAACACGGCCTTCTGGCTTGATTCCCCACCCACCCCAGCAATTCTGAACACAACATGCGCAAGACATATGCATGTAACAAGAGTTCGCATTGCTTCATCGATGAAATTTTGCCGAGGATGGCTTAGTGAGGTCTTGTTGAAGATGGCCTGTCAAGTATCCGCAGGAATCCTGAGTGGGCGAGGCCTAGGCCTGTAGGATCCACGAGCATTGCGGGCCTCATTGTGGTCATTCACGTCTCGTAATGCCCACTCTATCTCTCTCGAAGCGTTGAATGACGGATTTCGAGGATTTCGAGAGGCCCGGCTGCTGCTTCCGCCGCTGGCTTGCGTGAACATGTCTTGCCACATGCGCCATGCTTCGCATGATATGCGCTGATTCGACAGGCTTTTCTGTATAACATTGTACTTAGCCCATGCTTCGGCTCCCCTCAAGTATGCCTCCCAGGTGTCCATTTCGCTCCCAGCTCCATGTGTAGACATTCTTGGAGGCAGGTTTTTGCGAGCGCGATTGAAGGCAGTTGTCATGATGTCTTCCCACGCAAAGAGATCAATCTTTTCGCGTGTCAAATCACTTGCAAAAGCGCAGAGATTTGTATAGCATGACTTGCAATCGGGCATCGGATCTGGGAAATGATGGTCGAATGTGGGTAGTTGCAAATTGTGACGGCGAGGCCGCCATATGTCTCTTCCTTGCATTTCGGAGTCAAGCTGGTCGAGGAGGCAGACCAGTCTTCGGCGAAGATACTACCGAACAACAAAGTCAGCACTCACTCTCATAACCATGCAGAAGGGGTTCTACTAGTACACACCCTCAAATTTAAAGGTGTTGGCTCGTCCTGGCTATAAGCGAAATTCAGATTGAAAACCAGCTCACGGACCGCCAAGGCTTGACGAATGTTTTGCCCGCGGCCATAGATCGACGCATCGTGCAATATGCGGTCGATGAGCAGCATATAGAAACACGTCATGGCGAGATCACCCGTGTTCTTTCGCATGAATGTCCACGTGCTTCTCACTTCACTCAAAGCCTCAAAACCAGCCTTGAATACCAGTCCATCTGATGCACTTGTGTAAAGCTTAGAAAAAACACGATCGATATTAGTCATGATGTCCGCGGCGGTGACGTTGGTTGTTGACATCAAACCCATGATGGCCACTAGTGGTTCGTCGTCGAAATGAATGTCCATCTCGACGTTGGCTGAAGCGGCAGCATTTTCCATGTTGCAGTATTTCGTACGAGGTATCCAGGGATAATTTTGGTCGAGAGGTTGACGTGAGTGCTTAATCGCGGCGAATACGGTCGTCAAGTTGTATGATCCCAGACAACAAGGTGTCGAAATATCTTGGATGAGAGAACGAGTGCTGCGGAAGACGAGAATCAATGATCCCATTTGTTCCCAAATCAAATGAGGTAATTCTCCCAATTTTACATTTCGACCAATTTTCAAATTTTTGTCAATATTTTTGACACGATTGTTGCCAGCTACGCTAGCGCCATGTGGACATTGATGATGCCTAAAGACGATGATGTCCAGCTGACCCTACGCCTATTACCTATAATGTCAACTCAGAGGATTCTATTTTTGCGACTACAGCATCAAGGGTGAAAGGAATCCTCACGAATTGGGCGATCGACTCTAAGCAAAATTCTGTTCCGTGTCCTCTCCAAACCGACCATCTTGCAAATACTATCTCAACCCACCTGTTAGGGTCTACAAGTAAAGACACTGCCACATGTTTAATAATCATACTTAATTACAGGTCCGATAGGTACCTAGGCAGACATGAACATCAGTTCTTGGGTATTCTCCATTGTAGCTTATAGTCATGTCCACGGGCTGTCCCACATTTTGCGAATAGCATATCTCATACTATATTAAAGTTCAAGTATTCTGCGGAGCCGTTTGATGACTTCTCAAGGGCCTCCCCATTCATAAGTCCTAATACCCAACATGGTCCGATATGGATGTAATGATCACCGACATGTCTAAGTATCACTGGTACGTCGCAACCACTGATGACACAGACATCATCGCCTTCTGCCATCCCTGGTGGGCCCCAACCTAGGTACCCATCAGAAGTCCAAAATGCTACATAATTCAGCACCAGCGATAGCCTGTCTGACGTGAGCTTAGGGAGGTGGACGCGCAGAGTTGAGACGTCAACAAGGTCTTTGGGAAGTTCTCCCGACTCGAGAAGATCAGCTGCTCGATCTCCCGGACCGAAGAACTTCTCAATCAGGTTCGGATGAGATGTCAAGCCAAATTTCTCGACAATGCTTTGAGCAGGCGATCCCATAAGAATAATTCCAAGGATGCAAAGCCTGAGCATATCCTGTGGCAGTGTCAAGTGATCCACATTCCTGCTGGAAATTGGGTCTCTGTCAAGGAAGATCATTCTCGCGAGTGCCTGAAGCACTGGGATTCCTGTGGCGTATTTACCATGTCTCCCACGGTTTGAGACATAGCCGTCGCAGAATGAAGTCCAAGATTCATGATCGACGCCGAGGCGATGAAGAGAGACAGTGCTGTCACACCGTAGCCCCCGAGCCGTCAAAATTCTCCCCACAATCTTGAAATCCTGTTCCCTCCTGTTTTCCAACGGCGTCTCGGTTTGTGAATCGTCGGACTGTTGGAGGCCCAGATGCGGATTGCCATCCGCACACAGCCGGTAACCTCCATGATAGAACTGGCCCCACGTAAACTCCTTAGAAAGGGCATCCCAGTTTGGCACCCATGATGGAACAAACAGTCTGTGCCGGGGGTGCTCGGGAGTGCCAAAAAATGTGCCATGACCAGCCTCACGCAAGACGGACAATCGTTTCTCAGCGTAAATATACTCCTTGGCGAAGTCATAGAACACGTCCTCAATCGAAGCAGAGTAATCTGGCTTGAATTTCCGATCGAGCATGCCCAGCACGCTATAAAGCTTGTCCCGGGGGTCCGTGGCTTGGAGGATACGTGTATGGAGCACAAGCTCGTGCCACATCAGGGGTAGATCCTGCTCCGGTGCTTTCTTCGAGTCGCGCATGAGCTCCATCAAATTGGGCAGTTTGTTTAGGGCCCCCCAGCCAAGGAGTCTGCTCCCCTCCCTGGACGATAAGAAGGACCAGAGGCCATAATCCACTTGCGCTGGGCACGGCAGACCCTCAATGCGGAGAAGCCATTCCCAGACGACCCAGAATGCGATGAGAGGGAGGGTCTGCTGCCCGCAGAGCACCACGACGTTCCGTGACAAGACGAGCTCCTGTGTGATCCACGAGCGACTGAAGTAAGCTCTCGAGAGTATCTCCTTACAGCTGTCCCAAAAGTTGTTGCCGCTGGTGAAGTTACTTCTGTCGGCGCGTTGTGGATTTTTCTGCCAGAGGTTCGTTTGCTCGGGGTCGAGCCACGCGAGTAGATCTTGCTTTCGGATAGAGTCGTTCACTTTGGGAAACATATCTCGCAAGACTCTCATGGCGGTTTCGCTGCCGCTATTATCCGGGCCTAGCCACGAGATGGTTCTTGTCGCGGATCGGTATATGGAGCCCATCATCTGGACTTGGCTGTTCCTCTCAGGAATGTCTTCTTGGTTGATACACACTGCGTCGATCCACAAAGGCAAGTTTGCGAGCTCCCACTGCGGTAAGATGTAGCTTATTTTCCGATATCGAACCAAAAAGTCGAACAAGTTTGCAGTGGCCTTGAAATCGGTGCCATTGACAACTAGTGGGGTCCGGCTCATCTCAAGTCCCCAGACATACGATAGTGCTATGTACTTGAGCGAAGGATCGTCTAGCGACGCAGTCACCAGACTGCATATGACAGGCGCGAAGTCATCATCAAATCCGGAGCAAGATACGTGCAGCAACCTGACCTGCCGAGTCGATGAGTCCAGCGGTGTGTAAAGTGTCTGTTGGGCCATCCTTGTAGACGGGAAATGTCGAGTTCAGCTTCCGCTCGCCCGGGCATAGATTCTTACTGGCGCTGGTATTGAGCAAATGGAACAGGAGTATGTAACGAGAGACCATGACTTGAAGTGATTACGAGAAAACTTCTCTTCTCCGCTTGGAAGATTGAGGTAGAAGTCTTGAACTGTTTTTCGCAGCTGACCTGTGCGCTAGAGTGCGGAGGCAGGATAGTAATTCAGCTCTTCTTGGCAGACTTCATTGGTAGGCCAGGCATCCTAGTGTCCGGAATCCCACGCCACCTACTTTTGAAGCAATTTGGGCCGATTTTGGAGCTTCTCCCATTTGTTGATGATAACTGTGGCGTTGTTTGTCTACCTATACACAGACGGGACGAGAGGCGATTGTGCATTGTTGACTCAATACACTCCCACGCCGGTATGTTTCGCTCACACTTTGGCGTTTCTTGCATGAAAGTTAAGGAGACAATTGATATCTGATAGAAATTGAAGAGGAAGAAACCTCAGTTTCAAATTGTGAGACGTCACATGGTTGAACTTCACATTGGACTTTGCCCCTTGCCCGAGCCCTCAACCACAGCGAATAGCTGCCTCATACTGGGTATTAGGCCGCACAAAAGTGTGGAACGTGGTACCAGGGCCAACCATACCGCATCTTAAATGAAACTAAAAGGCCAGAACATCATTCTTTTCGTGGATAATGGCCCCTGGTAATGGAACATGTAAAAAACCAGTAGCCCCAGCCCATTCGTGTCACTGACAGATCAGCAAATGTTTTTAATGACAGTTTTATGAATGAGTATTGAATTAGCGTGTATTGCCTCGTTCATTCAACTCTGGGAGTGGCTGAGAATGTGGCCATAATATCAGCACATTCTTTTGCCGTCGTGGTTACATCATTACTGTACTGGACTTTGCCCGCCTCTTCTTCAAACCTCCTCCGCCATCTATCCCACTGCGAACGAGTCCAAAACCGCGTGTCTGCCTCCTCACGGCTTTCGGGGTCCGGGAGAAGATGATCATACATATACCTTCCTGCCAATCGTATCCACACGGCCGCGACTTTGAACAGGACTTCGGCCTTGTAGATCGTTGAAGGGGGAGCACAATGGTGGCCGGCATGAGCCTCAATTTTCTCCTCCAGTGCCTCTCGAAGCGCCCAGCTGCCGTATACGCCGAAGTTGCGGACCTCCTGCACCGTCAAGCGCGCCACGTACGCGTTGACGTTAACCCAAGCGCTGATTTCGGGCGCTTCCCACCCAGCACCACACCCAGGGGAATCATTCCAGGTCTCCCGGCCCAGCGGGCCGAGCAAGACCGAATCGGTCCAAAGCTCTCCCCATTCGTAAATCCAGTAACTTTTCAGAGCTATGGTCATGTTCGCCGGCCGTTTTGGATTTGCACGTGCCTTGAGCGTGGCTAGGAGATCGACGAGCTTCTGCTGGGCGCCGCCGTCGCTCCATGAGATCTGCTTGGAGGCGTGGAGAATGGTGTGGTAGAGATCCCAAAGCTCGCCCTCCACGGACGGTGCGTCAGCCGGGTCTGTTACACGAGCCCGAAACTCCTCGATATTCTCCTCGGGCCCCCACATTTCCGTCGCCTTGTCTGAGCTGTGGAATGTGCGTTGATTGCGGGCGACTTCCTCCTCAGAAACAAACAGGCGGCCCCCGTTCGCGGTGCTGTATGCGCGTTCTATGGGCTCGGCTATTTGGCGGACAGTCTCTTGTAATCCTATGGTGCCGTCCATGTATGCATCGACGATTGCCACTGCTCGACCGTCGCCCATGAAATAATGACGGATTCTGGCTATCGCGTCTATTTGTGCCGGCTCATTGTCGGGATTATCTGCCAAGGCCTTCTCAATGGCAAGCCGGGTCCTCGTGGCAATGTAGGACTCTGTAACAGGCAGACTTTCATGGCCCGGCATCGCGGACAATGTGTCTCCAAGTGTCGCAAGTGAGTCAAACGAGTCCATGTTTACATCTTCAAGACGCTCGAGTTCTGACGATTTTAACCGGTGGCTGAAAGGGCATTGGCGCTGGAGCCGCAAGACGGACGGACTGGTTGTTATCGATGACCGATGTTAATTGTAGTGTTGCGTCTCCAGTTCATAAATACTCTGTTCATGTCTCTGCAGAAATTCAGTTGTGTATTTATTCTTGTATCCATTTCTTACCAATGGGGCCAAGTCGAGGCTGTGTCGTAGGAGTAATCCGCGGCGTACCTAATGTGGATTAGTCTGAGGCCAAGCTGCCCGATCCTTTGGTTCCTCCTGCGCCTGGGCCAATCACCTGCAACCACTGCGGGAGATCGTCACTGGCGTCGACCGGAGGCGCATTCAGCGGCTCCCATGATGCCTGCACGTGTTGTCAAGGCCGGCCAGGCACCGCAATGTGCGGAAGCCTACGTATTTGTTCACGATCTTCCAAATGTCATGATAATAATGTGCCTAGGACAGGTCAAGTATTTGGGCCACTGTGTTAAGCACTTCAGACTGCCTGCGGTGAAGTAGCCTTCTTCCAGCGCTACGAAATGAATATGGACCAGAAGCAAATCAACATTTGAAAGTTCCGACAGAAAGTCCTCTTGAAGCGGAAGCTACAGGGGATTGAAACGAAGTCCAAAGGCATAACCAAATTGAGTAAATTTCTTGGTTTGAGAATCCTCGATGGGTGAGTCCGATAAGGTTGGTAATGAATGCGAAAGTCTTCCAGGGTATTCAGTCCCACCCGTCTATACCCCCCGTCTTTTATGTCACGTAACTTGCAGGGTTATCAATACGAAGGCTGGAGTTGAGTGGCCGCCATGGCGTCTATGCATGCAGTGCCGCAAGGAGCTTTCATCCCACCCACCAAGACCGGGGTCGGAATGACAATAAGCTTTCCTACTGCGAAGCGAGGTTCCGGTGCATGGCGAGCAGTCATCTGATCCAATCTAGAACTCATGGCCGCGAATATGGAGTGCGCCTCTTTTCTCCATGATTGGCTGTGCTTGCTTTTTTTACGTACGGCCACGTGCAGGAGGCTGAGTATCCAACCAAGGTTGCGCGGTTTTGAAATACTTGGTGAAATAAACAGTTCAGCATCCGGAGGTCAGCATCCGGTTGGCCAGGCCATGTTGAAACTGATCCTGCTGAATGATTGTGCTCCCGCGGGGCTTACCTGCGAATCAAAATACGTTACCACGTCTTCACCGCCAGTGTGACACGAAAACGTAGAAAATGAATTGCATGGCGCTATCGAGACATGCATAACTTGGTACCACCTCAATGCGGCCCCATGGTTGTTCGTTGTCACGGAACTGCCCGATGCATAAGTAGGACAAGATGTCTGCCACGTTGTGGTGCTCAACTCTCTGTGAGCCGCAGTCATTATTCCACTCGATTGCCATCACCCGAAATTCATCTCTGAGCAAGAATGGGGAATAGTATCTCGACGTGTTTCAGCGCCAAGCTGCGCAGTGTCCGCAAACGACACAGCATTCAGCCAGCCACTGGCGTCTCCGAAGCCATGGCGGAATTTATGCCGGATGAAAAGCAGACACCGCCGTACTTTTGGGGCGAAGAATGGAACCAAGAGAGGCGATTCAAGCAGCATGCGAAACACTGTGGATATGAAGAAGCACGCATACTTATCGATTGCGGCACTCAGAGGGATATCGAACGCAACATTGACAAGGGCTTGAAAGCGGTCACCACGGCGTATAACCTTTTGTACGACAAGAATTCCGAGGCAGAGTCCAAACAAATTTGTTCAGGCTCCGACGCCTCCTTTCAACAACGACTCGAGAATCTCAACATCGTCGGGATCTGTCTCTCTGATGACCTTATGGCTTGGAAAAGGGAACACCACGGCCTTGGACGCATCCCCTCAGACAGTCACCGCGGTCGGCGGCGCGCCTCGAACGAGGTCATCCAGCTCCTTGGTGCGGAGGACTGGCCCGCACCGCTCCTGACCACGGATTTGCTCTTTGGAGCGGGCCTGATGAACATGCTCATAGGTGCATATGATGCCCGCGTCCTGTACAGCAACTACTGCGTCGATACAGACTCCTTGTACGAACCCAAATCTGAGAGATCATCACCCGAGTTTGACAGACCATCTTCACTGTTCGCCGCGTTCCCAAGACCTCAAAAGGTTCCACTTGGTGTTGAGCGTCGCAAAGCTGTCGAGTCGGGACTGGCTTACATCCACGGCAAGGCTGACTTGGAGGCTCGGTATGCTTCACGCTTGACCGACAAAACGGCAAAGATGGACCGCGAGACAGCTCATGTGGTCTACTTCTGCGAGGCCAACCGGGCTGGGATGGCGGCCGAGGCCAGTAAGCAGCTTCCGGATACACTTCTAACCCTCTTAAGAAAAACAATTTGCTACATGTAGCCTATGCCTCAAAGGTATTATCAGGCTGCAGGTTTCGAAACAAGCCATGGCCATAGTGTGGCCTGGTCTTCCCTATATCCAAATGAAACTTCTTCCTCTGTACTTGGAAAGCTGACTCCTTGCTGAAGTGGGAAGATGTTTCGACGCAGCGGCCATCTATGACGACATGGTGTTCAGCAGTGCGGCGACCGACATCATTAACATCCGGTCGGACATGAGCAATAGTGAGATTGTCAATTCATGCCTCAACGCGGCTGACATCACGAATGCCGGTGTGGTGACGGAAGACGCGCTGAGAAGGGTTTATGATGCATATGCTGCCGTGAGTGGGCGGTGTCTGACCGAGCGTTGGGCCGAGCCAGGCGGAGGGATAAACGGAATGCTGTACGTGTGGCACATACTCAATGACCGAAGTCGCTTCTTGCGAAAGGCGGTGTTGGGATGGAGCAAAATACGCAGGCAAGAAACCAAACGAGGGCAGCACGAGGCTGACTTTGACGAGGCGTTCGACGTGGATTATCATACAACAGGATATAGCCGTTGCTTGAAAGTTGCTTGCAATGGCGCCGAGGTGTGTGATGGCGTTGAAAGGTTGCTGGAAACGGCGGGAACACGCAACAAGGAACTACTCCGCAAGCTCTGGATGTGTCTCGCTGGTTGGCCCTTGAATTACGCCAAAGGTGGCGTCGTGGATGCGGATCGAGAGGAGAGCATCGTTCAGTCCCTGGCTACGTCACTGGCTCAGGTATACCACGATGGTCTTGTCCTCGAGGAGCAATGGCTAATTGCACATGCTCACCATCACGCATGGCAGATCAACTATTTGATGGAAGCGGCTATGTTCGGAGGTCTACTGGACGACGACCGACTGATGGGGAGTGTTGAGTAATTAAAGCATACCAGCCGGAGGCTTCTGAATATTACACCCTGAGTGACTTCTTCGATTCCATTTAGACCCAAAGTGTCTGTCTTCCTAATCGTCTACTGTGATCGATTCTTCCAAAGAATTTACATATCTTGTTGAAGGAGTGTGTGGAAGGGAACCTTTCTAACATACAAATACAGGAAGCGCAGGTCATTTGATACACGGCAAGATCCCAACTGCCACCTTCAGTGTTCTGGCCACCTGATGCCCCAAATACCTGTCCGTTCACATAGAACCTTTGAAAGTACGTGATTATATACGCGAATATATGCCCCAGAGAACAACTCGGACCACTAGGCCGTGTTCCTATAAACCGTGATGACGCCGTTGGCGCCGCAGATCTGCTTGTCGTTGCCAGGACACGGAACATCGCAAGTCATGGGGCAGTCCATGTCGTAGGCATTCTTCACCCCTGCGGTGATTTGGCGGCCGCAGAAGCACCGGTTGCCATCCTCCACACCACCGTACTTGTAATTGCCGTTGGTGGCGCAATAGCTCGTGCACATGTCCATCGTCATGCCGTTCTTGACCCAGAGAACATCCGGAAGCACTCGACCCATCGCCGGTTCCATGTAGCATGTATCGAAGGCCCATGTCCCGACCTTGGATGGCGGCTTGGGGGCTGTGATCCTCGTGTTGTTGAAAATCGAAAGAGAAAGGCTTCCTCCGCAGGTTTGCAGGTTGTTTCCCGGACACTTCATGTTGCATTTGGCCTGGTTAGGATAGAACGTGGAGCCCTCAAGTAGAGTTTTACCACAGTAGCAATCCTTTCCATACTCCAATCCCAAAAGAGGCATGTTCTTCGTGCCACAATACTCTATACATTTCTCGATGGTCATGCCTCCTACATCACCCAAATATCCACTTTGAAGTGCATGTCCAGTTTTCCCTTCAGCAGCGCAACCGACTAGAGTTATGTTAGCCAACCTTGTCCAGCTTCGCCTTATCTCTAGGAAGAATGGAGCATGAAGGGCGTAATAAGACCTGCTTACGGTATTCATAGCCTCGGTACGTATAGCCTGGTTGCATCGTCCCATTAAAAGCAGCAACAGCTGCTGTGGATCGACCCAAAAGAGTAGTAAAAGCAGGCATTTTGGGCAATGGATGGGATGGTCTAGGTAGACGCAGAGCTCAGGGAATTCGGACAACTAAGGTTTCTGAGCTATGTGTGTAGTGGGTTAAAGAGAGACAGAATCTTTGGAGTGTGGTTGTTATTCAAGTAAATGAATAACTATGTTGCTTTGGATTGGCTACTCCTTGAAGATGCCGAGTTCGCTCTGCCGGTACTCGCGAGATCCAGCCTGGCTCCCAGGGAGCAGGGTTACGATTTTTGTAGTATCACCGTGACATGTCACAAAGCCTGAGACGGGAAGATGCCATGACACGGGTGTGATCGGTTTGCCCGAGAAGCAAAGAAATCCGTCGCCTGTGCTGCGGGTTAGCGGCGCGGCGCGAGGCAAGAGACAGACTGTTCCTGTGGAGGTTGGCTGCTTCATCAATATCGAGATGACTAAACTTTCAACTGTGACCTCAAAATGGCCACCCAAGCACTTCGTAGCCCGCGTGTGAAAGTAACTCCTTTGAGCACTTCCGTCGCACGAACAAAGTAGGCGGGACAACTGCAGATGCCGGCCGTGGGCCAGATCGGGCACAAAAGAAGTCTCGCCGTACATCAATGAAATCAAGGCGTCCCCGAGCCGTGAACACAGCCTTACTTCTCAAACCACTTTCAATTGGTGCCTTGTACAGCACTCCTGTCAGAGGGAAAGCCGAGATCGCGGTCCACCGGAAGATCGGGGAAAGTTGATCATTACCGCAAGCTCAGCTTCTCAAAGCCTGCTTAACAGCTGGTGTTGTTTCCGGGAATGCGTGTGAGGTGACAGCCGGTTGATTCACGGCAATATCCTTCTTGGGATTTCTACACGGGTATCCATAGAAATGAAGAGACAGCACAAGGGCTTGAGTTAGAATTATACGTTGATAGCTTGCAACCAATTACGATTATATTGCCTCTATCATTTGACAGGAACCAGCACCCTTGTTTTGAACCCCGTCTCATCGTGTCAGACTTGGAGATGGCATAAAAAGAAAATCGAAATGTCGAACACGAAGATCCACAGAATCTGACCTATTCCCTTGGGTATGCCGACGCCACTGATGACACCACACCGGGTGTCTTCGGGGTCCTTGGTCTGGGTGTCATGGGTCGTGAGAAATTGTTGGTTGCTGGAGTCTGAGGACTCGGTTGGTAGAGGGGAGTGGTAGGGATAGAAATCTGCAGTGGCGAGTACAGTTTCTGTGGATCACCAGCCTGCTGTTGTGTCTGCCCTTGAGCTTGAGGCTGTTTCTGTTTCTTGAGCTGCATTTCCTTGTGGGCGGCTATCCGCCTCTCGACTCTCCTTCTCCTCCTCCCCCTGTCTCTGAAAGCCACGATGCCGTAGATCAACAGCATAAGCAATGCTACAACAAGAAATGCCGCGAGAGCTCCCGGGGGAGACGGGCTATATTTGTTGGCCAGCTGCAAACCTATACCGCCTTGTACGACGGCAAGGGCCATCAGGAATCGGCCATACCACGCATGGATATTCCATACGAGCAAGACCTCTCTATGGCTGATGGCCAAGCGTGCGTGAATAAAGCCAATGAAAGGCTGGAGAACTGTCAGGCCGATCAAGGCTGTACCCAGTTGAGGGTGTGCAGTGTCCCAGTTCTGTAATGCTCGGTTAGACGTGTCCGGATTTCAGCTGCCCATCAAATGTGTGGCCTTACAATCCCAGTCTGAGTTGCCAGATAGCATCCCAGCCCGAACCCAACGGCAATCATAGCCACCCCTATCAGTTGAAAGCATATATGGACATTTGACTGTCCACGTCCATGTGGTCCAATATGTGTCGCAATCGCGCCAAGTGGGAACACGACCAGATATGCCCCGGCCATCAAACAGGCGTGAGCTGTTTGCATGGCCCCGCTCAAGATCGACGCTGGTAGGCTTGGGACATTGTCTGAGGATGATTCTGAGCCACCTGTATTTCCTGTGCTTTGGCTGTTGTCTACGGCCTGTGCGTGTTGTGGTCCCTTGGGATCGCCCGATGAGGGAGGTGCTATTTCGACATCGACGGCCCCATGCCAGTTTTGATTGGCGAGCCCTATATGAAATGGTGAGCATACTTTGAACCTCAATATATAAAACGTGCAAGCCAGTGATCTTACCAAGACCCACTACGAGTGTTATGGCATACGCAGTTGATATTCGCATATTGTCGTTTGGGGTTGACAGTGTTTGGGTGCTCGTTGCCACTGTTCCCTCACGAACATGTAGGTATATGAGTCCAGATCTTCGCTGGTTCCGAGAGGGGAACCCTTAGCTGGAATCTCCAGTGAAAGAAAGTAATAAATGGCAGAGACGCCTCGACTACCCTAAACTGCAAACAAAGAATTCTTGGCTGCGCAAGTCACCAATGAATCCGGCAGGCCGAGAGTATCTGGAATGAGAGCTCATTAAAGGAAAATATGCATCAGTTTCCACCATCACTTCAAGCCGTTCTCCAACTTTCCAGAAGTTTGGCCAATTGCTCGTGACGCTCGATTGCATCTAAAAAGTTCGGATATGTCCGTGGGCCTCCCTCGACAGTCTCCGCGTGAAAGGCTTCGTACAGCTTAGCAACGCTGCGCCCCACAATCGGCAGGTTCAATTCTTCTTCCCACTCGGGCCATTCCCAAGATACATTGCGGACCTCATCTGTGTGAAAGTCATGCACCTCGATAGTCACCGGATCAGAATACGAGTTTGCGTGCAGGGACGTTCCGCTGGGCGCCGTGAGCCGGACCTCTCCCTTCTCGCAGTTGATATGCCACGTCAGAGCCGGCTCTCCCTTGAATTGCTGTCCACGGCGGAAGCGAACCAGCAGGCTCGCCCCCTCTTGCGCCACTGCCGAGCCACTCAGTGAACCCGTGACTGTTATCAGATCTGGAACATCAGATGTGACCGTCTTGACAATGTTGTTTGTAGCTGGGTCGCGGAGCTTCATTTTGGGACGTTGGAGTTGAAGTTGGGGATGGGTATCGGCCGCTTGCCCAATGACAGATTGGACATAGTCGAACACTTTCATCGATGTCAACCTCTGTTCCCCACGGAGCAATTCTGCATGAAATAGATATGAAGGGGGACAAATGACTGACTGTGTGCAAAGCCTATCATGAAGATGTTGCCGCCAATTTTCCTCTCCGCAAAATATCCCAACCCTTCGGCAATCATCTCTCGATCAACTGTGCCGCCATGAGCCCTCACCTCACTACTGAGCATCTTGCCCAGGCTGCCGCCGTGCAAGAGCTCCTTCAACTTCAGCACCACTGGTGCTAGCCGCCCCTGCAACCCTACCATTGTATGAATGCCTTTCTTCGCTGCTAGATCAGCCAGCTCCCGCGAGCGGACCACATCATGTGTCAGTGGCCATTCGACAAAAGCCGCCTTTCCAGCTTCGACACTCGGTTTGATGAGATGGTGATGTGTGTCCACTCGTGTGCAGCAAAGCACGAGGTCGATGTCAGGATCAGCGGCAAGCGCTGCGGGGTCACCGTACGCCCGAGTCTTTTCAACGTCGAGGCCGTAGGTACGGATGGCCTTCTTGGCTGATTCGACGCTCGAATTACACAGGGCAACAATGTTGTACTTGGCACGACCGCGTGCTGAGAGGAGGTAGGGGAGATGAGCGCTACTGGCCCACGAGGTCACAGCCGAGGAGGATAGGCCGATGATGGCCAGACGGATGGGCGCCATTGTGTACTGAGAATAGATAGTATTGAAAGAGGGGCGAGAGCAGTAAAGCAGTCGTCGATCATCTGGTGGGTATCCCAACGAACGTTCATCACGGATGCTTATATGGGGTCAATGATCCTGAATGGCTTGGTAATGCGGTGGATTTATAAGCAAGGAGCTCGCATCCGATAGTGTCATCACCGTTGGTACACACCATCTCGAATACATTAGCATGCCTCGAAGGACAGAAACCGATTAATTCTCAGCAGCGGTATTTGCTGTGACAGAAACGCAGACTTGTATTTCTGCTCATCGGTTACAATGAGTGTAGTAGCAGGTGCCTACACGGACGCCCCAGGCAGCTGCCCCTGAACGGCCACCATCCCCAATGCCACCCCATGGATGTGTGTAATTGAGCCAAGAGAGGAGGGGCTGAAAAGCTGGCTGGTCACTCGATATGCTATAATGTTTGGGACTCCAACAGTAGAATTACCGTTTCATATTTGCAAACTCAACACATGGATCCTACCCTACTGTGGTCTATTCGGCGCTTCCTTGGCTCTTTCTACCACCGTGTTCATCAGCTATGGAGCGTAATCAGGCCAATTTTATATAATTATGTTTTTGCAGCTAAACAGTGATAACTACTCGAAAATTACGGACTTGTGCGACTGGATTAGTTCTACATTGGGTATGTAATAGGTCCGGCACTGATACCAGGACGTACAGGTTCACTAGCAGGCCATCAAGCCAAGACGGCGTGGCATTGGCTTTGGCTCTATATGGAGAGATTTCCTAGTACACGCAAAAGACCAGAACCAGAAGCATTTTGCTCTTGGAAGAAATTGGCGCTTTCCGCACCTTCTTCTGTGTATAATTTCACTACAGTGACTGAATGTCCAAGACACTCAAAACTTCCATCTCCCGACCGCAACTCTTTCACGAACACTGCCGAGCTTCAACTTGAGAACACACCTACCAGCCTCAAAGACAACACTTTCAACACTGTCGGCCGTCAATAGTTTCCGACATGTTACGCCTTCCACTTTCCACCGTGCTCGTCAGCCTTGCTGCTGTGGTGCCAACGCTAGGCCGCTTTTACCAGACGCATGCGAAAGACCTTGAGGTGACACTTCACCCCGAACTTCCGGCTGCACCACCCTCTGACAACCCGCCCGTCTGCGGCAACGGATGGCTTTCCGACGAAGTCTACATTATCAGCAACTCTTCAGGAAAGTGCGGCTCGAATGACCTGGGACCGTGCACAGAATGGGCAGACAAGGTTGAGGGACTCTGCAGTGGTACTTGCGTGCACGCAGTGAACGCAGGGACCGGAGATCCTGCGAACATGTACGGACTGTCACATCCCCACATCAACGGAGGCTTCTTTATTCTCTACAATGGAACACGCTGCGAGTCGGACACGATGTACTTTAAGTACACTGCGCAGAGGGTGGGAATCGGCCCGGTGCGCTATGTGCAGAAGATACACGAGAAGCACATGGAGGTCTCGCCATTTATGAGTTTCCAATACCTGCATGCTAGGGGCTAGGAAGAGGTCGGCTGGACACATGGGCCTCCCCGACAAGGTATTCGGAATGCGGATCTGGATACACGCAGCGTCGCAGGACATGGCGCTGCCTATTGTTTGTCAAAGAACGGCACGGTCGTGATGTGTCTACATCAGGGCCGTTCAGAATCAACATCTACCATCTGGTTTAATTAAAAGTTTACACGAGGACATGCCGCGACAGACAGAGAATCTTTCGATACTGACGACCACTTTGAGACGTTTATTATCTACTGATCGGAGAGGCGATGTGTGACACGCCGCGGAGGTGCTGCCAGATTTGACACCATCTATGCTTGCTAAGATTATAGACGTTTCATAAGTCATTTACATCGCACCTGGGCCTCGAATAAAATAGATGGTTCAATTTTGGGATGATCATGAGCTGAGTGTCGTCTCAAATAGTGCTAAGTAGCCCATGGAACTTTGTATGCCCAGATGATTGGGAACAGAAATTGTGCTGTCCCTCATCACCAAGTGCCGTTTTCTACCCCCGTCCTCCCCTAGCTTTCATAAGGCGGGATTGAGAACGTGGTCAGGAATCCGGCCGCGCTCAGTCTGATCGCCCTCGCTAAGGTAATTCTCTCCTGCATGAAGGGCTAAGTGTCTACCTAAGTGAACAACCAATCTCTGCTTAAAAGTACACGTTGCAAAGCGCCATGCCATTACTGTGATGGGACGAATGGTAGGCAGTCTGACCACAACACTCAACCGGGTACTCGCGCTCCAACAGGGATGTTAACAGGCAAGACTGGCCGCAGCCGACATGCGGTCTATCATGAGACTCGGCGAGGATTTTCAACTGTGTGAGTGATCCTCCATCCTGTCGTCGTCTGATTCTTGGGATGCAGGCGGCATAGTGAACCAAAGTTCGTTGTGACGAGCAAGTCAGGGGCCGTCGGTCCACCACCTACTCCACAAGACAACCTGTGACCACGTGAAATCCACTCGTACATCTGGCCGTCTACTTTTGGTCGTCAAGCTTGGCCAGCCTAGGATCAGAATGGCCTGCTGGTTCCTGGATTAGGTGGATCTCGTGTGCTATGGTCCACAGAGCGGGTCGATTTAGTGTGCCTCAGGCAATTATCCGGCCGCACCACTTACAGACGCTATCACAAATCTAGCTCTGTCTATGCACTGCTCAAATCTGCGATGGTAAATCCAGGGTGTTGGCGCTAGGCAAGCCTCCCTTTAGCGTTGCGGTCCGCGGATCGCTGACGATCACGGGCCTCGGATGTCCAGATCCAAGATCCAACTCTTGTTAGGGTCAGGGGAGACCCGAAGAGGGAGAGCATCGTGGAGTGGTCCACGGGTGGTGACACTAAAGAGATGTCTGCATGTGAAAGCACACCTTCTTGAGAAGCAATCTGGCGATATTGCTCGTTCACCCTCATCTACTCACAGCTTGCCTATGGTGTCCAAGGCTAAGTGTGAACACAACAGGCGGCTGGAGCTGTTTGGCATGTTGGCCAGGGCCTCAGTCACCACTTTATCCCTTCCCACATCCCGGGTTTGGAAGTTCGGCCATCCAGATCACCTCATCAGGCCGCGTCAGGCTTGTCACAGACCTCTGGAACCCACTTTCTCCCCGCAAATACCAAAATGCTTGTCATTTGTTTCGGCATTCTTCCAGTTTGACAGCCGAGTACCACCCCCACAGAGGTCATAGCATATGACCTGGCCCGGCTGCCAGACATTGGGCCGGTCATGGAGGGCTTCATAGCATCATAGCAGGCACCTCGCCTCTGGGGAGGCCGGACATATCGTGTATTTCTGGCTTCCTTGACAGGTCCCTGACCAGAGTGACGGCACTTGCATAGTGCAGGTAGTAGCGTGAGATCCCATCTCGGACACGCAGCCGAGCCGAACATCTAGATCCCTTGAGAAAGGACATTCCCCGAGCAGGAGAGCGACAAGGAGGGAACTGTCGTGAGGAAGGCCCAAATGTGGCAAGACGTAAATTGGGCGGCGTCCATCCCAGCCGGACCATCGGTCTGTGCGGGAGCCTTCAGGCACGCACCCAACACTCTGACAGGACTTTACCCTGGTATAACCTTCACCCGGCGGCTCGAGCTACCGCTGCACCTAGTGCAGAGCTGAATTCTTGGGATCTGGAATGCCACCATCATCCCTGTCCAAGAAGCACTCGTCCCGTCCTACCGGGACAGTCAACCATGGCACCCGTGGAGGCTTTCGCGTCCTCTCATTTGTTATCCGCCGTAAAATTCCTGGGTGGCGGCTTGAAGCCGAGACGTAGGACAGATCATAGCGTGACGAGCCGAGTGGGCCGATGAGATCTGCCTTGTTGAGCAACAGGAAAACCTCTGTACCGATAAAGTGGATGGGCCCCTTCGGCGTCGCATTGGGCTTTGTCTTAGGGTTCTACCGCCGCCTCCCTTCTCGACATGCTTTTCTTTTGGTAATCTCTATTCAGGTGATGTTGGCTGACTATTCACAACAAAGATGAAGCCCAAGCCTTGGTCAACTCATGAGCTACTTCCTCGCCAGCTTCCAGGCAACGTCTCTCCAGATGTAATTGCCCAGTTAGATTTCTCGGATAAGACGACACTCGTTCCTGTGGTATGGGCTGTCGTGTTGATTGAGGCGGTCCTAATTACCGTCGTGGTTGTGTCACGCCTCATGGTCCGTCGCCTTGTCATAGGCCGACTCTTCATGGACGATGGTATGCCATCACCACACCTGAAGCGGGCATGATCTTGCTGTGGAAGACTGACTGATCCGCATTGTCCTACAGCCCTAATCGTCGCTGCCAGCTTGTTTACGTTGGCATTCTGTGGAATCATCCTCGCTGGTACGAGCCCTCTCTGAGCCAATTTCGTTGCAGGACGCCTCTTATTCGGTCCGGTTCTGACGTCGGGTGGCAGCTACACAATTCGGACTTGGACAGCATGTCTGGAATTTGGATTTTACAACCATCCTTACTACGGTCAAACATTGCATCCTCCTCATGTTTGTCGGTAACTCTCTCTCGGCCTGCGCCGTCGCTTTTACGAAGCTGTCTATCATCAGCTCCTACCTACGAGTGTTTCCCCATCAAAGCTTGCGCGTCACCATGTTCATTACGATGGCTATTACAATTGGCTTGATGCTAGCCTCTATACCGGTCACAGTATTCCAATGTGAGCCGGTAAGAGCAGCATGGGATTTCACCATCACGAATGGACGAGTGAGTGGTGACCAAGTCTTTGATATCTTACTTTCTCCCCGTCGAGAGTTTCATCCTTTTGATGGCGAACCTGATACTCTGTGATAATCAGACTAGGCAGGATCAATATTGAGCATTCTTCACAGATAAAGGATTTTAATGACAAACGTTATAGTGTTACGATTTCGTCGACTTCCTCTACGCTAGCACAGCGATCAGTACGGCGACTGACCTCATACTTTGCACCGTACCTATTCGGTTTTTATGGTCTCTCAAGATACCGAAAAAGCAAAAGATTGTTGTCTCTTTCTTGTTCTTCGTGGGAGGACTGTGAGTATAATTTTATCTGTACAACATGTCGAGAGAAAGACTGAGTTGATATTCCTTAGGGCGTGTGTTGCGAGTATAATTAGACTGGCCTTCCTGGATCAATTGCGGAAGCCAGTTGATGTCTTGTGTAAGTCTTCAGTGAGCCTTATTCCATCTTCTCCGAAGCCTGCACGTTCTATTATATATGCTAAGTTCGTTTTGTAGACAACTTAGTCACCTCGCTCCTGCTGACGATCACCGAATGTACAATCGGCGTCGTGTGTGTCTCCCTACCATCTCTGCGGCCGATATTTGCCAAATGCCTTCCCGGCGTCTTCAACTCAGCCAGCCATACTACACTGAAGTCCTCTGTCGCTAGGAGGCAGGCATACGCATTGGGCGATCTATCTTCCAAGCCGACATCACAACGACGACTGGGCATCACTCATTTCGACGAAACCGAGAGCCAAACTGAAATCACAGCCAGCCCTCCTCTCGACACGCCGTGGACAGGGTTACACTACCTGCACGCAGATCAGAAAAGGGACTCTTTAACGTCATCGGACTATAGGACGGGGATAGCGATCTAAGCAGGATACTTGGCTCCAGGGCCCTTGGTTGGATTCACTTTTTTTCTTCTTTTTTGGGGGGTTTGAAAAGGAACGGTGGCGATCTGGCGCAATGGGCGTATGAAGGTCTCGGCGCTGGAGCATGGAGTCTGGTGATTCAATTTTGTGTTGCGCTTCACTGACGGTGTTGTTGGATTTAGATAGGATCCATTTCGTCAAGACATTACTTGCCTAAACTTTAAAATGAATACTGTTAAAATGCCCAGATATTTTGGTACTACCACCTAGGTTCAGGTTATGGTTAGGTCTAATTCCCACGATGACAAACTCATGAGCAGCGCTCAACTCACTCTTAAAGCATACAGCTGAAACTGTAATAATGAAGCCGTATGTAAGATTCATCCTCCGGGAATCCCCCCCCCCCCCACATAACCAAGTGAGAAGTGGTATATGATGCCCCGTGGTGTACACTGAACAAATCAACCATTCCGCTTTTTTGGTTGTTAATATCATGAAGACAGTGGGATCAGAATATTACATTAGAGGCCATCTTTACAGAGCCCTACTAGTACCTTGTCCAGTACTGTCATTAGTTGACCTTACATCTCCTAGTGTTCAAAAGTGCTCAGTAACTCTATAGTGAAAACCATGGAGACTCTCCACATAGCTGTCTCAAGTATCTCAGGTATCAAGGGAGGGCAAGGATATGATGAAACTTATGCAAGTTGCACCTGTTTGACATTCGACTTCTACTAGCCTTGTGTTGGCTGCCTTGCATCTTCCATCGTGTGGAATGACGAGGTCTGTTCATGTGACAAGGAGACATGTGCAATGAGTACAAAGTCACACTGCGTCCATTGATCAGTGAATGTGAAGGATGCCAACTCACTCGAAATCTATGAGGTTCAACATTCACTACTCCCCTCCCACTTTTAAAAGCCACCAAGCCGCCTCTAGATCTCCACAATCTCAACCCTTCCTTCATCTACTCCTTGTCAACATCTGAGACCTGTCTCTTACATCTCCAGATTGCCTCTCCACACAGCAACAAGACATCTCGAGCCAGCCATTGCTACCACACTTCCTCAATCCCGAGTTGATAATTACTTGCCAACATGGGTCCCATCATCCAGCTCCTCATCCTTGCCCTCTTCGCCCTTACTACTGGCGCCGCATCTGTTGCCCGTCAGATGATCAACTACGGTCAGCCTGACGTGGTTGGCTACGCCAATTTCTCCAACTACTGCACGTATCCGATGTACATCGCTCAGAACGGCACTTCCGAGGCGACTTTTGATGGCGACTGCTCCTCCAAGGTGGGTGGAGCCAACAACCCAGGAGCTCAGCTGGCCAATTCCCAGCTCAATTTCAACGACTGCTTTATGAACTCGGATGGAAAGTTCATGCCTTCAAAGGGGTAAGAATCCACACACGCACGGAGAAAAGACTGGAGTTATCACTGCGTTGAAATCTGACATGAGACCATCTGTGTTCTAGTGGAAATGCCATGGCGAGCTGCACTTGCAAGATGGGTTACTCAGTCTGTGGTGACCAGTGTGCGGACACGGCCATCCAATGTCAATGCAAGAGCTTAACGGGCGACATGATCACCGGCGACATCTTCGACATCAGTCAGTTATTTTCCTGTTATCGTGGTGAGGTGTGTTGACATTCAGGACTGACTCAAATGAAGATGACTACATCGGCGTTACTTGGTCAGAGGAGCACCAGAACAATTTGTTGGTCTGCGCCTCGCCCACGGGAGACACCGTTGCCACGTACCAGGGATGCACCAAGAGCGGCGTCACCCGGCCCGATCCATTGTGTCCATCTTGAAGGATCCTTGGAAATCCAGCGCCGGGGTAGGACTTTTTTTTTTTTTTTTGGAACTGGACGAAACACTGGGCGGCAGCATCTCGACAGTGTTGGTCATTGGGGAAACCATAGATTAGATCCAGTATTTAGCGGAAGGCACAAGCAGAAGTGCCTCTAACATTGCCTTTCTATCAAGTTGATCCTCAGTTCCTCCTGTACCATAAGCCGGACCTCTTCGCACTGACCGCCGTGCCATTGACACTTGCCGGCCCAGAGGTTTGGAGAGTCGTCGGCAACAGAGGCTCAATGACAGCCTCCCAAACCGTCTCGTACAAGCCCGGAGTACCATCGGAAGCCGTACTGCCAGGCTCGAGGCTGCCAATCTGCGTGGAGTTTGAGCAGCATGGTGCGTTTGAGCCCCAGAAGGGACCAGCTGCCCATGCCGTCCATCCGATGTACTCCTCATTCTCCTCCATGTATGTCAGGGCATCGCTGAGCATGTCCGCGCAGGCGGTGGTGTTCGAGCCTCCGAACTCCGTGACCATCGCCTTGAGGCCGTACTGCTTCAGCCAAGCCGTCAGGGGCGCGAGGTTGGTGTCGAAGGGCTGCGTGCACTCGATGTGGCTACCACTGTAATCAACGTCGAGATACTCGTGGATGTCCACAGCCCAGTTGTTCGCCGTGTCGTTGATCTGATAGATGTAGTCCGAGCTGGGCAGATTGTCGCCGCCGTAGTTCTCGGTCCACGAGTGACCACCAGTCCACGCGTTGCCTGGCACGAGGATCAGATTCTTGGCGCCGGCTTGACGGATGGCATCTACGGCGACCTGGTCGTTCTTCAGGACTAGAGTGGTCGGCATGTCGTGTGGCTCGTTCATCAGGCCAAAGATGACGCGAGAATTGTTGGCGAAGCGTGAGGCCAACTCGCCCCAGAAGGCGGCGAAGTCCTCCGTCGTGGCAGCATCCGGGTCGGTCGTGTTGCCAATGACACTTCCGGAGAATGGCTGGGCACTGGGATCATTGTATCTCATGTAGTTGTGCGGGTCGAGGATGGCGTCTGGACACAGGTGAGCTCCTGAATCTGAGGAATGGGTCGCGGCATATACATACAGGAGTTCTTGGTAAGTGTGATATAATCAATAGCTTGCTTGTAGTACCCGAAATGCTGTACATTGTCCATGAGCGATGCTATCCGGCAATCTGGTAAAGAACCCTTCATTGCGGCTTACCGTTTCGTTGAACTTGGAGCCCAGACCGTACTCTAGAGGGGCCATCCGTTCCAGCAGAAAGGCGACCCGGAACAGGTTGACCTACAACATCATCAGCTTCGCTTCATCACATCCTGTCAAGTGGGCACATACCTTGTTCTGGTCCACGTAAGTATCGATTGCTGCCTCGTTGATAAACGCATAGTCTACACCAAAAGTTCCAGGAAGGCCCTGACCCTTTGTCCCGTACACTCCAAATTCACCGCCAGACTCAGCTACACCCGCATAGTAGATGGTAGCTTGTGCCCCTACGAGGGACGAGGCAAGGGTAAGGAACGACTTCATCGCGCTCATTCAAGACAACGATCAATACAAGTGTGGAAGACAATGTGCACTACATCTTCACAACATGCCAAAAGCATCGGTGGCATACACTTATATACACACCACATAGGGGTATCAAGCGGGGGATACTGGCGGAGGCGTAATCTCCTTCACGGATCTAGAATGTGATCCGCCCGGGACGCTGGTCAGTGATGATGCCAGACTCTTGGGGCCGCTGTTCAGCGGGAAGATCCCATTACTACGGTGACAACGCTTGCCAAGGATGGGAGAGTATAATCGTATAATCGTGGTCGATCAGCCGTATTGCGGGCAGATGATGGACGGGCGGCGGACGTATTGAGGACGGCCACAGCACCGGGACGCTCAAATCGGACAGATGGAGCAGTTGGCTCCGGGTTAGTGCAGGGTCTGACTGGCATGAAGAATATGGAGACGAGGCCCGATGGGTGATGAGAAAGAATCTAATTCACCCCGATCCGGCAAGCCATCCCGCAGAGCAGCTGCAGGTACAATGCTGCGCTGGAAGCAGGCAGTCCAGAGGGTGCTTTACCTGTGGCGAGCCAAGCATCCCGTCCCCTGGCGAAGTTGTCTGCCCCTGACTGGGGCACCGTTGGATAAGCCTTTAGCTCTGACGGCACATGTTGATGGCGCCCGGTTGAGGGATGACCTTTTATGCAAGTGGTTACTTTACGCACACCTATCGTTCCCATTACAACGGTAACCGACGCGTAGGGCCGAGTATCCCTGCTTAAAATGTCTCGGAGGCTTTGTCGCCTAGCGGGACTCTGATAGCAGGACATGTTTCCTCGAAGTCCTCCATCGCAGGGCAAATAGAGCTTGGAGGTGAGTTCTATGAAAGAAGCCACTGGGTGGAGATGATGTCATGTGGCAATCAGCCTGTCACCTCAGGATTTCCATCGACCCAAACCACCATGTTGGGCGGCGGGTTGGGCAATTCGTCGAAGAACTGTCTTATGGCTTCGTCACTGTACCGCAGGCTGAAGTGCGTCAACACAAAGGTTGTCTTCGGCCACTTGCGTATGACCTTCTCGAGGTCCTGCCATATAGTGTGTTTCGTCTTGACGGACTGCTCTCTGTGGGTCTCGTACAGGAAACTACACTCGGTGATGACCACAGGGATGCCATCCTTCAGCCACTGTGGCTCTGAGGCAAGCGTGGCCGCTGTCGTGTCACCGAGAAAAGCAAAGACAGGTGTAGACTGTGGCGCAGTGATCTCGACACCTGACTCCCGGAGCTGCTTGAGCTCGACTCCTTTTCTGCCCATGTATTCTGGCTTTAGTTTCTGGGAGTTCACTTTGAAGACATATCCTAGACAGGGAACCTGATGGTCGCAGTGGAAGGCTTCGGCGGTAAAGTCGACGGTTCGCCGCAGCGGGACAGTGTCACCTGCTCGAATGCCGTGGGTTTCGTGCGTCTGAAGCCAGTGTCTCTTGTGGCTGCTCGCTTGCAAAGGTTCGTCGTTGGGTGCATCGGGGTCTTCATCCTCGTCAACAAATGTAGGGCCAGCCTGCTCGGAGTCGTCTGCCGTCACAAGGCCGCCCTTGTTAAGGATCGTCTTTGCTTGAAGGAAATCGTCGAGGGCTTTCTTCATCTCGATGGGGCAGAATATGTCGGGAGGATCATCGCGCTTGATGAAGGCTGGCGTTAGGAGGGTATGGTCGCTGTGGCCGTGCGTTAGAAAGATGTGCTTCGGCCGCAGCCTGTTGATGATCTTTCCAGCATCGAGGAGCAGGTTGAGTTGCGGGATGACGAAAGAGGTGTGCCATGCTGCTCGAGATTTGCCAGTGAGAACGTATTGCTTGTGTTTACCTGGGAATCGCCATTCGAGGATTTCCGAATGCGTGGATTGGGGAAGGGGAGTCGCAAAATTTGGTCTCGCCATGTTGGAGAAACCGAAGTCGATGATGGCGGCATGAGTCAAAGTCTTTGGGAAAACACAGGTTGAGCGCCAAGTAATCAGCGCCGCTGGGTTAGCGGCAGTTATCACCAAGACGGGCACTACGCCTGCGTGACTCAGAGGCACAAACTGACTGCAGGAGCTTGCTGATTTCCGTCAAGGGCCCAGGGGGAAAAGGCAGCCCTTGCCGCATTTCCTCCGCGCAAAAGAGGTCATTAAACCCGTTTTTCCAAGGCGGGAGGTTGATAAGACAACCCTGTTGATAAGGGCCTTACCCGCCAGGCCCACCAGTGTATGTACCACTTCACACCCCTACATGTAAAATAATAATCAGAAATCTAATCTTAAGTTTCTTAGTATAAATATACAAAATAACAAGTTCTTATTTAATTTAAAATTTTACGATATTTTGATAATATATTCCTAATGTTCATTAATATATCCTTGATATTTTATAAGAAAAGCATATAGCTGGCAGGAAGGTGTAAGTGCTAACAAGGGGTTTACTAGCGTGTTCTTTCCCCTAGAACCCCTAGAATAGGCCTATTCTTCCGTTTTAACATCTTTACGCTTAATGCTTGACAGCGACATTCTTTCGCGACAAAACCACTCCTACGAACTCGATGTGCCCTGAGAAGCAACAATTAAGATGAACAAGAGTGGGTGCACCCTTCTCGCTGCCAATTGAGTTGCTTTCAAGGTGGAAGGAAGGCTGGAAGCGGATGGAGCAAACACGAGAGGAAGCTCCAGGAGCGCCACGAGCACCTCAATGGCCTCAAAAGCCATTAATTGGCTCGAAACCGCTCTCGAGTCCGAGATATAACGCGAAGCGGACTCAATCTGAGCCCCAAGAGCTTCACAAGCAGAGCCGAGACGATTCTAGCCATCTCATCGCTGCGTCTCACGGAGGGCAGACGACGATCGAGTCTGCCTCAAGCTTCGATTCGCCAAGGGGCGCGACCCCCGTTTCGGCTGCGTCGCACGCGTCGCCCGCGTTCCTCAACAGCAATGGCGCACAACCCCGGCCCCCATTCGCTTTGCCGCCGGTAGCAAACCGCCAGCCACACAATGGCGTTCAGCTCAATTCCAATCATGGACAGCAGCATGCTTCTGCGGTTCCGGCACCACAGAAGACCTCTGTTGCCAGTTCTTCTGATACCCAGAGGGCTGTGGCGCCTGTAAGCGCCGCCGAGCCAACCTCGGTCACAGCAAATGGGACTTATCCTCGTCCTCCAAATCCCGCCGCAGACACGCATTGCGGCACCCTTGCGCCGCAGACAGGGCACCCTGTTGCTAAACACTCAACGCAGACTGCTTCCTCTGCAGATGCCTTTAAATCTTTGCCTAGCCTTATAACATCTGCGCCACCTGTCAATGGCAGAGTTGGCAGCAATTCCAGCCGTCAGCCCGGCTCTTCAGGCGATGATCTCCATGGCTCAACAGCCAGCCAGTCACCCATTGGGCAGCTTTCCGCGGAAAGCCCTCCCGTCAGCAAGCCGATCTTGAAGATGAAGAGGACCGGCCAGAATTTCCCTATATCATCCCCTAGGTCGCCTTTGCGGACGCCTGCATCATTGCATCAGAGGAAGGCCCCTTCGCCAAACAGGAAAACGGCCTATGTACCCCAGGGCAGCAGCAGCTTGTCGAAAGCACCTGAAAGCCCTCAAAGCCGTGTGCTTGGCTCGCCAACAGTAGTAAATGGATCAATAATTGGTGAGAAGAGAGAGTTGAACTCATCTGTCCAACTGTCAACCAATTGTAGGATAAACGCCTTCGACTGCCAGTACAAAATCGCTGACATGCAATTTAGCAATTGGGAACTCGATACATGGGCGCTCCCTAAAGGAATCGACCATCAAGCCTACAAATCCTCTTGATGGACCATCAAAATCAGCATCGACCTCAGTCAGGAGCAAACCAGGGGCCACCTCGGCGGAGAGCCTTTCTATGGGCCAAACCACCGAGCCCGTGCCTCATTCTACCTATATACTCGATGAATCCTCAGATGATGAGATCAAGTACGAGAACGCTCCCAAGACTGTGATTTCAGACGATGCACTCGAGGCCGGCATGGAAGAGGACACTTCCGATGATGACACCGGGTCTGGTGGTGATGATGACGAGGCATTGGAATCAACTCCGTCGCGTGGGGCGGACACGTCACCTCGACAACTATTCCATCCACCCGAGGAGTCTGACTACGGAGATGAGACTGACGATGACGACGGGACGGTGTCTTCGTCATCGTCCTCGGAGTCATCGCCAGCTGCGGATGAGGAGCCCATGGTTGCGCTGCCATCTGCCAATATCCAACACCAACAAGATTATCCTGAGCATATCTTGAAGACGGCCAAGTCCGGCCGTCCGTACCACGCTTGGTTCGGTACGCAGTATCCACTCGTTTAGACTCAAAAGAGTCACTACTTCTATAGCCTGACTGACAATTCCAAATTTAGAGGGGAAGATTTCCTTTGATAAGAGCGGCGGTGCACTCTTTCCCGATGGATATCAGAGATGCGCCGAAATCCCCGGTTATTCTTGGATTTGTGCTGTGCGCTCATGCAGACAAGTATACAAGACCCATTTCGGTCTAGGCAACCATTTCAAGATGACACACAAGAGATTCATGTTCAACGATAATTTGGACGGAACCTTGTCAGTGGTTGGGTCGTACAGCAAGAGGAGCCAACCCGGAAACTGCTTTCCTGTTGTTGTGAGTCGACGGCCTCTGGACTCAACAGAGCCGCCGATGGTGGAGCCTACGGAGCCGACAGGGAAGGGAAGACACACTCCCACAGCATCTCGAACAAAGGCAGAATCTGGGAGCGAGGATGTCGACGCGGACAACCTCGTGACTGGGGATATCGACGTTCCAGCTCGACCTGCGGCGCCGTCCAAAGTCATCCAGTCAGGTAATGCTGATGAGATGTGGAGATATATCCGCCCCTTTCTCACCAAACACCAGGATTCCATTCCAGTGTTGAATTGGGTATGCCATGTCATACATCTCCCTCGCGTTCGTGACATCAAATGGAATGAACCTAGGACAAAGGACCTACCATATCGGGATTCTCACCCACGAGACATAACGGCACTCATTGTTCAGGTGACGGGCGTAGAGGCCTCAATGCCATGCACGGCTTGCGTGCAAGGCAAAGGACCATTCGACGGCTGCATTATGATCTCGCCGCAGGCAAGCCAAGAATCACGGGATCACGTATTGGCGTGTGCGAACTGCTACTATCACTGCGGGCAATCCTCGTGTAGTCACTGCAGTGGCCTCGTGTCGCGCCGCAGAGACAGACATGAGCGGCTAACGCATAAGAAGAAAAAGATTTACAATGTGAAGGTCCTTTCGGACAGGGCGCGTGGATCCGTCAAGGCTCCCAAACCAGACCAGCAGCAGAACGTGTCTCGGACAACGGGAGATAATTCGTTGGAAGAAGCCTCTCAGCTCAACGCGAGGGTCTACCAGCCGTCTGAGATCCATAGTCTTGAGATGGCAAGCAAGGATCGCGCATACAAGGTGATCAGGGGCAAGGACGGAGAATCCATATCTATGTGCGGAGCCCTGATTCCAGAGGGCTATGACCTGGATCGAGCGGTTCCTGGTCGTCCTTGGGTGTGCCCAATTCGTTCCTGCCGAGCCGTATTCAAGAAAATTGCAGGCTTGGGAGCTCACTTTTCTGTAAGTCTTGTCCATTGAACCATATGCTTCACCGCGATGCTCACAGCTCATCTTAAAGGTCAAGCACCGGGGGGAGTTGTTGAATGACAACCAAGATGGTACGCTGTCGATTGTAGGAGCCTACAATCGGCCAATGCCAGGCTACAACCACTGTGCCCCTCTGGTTATGTCTCAAAACCCCCTGGACAAGCATGAACCTCCAATGGCAGCATCAAAAGCACCCGGCTACGTACGAGTGGACAACACGAACGCAAAACCGCAGCCTCAGCCTATGAACCACACAGCTTCGGTCCCATCAAGACCAGCACAAGCTACACAGATGAACGGAGTTGGACCCCTAAACAGCGACACTCACGGTGGGGCGAAACGAATATGGAACTACATACTACCCTTCCTGCCTCTGTCTTTGGACCCCGATATCTTCGATACAGAGGTTGTCAGACTGTTTGCCCTGCCGCTGCTCCAGAGTGTTCAGTGGAGGAAGACGTGGATGAGACGCCGGCTGGACAATGATCGATCTCAGATATTTGGAATCCTTGTGCATGTTCTTGGTGTTGAACGAAAGACTGGGAGCGGCGAAAAGCCGTGCTCCCTCTGCACCAGAGGCGCGGGCCCGTTTGAGGGATGTTGGACTCTGCCAAGGGGCGCCGCATGGGAGTCACACAAATCTGCAATGTGCTGTGCTAATTGCCTGTTCAATCATAGGAGGAGCAAATGCAGTGTGAAGTATGGCTGGGAACGAAGGTGTGATACGAAACCAGGTGAAAAGACATTCCCCGGGTCCCCTCCACCCGTCGGTGAATGGGCTGCGTCTGCTGCCGGTGCAAACAGCAGTGGCCAAAGCAAGAAACGCCAACTGTCCGTCTCTGATATCAACGAAGAGTCTCGGGCACAACGTCGACGGTACGAGCGCAACGAAGGCGCCGACAACGAAGAACAGGCTGGAGTTGAGAAGAAACTTGTCACATTTCCTTTGCCTTTACCGAAAAGAACGACTCGTGCATCGGACTCCCCAACAAGGAGAAATACATCGCCCGAACCACAAATGGCGCACAGCAAATCCTTCCCCTCAATGTCTTCTTCGGCACTGGTCATGGCGGGGCAGCAAACCTCAGACGAGCTCCTCGAGATGGAAGATTGGGAGGTGGCACCTGGGCGCATTCGTGATGAAGGCGTTGACCAGCTCGACAGTAAGTCGACACTTTCCTCATTGATGTACCCTTTCCAGCTCTGCAAACCCGACGGGGGCAGATACACCTCAATTCACACCGTGCATACGGTCTTCTCATTAGACTTCACTTCCCCAGCCTTCTAAACCATTACGATTTGCTGACCCCGAAACTTAGATATCGCTTTTTCAAAGTCATACCTCGAAAACAATCAGAGTATTCCGATAGCTGCCGATGTCTCATTCCGCGTCGACACGATCAAGTCCGGACACAAGCTCGAGTTCGAGGTCGCAACGTCCAGATCCCGCTACTGCTCCGTCGCCAGCGGCAAGCTTCGTGTCTCAATCGCAGGCCAGGCTGAGTTTGTTATCGGGCCCCATGGAGTTTTCAAGATCAAGCCTGGTGTGAAGGCGTGGGCACAAAATCGTCTCTACATCGACTCGGTGGTGCACGTGGTTTCAGTCGAGGACGGTGCGTGAAATCGGAGCGCTGTTGTCCAAGACAATTACATAGATGAGTGCGGCCGACCATCTGAAGTGGATTTATCAAGGAATTGGGGCGCAACCCAGAGTTGGAAGCAACAAAAAGCATTCTCCCATGTACGCCGATGTACACAAGTCACATATTAGAGGGGAGGCGGGGAAGGTGTAGAGACTCAAGTGTAAATAATCACCCTGGCTTTGCTGGATCAAGTACTTGAAGATACCGAATTTACAGAGACCACTTCGTGGCTGCCAAGAATGATCGCCAATAACGAGCTGCCATGAGGGCACATCAGTGGAAACCAAATGCCCAAGCGCAAACAATCGTTGTCAAGGGGCATCGACATGTTTTCCACTCCACCAATTCTTCAACCCTTCCACATCGCACCACTCGACATCCGTTGGATTTTCGAACCACCAGTTCGTCCCGGGCTTGGGCTTCTCGTTTCCGTATTTCTTCAAGCTGCCGCCATCAAACCTATGATTCTTGACGCCGAGCAACAGCACCACACTGCCAACCTCGGGGGCGAATTCGTCCGGGTCCAGGAAGACAGTCAGCAGCACCTGCTTGTCGGTCGACGGGTCGGCCAGCCTCGCCGTCCGCTGTCTGCCGACATAGCCAGGCAGCAGCGCCGGTTCCACGTCGGAGAGCCACACAATCACCGCAAGGACATTGGCAGCCCAGTTCTGCTTGTATGGCAGGTAGGGGATGGACTTGAGCGGCGTCAGCTTCAGGGGTTTGCTGAGTGTGCTGGGCGCCCAGGGGAGGGTGTCGCTGGGCTGCTGCTTGAGCTCTGCTTCTTGGCGGCGGTCTTTGACGGTCTGCTCAGGTACCTTGTGGCTCTCAAATGCGTCTTCCTCGTCGGAATTGGGTTCCTCGGCTTGCTTTGCGGTCGATAAGTGCGCTGCCTCGAGGTGTGGACGAGGTGTATTTATGCTGTGACTCTGTAGGCCAGATCCCATGCCGACTTTGTACCTTGTCATTGATGCGTTTTCGGGACCAAGGGTGGCATGTGATTGCCCCTGTCCTGTTGTGCCAGCCATCTGCATGTATCCGGCGTTCCATCCGACAGTGGCCATGTCCTTCACCACTAGATAGACCATTTCCATGGCATTACCCGTGTCACCATCACCACCTGGATTTGACTCGATGGACTGCACATCAAATCTGGTCAATCGTACGTAACATCCCACAAAGATGCGACCAGTATCTACAAACCGGTGCATTTCTGACCGGAGCAGCGCCTGGATACATAGCTCCCCATCACCCAAGAGCAGGCGGACGGTGCGGTAGCGCTTTGAGACGGGAATGTGCGCCTCGATACCTTCCACAAGAAATATGGAGTCTGGGACGCAGTGGTGAGTACGGAGGACCTCAGCTATCAACGGTCGAGGCTCGAACGGCTCGGTGGGATCGGCCGCTACCACCACGGTCTCAGGAGGCGCGACGGAGGCGGACATGGATAGGACGACCCATGGATCGGGAGGACATGACTGTAGACTCAAAGAATTCTGAAATATGTCAGACTTGACGATCAAGGACCAAATCGACGAGTTAACGAAGCCAGATAAAAACTGGTCAGTCACTACAAAAGTGCAAGTATCTAGGTAGCGAATCAAAGCTGAGCGCGTCTCTCTTAGACCCGGGAAGGCAGGAGACGCGTCGTGCTTCTGACCCGGACCCTTGGGGTGCTGACCTGACCGCTTACCATATCTAGAAAATCCGCTGATACTGCCGGCGTCCCACTCCATCAGGGTCCCTCGAAACAGTCACCGGTGCTGGGCATCATGCATGCATTGAGCGGCGAGGACTGCGTGTGCACTAGGCCAGTTAACTGCCACCCTGACTCAACGGCTTGCTCATGTTGCCCCGTATCGCTCGAACAGTTGCCAACTCAGTACGCCCATCTCTGTTTTCTCGAACCTGCCTAAGCGCACAAGCAACCAAAACATTCTCCTCCCCTCTCACCTGTGCCCACAGCACCAAAGCCCGCACCATGGCCCCCGACCTCCCGCCCGACCGCCGCCCGATCGTCATCTCGGGCCCGTCAGGCGTCGGCAAGGGCACTCTGTTCAAGATGCTCTTCGCGCAGCACCCGGACACCTTCACCCTCTCCGTCAGCCACACGACGCGTTCGCCCCGCGAGGGCGAGCAGCACGACGTCGACTACCACTTCGTCAGCCACGCCGACTTCGAGTCGCTCATCGCCGCGGACGGCTTCGTCGAGCACGCCAAGTTCGGCGGCAACCGCTACGGCACGTCCAAGTCGACGATCCGCGAGCAGGGCGAGAAGGGCAAGGTCGTCGTGCTGGACATCGAGATGGAGGGCGTCAAGCAGATCAAGGCGAGCAGCATCCCCGCGCGCTTCGTCTTCGTCGCCCCGCCCGGCGAGGAGGAGCTCGAGAAGCGGCTCAGGGGCCGCGGCACCGAGAAGGAGGAGAGCATCCAGAAGAGGCTTGCGCAGGCAAAGTATGTTAATCTTGAAAGGCTTGGAGCGCACTGCCGCCTGCTTTTACGTTCGCTGGGTTGTTTGTACTGACATTGGAGCGCAGGCTGGAGCTCGAGTACTCGAAGACCCCCGGAGTCCATGACATAATTGTAAGTCTAAATTGTTCTACATTTCCTGGTACTGTTGAGAAGCTCGTGAGGTGGTTGGCAGAATTGTGTTTTCCCAGCTCGATGCCCTGTCTATGCTAGTATACGATCTACATACTTATCTGGGCCCCATAGATCGTCAACGATGACCTCGACAAGGCGTACAAGGAGCTGGAAGAATTTGTCTATAAGCCTCTAGACTCGTAGCCGGGCCTCCTAGAAGTCTGCAGTCCTCCAAGGTACCTTTCAACACCGCAGCCACAAAGCAGTATGTCATTCAGAATCATGCAAGGAACCATCATTGTTGAGAAGAACAAATGCGTCTGTTCAACATCTCAATATGTATTTCCATCAGGTATCAAGACTAGACTCTAATTAGAGCACAAAATGGGGGCTGGATTAAGAAATAGAGAAAGAGAGAAAAAGAAGTCTGGATGGAAGTTCTGGAGTACTAAAAAGGAAATAAAGCGTAATAGTCCAGTCCGGTGGGAAATATGTTCGTCCCTCATGCGCCCAACAACCACTCGCAGCAAACAAAAGCATTGGGTTGAGGGGCAGGTGACCAGCAATCTGCGGATGCGCCATCAGTAGCCGAGATCCTGTCAGCCAAACGCGCCGTTTGCTCCTTCATACCCCAACATAGCTGGATTTGACACTCTCATCGATCGTTCGCTTCCGAAGCGGCTCCTCCTAGTAGCCGTTCATGGTCATGCGTTGAGAGCTGCGGCTCAGCTCCCGGTCCGCGGCCGGGCTGATTGGCCTGCTGCTGCTGTGGCCTTGTGCGCTTCCCTCCTTCAGTGCCAGCAGCTGCTTAGCACGGAAGGTCTCGTAGTGGATCTGGGATGTCGTTTCGATGAGGTCCTGAAGGTGTGTTCGCAGGAGGAAGTTTCGCAGGTAGATAAATTCGCAGTGATTCTCGTCCTCGACGTTGATGACGCCCCATCGGTTCTGGCGACCTCGGACCTGGTTACCATTGACGATGATCGACTTCTCGGATCCCACGACGGCGAAGGGAATCAGGTTCTGTGAACGTGTGTTAGCATATGCAGGATGGCAATTGATGAGTCGGCACAGCCAGCTCCGTACCTTGATCTGAGTATTGACAGCGCGCTCCTCATCGTCGAACTCGTCGTTGTCATATGGGTACATCTTCAGGTTGTGGAAAGCAAACTCCTCCTTGATGCGCTCCTTGAACGCCTGGCGCTCCTCCAGGGTCATCGTGTCAGCCTTGGCAATGACCGGAACGACATTGACAACATCGGACAGCTTCTTCAGCACGACGATATCGATGGGCTTGAGGGAGTGGCCGGTTGGCTGGATGAAGAACAGGCAGCAGTGAATGCGTGTGTCCTGGATGTAGCGCTCACGCTGAGCCGTGAGCTCCTTTCGCAGGTAAGCAGAGTGCTGGTCCTTGATGTACTTGACGATGGGGTCCCAGCAGCGGTCGTTGTTGATCAGGTCACCGTAGCCAGGGGTATCGACAATGTTGAGCCTGAGGCGGACGCCATTCTCCTCGATGATGTGCGACACGGGGTGGATCTCGGTGGTGGATCGAATAACCTCGTCAGGAACAAGACGACCCTTGGACTCGATGAGGTGGGAAGCGAAGATGGTGTTGATGAGGGTGGACTTTCCGAGACCAGTTTGGCCTGTGAGCAAGGGAACACGAGACACGTTAGCCCAGCCGTTTGCTGCTCGAAACCGCGGCCTGCAATTGAGGGGAGGCCAACTTACCGACGCAGATAACGTTGAATTGGAAACCACGCTTCAGGAGCTTGCGCTCGATCTGGCTGGTGATGCTGTCAAAACCAACGTGGCTCTGGGGGTAGATGGACGCCGCAGGCATGGCCGCCATTTTCGCAAGAGGGATGTGTTTAGATTAGACGGGCAGGGGACTAGGCGAAAGGGCGGAGGTTGTTAAGTCGGGCGAGAAGAAGAATTGAGGCCGTATGACCGAGCGTAGAGGGTATCTTGGGATGGTGTGTCAAGCCGCAAGAGAATAGGAAGAAAAAAACAAGTTAAGGAACGAGTGAGGGTGGATTGGTTGATGGTTGAAGGTTGAAGGTTGATGGCGATGGTGATCCCTCCCAGCTGGGTGCAATCCGTGGAGATGAGAGTTAGCCAGTCAGGTCTGGTTGGGAGGAATTGCTGCCAAACAATAATTTCCGCCTCTCCCCAGTCGAGCCAGAAAGGGGTCGCATCTCACAGGAAAGGGGCTAGGAACCGACCCTGCCTGCAATTGGCTCGAAAACGTCCAAGCGCCGTAAACTGGAGCTTTGCATGGTTGAAGGGTGGCCTGAGCTTCACTGGCACCCCCCCTGGCAGTTTTCGGGCTGGGGAAGCAGCTCTTCGACGGAAGAGTCGCGCTAGTAATTTTTCTGGACGACGGCCTCACCAGATATCGCGACAGCACCACATCCGCGCCCCAGTGACAACATTTCCATTGCCTTGCGCCAGCCGCACCGAATACGATACACCCTCCCCCTTTCCTGTGGTATACGCAGCCAGTCTGTAAACTCTCAGACTGCGTCAACAACACCCCGCAGACACCGAGCGTCTCGATCGAAAATTGGCAGCATGGCTGGCGCAATGTTGCCCACACGGGCGGCTTCCTCCTTCCTCCCTCGACTGGCCTCCCCAACATTTCTCTCGTCATACAGATTCACATCTATCTACATGAGGCAAATATCGCTTCCATTTCTCCCGAGATATTCGCTCGCCGTACCTGCCATCTCTCTGAATCTCCCCTCTATCCCGGACATACTTGAAGGAATTTGGGAGGGAATCTTGAAGGCTGTACCCAAGAAGAAGACATCACATGCCAAAAAGAGGCATAGGCAGATGGCAGGGAAAGCGCTCAAGGATGTCAACAATCTATGCAAATGCCCAGTATGTGGGGGAACTAAGAGAATGCATCACCTTTGCGAGACATGCATGAACAGTAAGGATATCCCCTTTTGCGGCCCCGGGAGCTCAGAATTAGCACTGATGCGCATATGCAGAGATGAGGAACATGATGGACAAGAAGAGTCAGGACAAGCAGGCAGAGAAGACGATAGAAAAGACGATCGATGTGGAATGAAAACCATTGCAACCAACGTGGTAACAGGCATTGGAGCCAACGGGCATGCGAACGAAGCTCACGCTTACGAATTGACGCCGCCTTGCTAGGAGTTTGAGGTCCGTACGGGCTGTCGCGAAAGTTGAGACTGAACACGGCCTGGATTCGACATTTGGGAGGCAATGGCGCGTATAGTCTCTCGTGAAGGCCATGAGAAGGTCACAACACCAGGATACCAGTAGCGCTGTTACTATCAGCGCGATGAAGAACATGATCTCGAGGCCAATGACATGCTTCTTGGCCGGCAGGCGGGAAAGAATAGCTGCCCAGCCCATTATTTGAAGATGGGAGGTGCGCCGGGCAGTGCTGTTGTGGTAGACGACTATTTTCTACCCGAGTACAGCAGAAGACAGACCTCCAACCCTCGATTTAAAATGTAAAATGTAAAATTGAAAGTTCAAGAGCGTTCCCTGCGACCAGTGCTAGAATCGTATGTAGTGCCAGATAGAGAGCCCATTTACCTCGTATCACTCGCCCCAAAGGTTGCTGTGGACTCGCTTGAGAGCTTCCTCGGTGACATCACCCGGACCCTACCAAAACTTCCCACCCCTCTAAGTTTCCCCCTCGCAACAACGACTCACATATGGACCGGTAGCGATGGTGAGGACCTCAATTTTTAGCGATTGACCTTATGCAACAGGCAAGCTGACATTCCTTCAAGTCCAAGCAGTACCTCACCACCCATACGGTGGACAATGGTTCGTCCCCCGGCCTCGCAGCCTGCCAACTGCCCCTCGAACTGCAGCTGCTGATGCTCACATCACCGTTGCAGCCCACACCACCGACATATTCACCCTAGCGGCAACACCCACTGTCCTCTTCTCTGCCAGCGGTTCCTCCACGATCAACGTTCACCGAATCAACGACGCCTCGGGGACCTTCCCCATCTCCCAGTCCCTATCGGCACACAAGCTCGGCTGCCACCATGTCGCAACCGCCCCCCGCGGCTCAAATGGCACTGTAGCTGCGTCCGTCGGCTTTGGCGGCGACATCAAAATATGGCGGTCAAACCCTGACAGCGGCGACTTCTCGCTCGACTACGAAATCACGCCATCCGAGGCGAAGACCAAGGGTGTCGGTGATTCTTGGGCTGTTGCACTCAGCTCTGACGAGAACTACATGGCGTGCACAACCCACGATGGAAAGATACACGTGTGGGACCTGCGGTCCAAGAGCGTCGTGCAGACCTATGAGACGGGAGGCAGCGGGAACGGCAGCTTTGGTCTGTCCGTGGACTTGAGCGCTGACGGGCACCTCACGGCGAGTGGGCACCAGAATGGATCGGTCTACGTGTTCAACAACGACGCGGGACATCTGAAATACTCGCTTTCTGGTAAGGCTCCAATTTGTGTGAAGACATGAGTTCCCTGGCTAAAGACTCAAAACAGGTCTCGCAAAGCCCGTGAGAGCGGTCGCCTTCTCGCCTGGAAACACTCGTCTCGCGGCGGCAGGCGATGCAGGCATCATCGCCATCTACGACGTCACGACCGGAGAGCACGTGGGCATCCTGAACAGCGGCGGCTCGTCATCGGCGTGGATCACCTCCCTGGACTGGTCGGACACGGGCGAGTATCTGCTCTCCGGATCTACGGACGGCAAGGTCAAGGTGTGGTCGATAGATCGCGGTGCTTGTGTAGCGACGCACAGCGAGACGGACAAGATTCTGTGGAGCGTGCGATGGTTGCCAAAGGCGGCGGCCCATCGTGGAGAGATGTTCTGCACAGCGGGTGCGAACCGGAGCCTGACGTTCTACCGTGAGGGTGGCAAGGTCTGAGTGTGGAACCTGGTGATTATGAGCTGTCCTTGCCCTCTTTTCTGGTAGGAAGCAATCTTCATGAGAAGCGGTCACCGAAGATGCAATGATGATGAGGATTGCAGGAAGTGTGGAAGATCCAAAGATCCAACGATGCAGATCCAAATGTTTGGCAGGCATGGCATGAAATGCTTGATGTTGCTCAGTCTCTAAATCACTGATAGAAGGATTCAAAAGTGGCTCATATACCAATTCGATGCACTCTCTGGTAGTCAATGGTTCGCCCATTCTAGTTGGCACAAAATCCAACCCATAAGCATCCGTACGAAGACAATGATAATTACACCATTGCCATGGAGTACGGAGACGAGAAGCCTTCCTGTGAGAGTGCAACCCGCGCCTGGGCAGCACATGGGGGGGGGTGTACCGCCGGCATTCCAAGGGTCCGGGTTCTGAGGTCAGATGCTTTCGTGACAGTTTCGAGTTGCCCTGCCAGCACTAGGCGTCTAGAGGCGTAAAGTGCCTGCCTCATTTACCCCAGATCCCCAACCAGCATCGGTGCCAACCTCCCAATTTCCAGGCACATAACCAAATCCCAGAGATCGTATTTGTGACCTTCTTTCTCCAATACCTTCTAATAACAGAAGTCCCCACACCTCCTTTTCTCGCATTCCCACAATTCCTGAATTTGTTCGACCTTTTACGTCGACGTCATCGCAGCTCGTCCCACGATGCCAGCAACCCGCAAATCCACCCGCGGCGTCGCCGCCCGAGCTGCGGCAAGCAAGCAGCAGTCTACCCTCAGCTTCAACCACAAAGTCACCAAGAGCGGCGCCGTAAAATCAGGCAAAGCCAGCAAGCTCTCCACACCCACCGCCACCAAGGTCGAGCCAGAACCCCAAACCCAGACCCCTGCCAGCGAAGACGTAGAGGATATTGAGACGCAGGAGCCAGAGGAGGCCCAAGTAGCGCAGCCAGAGGCCGAGAAGAGCGCTGCGGAGCTGAGCGCCGAGAAGGTCACCGATGCGCAAATCAAGCGCTACTGGAAGGGGGTCGAGGCGGCGCGCATCTCGAAGCGGGTGCACCAGGAGGACCTGAGCCAGGCGGAGAAGGTGCTGCGCTACTTCGACGTCAGCTCACAGTACGGGCCGTGCATCGGCATCCCCCGCACGAAGCGGTGGTACCGCGCCGAGAAGCTGGGCCTCAACCCTCCGATTGAGGTCCTCGCGGTGCTGTTAAGGGAGGAGGGGCAGGGCAACAATGAGATTGAGAGGGCTGCTATGGATCGGCTCATGGAGTCTACGGCCATTGGAAGTGGCTGATCGACCCTTGGAGATGGATCGCTATGCTTTGATTATTCGGAGTTGCGGCACGAGGGAACATACGAACTTTACGATCTCTGGAACTGTGCCGAGGGGATCACAGATGGGCCATACGGCACGAAGGGTCGGAGCGAAAGGCGTTTGCTGCCAGGATATGATTCTATGGCTTTGGTGTGGATTTTGCAAAAACGAAGAGAGCCAGTCTGGCCGGGTATCCCAAATCTTTCGCAGTACGGCAGCAGCTTCGCTACGACATGCGCACAGCATGAGTGGTCACGAGCGCATAAGCTGCTAAATCGAAGGCGTTTCCTCCTCGCTTAATACCAGATGCTCCTTGTCCGGTGGTGCGGAATCGTTTCCTGACCTCGGGACTCCAGGTCCTTCATGAGGTCGTACAAGAAAAAGTCTATCAAGATGGCGTTGATCTCGACGTCTGGATGAGTCCGTTTGATATCCCTGCGAATGAGCTCAACGCACCAAATGCTGCAAGCTTCACGGACTGTCAGCCAACACACCTGTGGCCAAGATTAGAGGGCGCCGTCTTACCTCTCAGCTGAACCTCCCAGCTACTCCCGCTTTCGATGATCTTCTTCTCCTTGACAACCTCGTTCAGGGTAGGGCTGTAGAATATACAGCCCATAGTACTCAAGATCTGTGGGACTCGATAGTCGGCAAACATGGTGATCTTGTCAATGTCTCTGAAGGCGCCATAGTCTTCACCTTGGAAGCAGGCCCAGATGTCAGCTACGAGTATCTGTGCTCGCTTTAGGAAGCGGACGGGTTTCCGCCGCCCTTCAAACTTGGTCTCGTCTCGGAAGCAGGCGAAGTCATCGGCCAGTAGGTTCACGAGACCAGCTGCTGACCCATTGGCGGCTTTGATGCAGTTGGTGAAGCTGCATGAATATTTCTGTCGGGCGCCGTCAGCATTGCGTCAGGCGTGCATTTTCGAAACGGCTCTGGCATAGCTTTGATGCATGTCAAAAGCAACATCGCCCCTCACCGTGAGCACTATGGCGAGGAACCTTTACCACACTGGTGGACTCTTGAGGGAGACTTCCAGAGAGTGAATCAAGACATGCATCCCAGCGTATGCCAGCATTCCACCGGATGGATTATGGTGCACATGTAAGAAAGGGATCAGCATTACCTCGTAAAGCACGTTCCCAGCCTCACGTAGACAGGCGAGGCGCTCCTCAAGCAAGGGTATCTCTTCATCTGTCGTGGACCGAAAGACATGTCTCAGGAGGTCCAGCGTGCATTCGTCCTCGCTCTGCCAGAAGTCGGAACTGGTTATAGGGATGTCTGGCAGCAAAGAAACACACTGTCAATCGCCGCGGCCAGAAAGAGCGGTCACGAGGCCGCCAAACCAACCTTCATCGAGAGCCCGCTGCAAGGCGGCCACCAAGCTCCAGTACCCAGTCCAGGTCCTGTCCTTGTATGAAATAGCGAAGCGCTTGTCGTCGGGTAGTTCCGACCAGAACGAAAAGTTCAGGAGGTCCATTGTGAAGATGAAGTCAACGGTGGCCTCATCCTTGGCCTTGGGATGCAGCTCATGCTGGGACCATGTGGCCGTGGAGTAGCTCTTCTCCTGCATCTGCTTGTAGATGGCGTTGGCGGCCGTCTTGCATGACCACATGTCCAGCGCCACGTCGATGGAGTTGTCGTAGACATACTCGGCGCCCTCGAGCACGCCTGTCTCAGGGTCGGCGTTCGCGCTGGGTTTGCCCAGGATATGCGCGCGGAGCAGCTCCAAGAGCTCGGGATCGGCTTCATCGTCAGACATGATGGCCCTGCTGGTTCTGTTGTGTGCAGGCTGAGGCTTTATTGAGCTGAGGGCTGGCTTTGAACACGAGAATGGTGTTGAATGTGGTGATTGAAAGCATGGAGAACGTTTGAGGGTATTGGATGAAAAGATGTTTGCCCACTTGAGAGTTTTGTTAAGGAGAGACCGGTAGTGGTGATAATGAGCCTTTGGCAGCATTGGCCATCTGAGAGAACTGACTGGGCTCTACTTTTATGTTGTCGATCCTCTTCTGTTCTTACTACACGCAGAAGTTCAGTCCAACATGATTCCCTTCTCGGTTGTTAGACCCAAGAATTCTATTGCAGAGTCACAACAGCTGCCCTGGCCCTGCCGAAGCATTCGTTGGCTGCTATTTCTCGACAGCAGCAGAGGAGCTGCTCTGAGGCAAACGGCAGCTCTTACGTACCTGCCTTAGGGAGGTAGGCAGGTACAAACTGCACAGTACCTGGTTGCGGTACAGGGTACAATACGTCAACCCCTGTCGGCTAACAGGGCTAGCTAGCTTCGGCCTGAGAGCTCCAGACCAGACCAACCTTGGGAATCTGCAGACGTCGGGTCGGGCTTTGGCCTCTCGAGGCTGGGGCAGAGGGATGATCAATACAAAGCGTGATGCGAACCAACACTCTGCATAGAGGACAGACCTCTGCTGACAGCTCTCCTTCCGATTGACTTTTTATCTGAGACTCCGACTTGCGACGAGTCGACTCGACCCTTGTCTTGTCACCTGGCACACGACATCGTTTCGCTCTAGCGCATTGTGAGAGACCTACATACAGCCCATCCGTCTTCCTTTGACACCCTCCTCAGCCTGAACCGTACCACCATCAACTGGGTGCGCGTTAGATGCGCCGATTGCAACACAATGAGCGCTCCCACGGGTGAAGCTCCTCCAGCTTCTGCTGCTACTGCAGAACAACAACCAGCGCCTCCTGCAGGTGCTCAAGTGACTGCCGCCCAACCTTCAGGTGCAGGTGCAGCTGCTTCCCCGAATGTGCCTCGCCCTGCCACGACTCACACCGTTCCGATCGCCCAAGGCCAACCACCTCCAGCTGGCGTGGCACGGCAGCCAGCAGCAGTGACCCGTGACATCTTCAACCAACGATCGCTCGGTAAAGCGCTCAACTCTCAAGTTAAAGGCGTGCGTAATCCCCTCTGGCATTGCTCCCTTCTCACAGATGACTTTGCCTGCCTCTTCCTCACCCACATTGGGCGCTACCTTGACGCAGTCGCAGTGGTTGCGGGACGGACTTCTGCTCGCCTTCATTCTCTCCAGCGGCCCCTCACGCGCTTACCAGCATAATGGTTCAAGCCGACGCGCAATTTGCGAATTCCATCAAACTAATATGGTTGCAGTCTCGGGCCCTGATGGTCGGCGCCGGTGGCATCGGCTGCGAACTCCTCAAGAACCTAGTCCTCCAAGGCTTTGGCGAAATACACGTCGTTGACCTCGACACGATCGATCTGAGCAATCTCAACCGGCAATTCCTCTTCCGCACCGATCACATTGGAAAGCCAAAAGCCCTGGTCGCAAAGGATGTCGCGCAGACTTTCAATCCCCAGGCAAAGATCGAAGCCCACCATGCAAACATCAAGGAATCACAGTTCAACGTCGAGTGGTTCCGAGGGTTCAACATTGTTTTCAATGCGCTCGACAACATGGAGGCGAGACGGCATGTGAACAAGATGTGCTTGGCGGCAGACGTGCCCTTGATCGAGAGCGGGACTACGGGATTCAATGGCCAGGTTCAGGTCATCAAGAAGGGCGTCACCGCCTGCTATGATTGCACTCAAAAAGATGCGCCAAAGTCATTCCCTGTGTGCACAATCCGAAGCACGCCCAGCCAACCGATCCATTGCATAGTCTGGGCCAAGAGCTACCTGCTGAACGAGATGTTCGGTGCCAGCGAAGACGAGTCTGCCTTTGATCATTCAGACGACCAAGATAACGCGAAGGAGATCGAGGAGCTGAAGAAGGAATCCGAGGCGCTGAAGTCTATTCGCGAGTCTGTTGGCTCGGAAAAGTTCCCTCAGTTGCTGTTCGACAAGGTGTTCAAGACTGATATCGAGCGCCTTCGCTCAATGGAAGACATGTGGAAGTCGAGGCAAGCACCCCAGTCACTGGACTACCAAACCTTGCTTGAAAAGGCAGGCGAGGCTCTAGCGGCCAAAGACACGATTCTGCAGGATGGCCAAAAGGTCTGGAGTCTTGAGGAGAGTCTCGTTGTCTTCAACGATAGCTTGGACCGGCTCAGCAAGCGCATGGCCGACTTGAGGAAGTCACACGACGGGTCCGGACCTGCGCCTATGATCGAGTTCGACAAGGATGACGAAGACACACTCGACTTCGTTGCGGCCAGCGCAAACATTCGATCCACCATCTTCGGCATTGAGCACAAGTCTCGATTCGACATCAAACAGATGGCTGGAAATATCATACCAGCCATTGCGACCACCAATGCTATCGTCGCTGGTCTCTGTGTGCTTCAGGCCTACAAAGTGCTTAAGGGCGAGTACAACAAAGCCAAAGAGGTAAGCAGCCGACGGCGCCGCCCTATTGTTCCTAATGTGCATAAGTTGATGACCATATCCAGGCCTTCCTGTCACCATTCTCGTCGGGCTTACCAGCCCGACTCATCTCAGCCGACAGACCGCAACCACCAAACCCGCACTGTCCCGTCTGCAGTGTCTTCCAGACTAGCGCATATGTCGATCTCTCTCGGGCGACCCTGAAGGACCTGGTCGAAGATTTCTTGAGACTGCAGCTGGGCTATGGTGAGAAGGAGATAGCTGTGTCTACTGACGCAGGTATCTTGTACGACCCCGACGAGACGGAGCACCTTTCAAAGAAATTGACCGACCTGGGTATGCGCTTTCCTTCAGGTTCTATCCTCATGGTCGCTAACCCACCCTAGGGATCAAACCCGACACTTTCTTGACTGTCACCGATGAGGACGACGCCGAGCCATTCGTCAACCTAGTCCTTAACATTCAGGAAGCGTAGGTTTCTCGACTCCCAGAGCGCTGTACAGCTTACTGACAGCTCCGTAGCAAGGAAGAACAGCCTGAAAAGCCGGTCAAGGCTCTCTCAGACGACAAGCCTGAGATACCGAAAAAGCCAAAGAAGGAGCCTGCAGGAACCTCGATAGCTGCACCGTCATCGAATGGGAAGCATGAGCCTGATGAAAGCAACCGGGGGTCCAAGAGGGAGCACGAGGACGAGCTCGAGGAGTCAGGTCCGAAGAAGATCAGAAAGACTGGCGACTCGAGCGCAAAGGGCGAGGACGCGGTCGTTGTGGATGACGACGGTGGCAGCGGTGCAATCTTGATCGACGACGACTGAGCGCTGCCTCTTGGACTGCGCCCCTTAAGGCTACGCTGGGCATCTTTGCTCGGTGCCTAGAAAAGACCTGGCTCACGAACTGCCGCGGCTTACGAAACCTTGGTTGGCTGCGCTCAACCCACCGTCAATGTTGAGGACGCAGTTGTTTGCATACGAGTTTGTGGCCAAGAAATAGGCGGCGTCTGCGACCTCTTCGGCTCTGCCTACCCTTCCAAGTGGAATCTGGCTGCTGAGCTTGCCCTCATTGAGGTCTGATAGAGCATGTACATTAGCACTCAATAACTTGTAATGATATGATGAGGAGGCTACAGGGCCTGCGGCATGGAGGATGGAGGCTATTGGGCACTTGGGTTGTCCTAGACACGGTGGTTCAATGCTACTTTGAGTAGAGCTCTAGCTCATGGCCAAGGGTGGACATGAGCAGGGCATTGGAAACAAAGGAACAGGAGTCTAGCAACAAAAGAGGACACATGAAAGCCATCTTTGGGAAGGTCGAAGCCATCAACTTACTCTCAATCATCTGGGTCTGAATGTAGCCCGGGACGAGGGCATTCACCCGGATCTGAAACTGGCCCAGCTCTTGGGAAAGGGCGGACGTGAGGCCTGAGAGGGGTTTGTTTTCTGCTTAGCAATAGATCACAGACAGGTAGATCAAGGCCCAATCACGCCATTGAATCTCCCGGGCAAAAATTGCAAGCTACAATTACAAGGTGAAAGAAGGCATCTCACCAAGAAGACCGGCCTTGCTCGCCGCGTAGACGGACGCGCCGGTGCCGCCCCTGGAGGCCATGACGCTCGAGACGTTGACGATGCTGCAGCCCCGGCGGGCGGCGGCGGCCCTGCGCATCATCTGCTTGCCGATGAGCCTGGACGCCAGCACGGCGGCGCGCAGGTTTGGTGTCGAGGATGGCGGCGATGTCGGCCGGGTCGGTGCGGACGAGCAGCGAGTTCTGCGAGACGCCGGCCGCGTTGACGAGGACGTCGACCTCGTGCCCATCTGCCGCGAGCTGGCGCCCGATGGCGTCCCAGGTGTGCGGGTCGCCGGCCTCGCCTGCGAAGAAGGAGTGCGGCCGGGATGGTGATGCTGCTGCTGCTGCTTTCTGGGTCGGATGGGGCAGCTGGGAGCATGCTGTCTTGAGCGTGTCGGCGTTGCGGGCGACCAAGAGGCATGAGGCGCCCTCGTTGGCCAGGCGGGTGGCTATGGCCAGGCCGATGCCACGACTCCCGCCGGTGATGAGGGCGGATTTCCCTGCGAGGGAGATCATGGCTGATATAAGGCTGAAGTTGAGTTGCAGTCAGTCTGGTGCGCATGCTTCAAAGTATCTGTGCGACCCGTGTCAGTATTAAGCGCACTACCCAGAGAGCTACCGTGCCCAGCTGTGTGTGTCTCGGCCCCGCGGACAGGTCGCGAAAGCTCCACCGGGCTGGGCAAACCCGCGGGGAGCGCATCAGTCTCGCTTTCAGGAACAATTGCCTACTTTTCAGGGGTCCTACCGCCAAAAAGAACCGAAGGGCCCCACTGACGTGACAGGCAGGGAACCTTGGAAGGCTGCTCCTCTTCATCCTTGCCCACCACGCTTTTTCTCGCACGTCACGAGTAGTAGGCAGATTATGGACTGGGGTTGCGGGCCTGGTCAACAGCTGTTTCCTCTCCTCTCTTGACGCCCCCATCGTCCGTTTCGTTTTCCACCCGTGGGGGACCGCACTGCGCTGCACTGCACTGCACGGCTCGAACCAGGCCGACTCGACACGACTCAACTCGACCATCTTATCGATACCGTCCGCATCAACCCTCACTGGCTATCTTCCAAGGTGTCCCACGCTCCTCAATCGCTGCCGCCTGGCTTCACGCCACTCCTCTCAACCCGGTCAATGCCTCTTCGACCCGTGTCTCTGAAGCGCAGCATCACGAACCGAGGCAGGCTGGACACATGAGGAGGAGGGAACCGATCTGTGGTCCATGAATCGATCAAATCATGGCTCCGGCTCAGGCTCAGAGCTCCACGATGCCCCGCCCAACTCTAATCTGCACAGCGCAGACTCGGATCTGCCCAACGGCCACGAGGCCAAGGGCGAGGTCATCGACGCCGGCTTGAGGAGCCTGGACCACTGTATGTCGCCGTCTATCTGCCCGTCCTGGTGCACTTCGCTTCTGGCTCCTGCCTCGCGCTCGTCTGCATGCTTCCCACACGGCAAGCGCATCGTCGTGCACTCCCTGCTGTCGCATTCCCTCCCGCTCCTGGCCTCGGCTCAGGACGACGAGGCCAGCAGACGCAACAATCTGGCCTGGGCTCACTTGGCTAACTCTCGTGCCACAAAGACAGACAAACACTTCCATCATGGCGGTACGACCTCCGGCAAGCCATGCTCCCTCTGATTCGGTGGGAGACGCCCTACCTCGCATACTTTCAGGACGCCGTGCGCACGCCCGCCCTCGATAGCTACTTCGCAATTACGGCCAACCTCGGCACCCACACCTTCTTCATGATCGGCCTGCCCATATTGTTCTGGTGTGGGTTCCCAGCGTTCGGCAAGGGACTGGTACACATCCTGGCCGAGGGTGTTTTCTTCACAGGCTTCATCAAGGACATGTTCTCGCTGCCCCGGCCTCTGTCGCCCCCGCTGAACCGGATTACCATGTCAGGCTCCGCCGCCCTCGAGTACGGCTTCCCTTCCACGCATTCTGCAAACGCCGTCTCTGTTGCTGTGTATGCTGTGCTGTGCCTGCGGTCTGGCGAGAGCTCTCTCTCTCCGACGACGGCGCTAATGTTTGAACTGCTGGGGTATTTTTACGCGGCATCGATCATCATCGGTCGCCTGTACTGTGGCATGCATGGGTTTCTCGACGTCATCATTGGCTCCGCCATGGGGGCTGCCATTTCGCTGGTCGAGTTCTATTACGGCCCGCCGTTCGATGCGTACCTCCAAGCTAGTGGCTGGACCGCGCCGTTACTCGTCGCCCTGACCATCATCGTCCTAGTAAGGGTTCACCCCGAGCCCGCCGATGACTGCCCCTGTTTCGATGACTCAGTTGCCTTTGCCGGTGTTATGATAGGACTAGAGGCCGGCCTGTGGCACCTGGGCGCCGCCAACCTGGACGGGCCCTTCCCGGGTCTCAGCTGGCCCATGACAATTGGGCGCATCGTCTTCGGCGTACTGACGATCATAGTATGGCGGGAGACCATGAAGCCCTTCCTGCTCAAGTCACTACCGTACGTTTTCCGCGTCGTCGAGCGGCTTGGCGTGTCGCTCCCGAGGCGCTTTTTCGTGCCGGCGTCCGAGTATAAGAACATCCCCAACCTTCTCAGGCTGCGCACGGACAACGTCCTGCCCACGATGAGGGACTTCCCCGGGTTCGTCAAGACGCTGAGGGCGCCCACGAGGGGGAGGAGCGTGTCGATCGGGCCGCAGAGCGCGGCGGACGCGTACGAGGCGCTGGCGTACAGGGAGCGCAGGCGGCGCGAGAGCATCGGGTCCAACGGGAGCATGAAGAGCCACGGGGACCTGCGCGAGAGGTTCCAGGCGGACGGGGCGGCGCTCTCCATCACGAGCAGTGAGGATAAGGACCACCACGCCGCGGGGAGGTCGACCGCCCTGGCCGACTATGAGCACCAGATGGGCCACGGGGCGGCGCGGGTCATGATCACCCGCGCGAGCCCGGACCTGCGGAGGTCGCCCAGCCCGAGCACGCCCATGGTGAGAGAGGAGCCGGAGGAGGAGCAGGGAGACATGATCTTTGTGCAGCAGGACCAGGAGGACGAGCTGGGCGAGAAGGAGATGTTCTCGCGGCTGGTCAAGCCAAGAGTCAAATATGACGTGGAGGTTGTCACGAAGCTGGTGGTCTACACAGGTGAGTTCTGGCCCGATCTTAACCCTCCCACACTGTGATATCAGGGCATGTATACTGACATGTAACGCGCCGCAGGCATCGCTTGGCTCGCAGTGGAGGGAATACCTTCATTACACGAGCTCTTAGGTATTGGGATCAGGCACTTGCAGGTGAAATAGACCAACGCCTGTCTGTCAGCAACGGAAAAGCCCCATCCTGTCGGCGCCAGGTGGCATAGTGCTGGACCCCGTTGTGACCCGGGCATGAGATGCCCGCCTGATCGGGTGATGTGTAATCATTAATATACGATGCGTGAAGATACGCCTGTCTATATAAATTCTTTCGATATCGAGTGTTGGGCCTGGACCTGGCCCGCAATTCGGTGCATTACATGGAGTTCATGTTTTTGAAAAATGGTGTCTGCTTTTTTGTTTCTTTGCCCGCGTGGTTCCTGATCCCAAGCCAGGCGAGGAAGCATGTATAGGCTGAAATACCGACCTCACCGTCCGAGCTTCAACCCCTGACCCAACGTCGTAGATCTTCATACGTCGTACTTTTGGGGTGTTCGGCAGCAAAGACACGGAAACCTCGTTCATTCCCCACAGTGTCTCTTATTTGGTTTACTTTTACGCTTTCCCTGTTGATCCAGTTTGCCTCCTTGCGCCTGCGCGTTTACACATGTATGCAATGTGATCCTTTGCGGCTAGATGCACCTTTTCAAAGGCCTGTTATTCTACGCAATGAGGGTCCGGCAAGACGCCATGGTAGCATTTGACTTGATTTGTTTTTGCGTATTTACTCTACACGACCAACGCCATGGAGTATCTGTTTGACAGCTACTGGTGAGGAGAGGCTTATTCCTATAACGAACAGCACCCATGCTACTGACGAGAGGTTTGTGCGCAACGGCTAGCTGCAGGAAGCGGATCGAGAGAAATCAAGCATACACAGGTCACAGGGAGCAGGAGGTACTAGCAACAAACAAACGGGGAATTTCATTCTCGACACGCAATGAGGCCACCTAGTCGGCCTTGGCCTTGACGACCCGATCCCACCGCCGGTACGCCGGCACGCCCTCGAGGAAGGCGTTGCAGACCCACAGGAGCCAGACCCTCGAGCCGCGGGCCACACCGGCCGGGGCGAGGCGCGAGCGGTCCATCCACCAGGCCTCGGCGACGTGGATGGCCAGCACGGGCATGAAGAGCGCCTCGACCAGCCAGATGAAGCCCACGGGGCCCTGGGGGAAGCGGACGGCCTCGAGGGCGCGCCAGGCGGGGGACTCCGGGGTCACGAGCTTGCTGTAGACAAGGCCTGCGCAGAGGAAGTAGAAGGACACGCCCGCGAAGCTGATCCAGTCTGTGCCTTGGGGAGGGACGTGGCGCGGGGCCGCGGGCTGTGCGCCAGGGCCGGAGCTCGTGCTCGTGTCCTCGGCGGCCGGGGTGGCGGCCGGGGCGACGTCGTGACCGTCGTCGTCGTCGAGCCCCAGGGCCTTGCGCGCGTCGGCCGTCATGGCCACCAGCCTCACCCGGCGGTCGTCCCAGGTGTCCATGGGAGGGGTAACAGGGACGGTATGTGTGCCCGACGCGGAGCGAATGGTCATGGCAGTGAGGTCAATGTCTAGCATCTCCGCGCCGTCGGCCTGCGAGACGGACAGGTGGGAGTAGTGCTGCAGGATGGCGGACATGTCGTCGGTGTGGTCCTTGTTCATGTGGGCGATAGTCCGCTTCTTGGTAGCGGGGTCGATGCTGGGGGTTGCTTTTTTGGCGGGGGACGGCGTGGGCTGGGTGGCCGGTGTGCCTGATCGTGAGCGCGCCTGGGCTGCGGCGGAGGAGCGGGTGGTGACCATCCTGGCGGCTCAGCTGAGGGCTGTGGGAGGGGGAGATGATGATGGATGCGAAGACGCGGGTGTTGAATCAATTGGACATGGAGTGGTCTGACAGCCTTGTGCACTGGGATCGGGCGCAAGGTGAGAGGTGAGAGGTGAGACTTGTCAGGTTCGGGATCAAGGATCTGCAGGGTGATGGTCACGTGGTGATGTTGACGACGATGTTGACGATGTTGATGATGCTAGTGATGGTGGTGATGGATGAGTTGCATGGATGGCCTGCTCCGGATGAGCTGCTGACGGGTATAGTCGGGTGGTGTTCTGTAAAATCTGCGGCGACCCCTGTCTGGTGCGCTGCTTGCTCCATGTGGGGATACAGCTGGGCGACCTGGGAAGTGTGGGGGTTCCTGGGGTTGCCCACCCACCAGTTCGTTCGACATCCATCAGCGCTGCTCAACCACTCGATGCCTTCAACACACACACGAGGGCAGTCGCCACGATCCCGGCAACACAAGCCCCAAGAGCACGGATGGACGTGTTGGCATCAAGGTACGAGTGCTCTGTGTTTCAATTGGCCCTCCCGCACAGGAACACGGATCTTTATCGCACGTTTCCTTGCCGCGAGAATCTCGTCTCGTGGACTTCGCACAAGTGTGAGAACGCTGGAGAAAATTACTGCTAGCCCTCCTTGTGCTGCGCATCCTGGCAAAGGTCGGCTCAGAATCACCTCGAGCGCCGCTCGAAGCTGGGAGGATTTGCCAGGCTGGCCAGTCTGAGGACAGTACCACGGCCTGTCCGACCGTCTGCCTGCATTCCACCAGACACCCGAGACAACCTGGTAGGAATGCCGAGCCCAGGTAAAAGGACATTTCCTCGTGTAATATAACGGAAGCCCCCACGTTCCAGAGCACAACACCCCGGCTGGGGTTTGCTCTCGGTTCACTCTCGACCTGGGGCTCTGCCAACTTCCCCAGAATTTCAAGCACGACGACTGGTTCCCGACTTTGTGCCCCAGACACTACCAGACACAGGTTTCTTCCCTTCTCACGCGGCTTTGCCCATAACCTCCACCGTTCTTCTTCTCTGCCCAGCTGTGTTGTGCTCTGTTGTGCTCTTTTCTCCCCTTCTCTTTCGTGTTCGTCTGGCGCCTGCCTCCTCCTTTCCATGCTTGCCATCCCACGATGCTCCTCCCATCGTCGTCATCTCACAGACAACCGTGAGAAGACAGCTCGTCCATTCTCACCCTTGAATCACACTTCATGCGTCTGCCTGTTCCTTTCCGCCAGACGCTAAACACTTGGCTCTGGAGGCACACAACCGTCGTGTGGTATCGTACAATGATGCCCTGCACCGGAATGATACCTCCCTGTCAGCCAGACCAGCCGCTCACTTGAGTGGCATCCTTTGGCGCGATATTGTCAGGGAGCAATTTTCCGTCATCGACCAGAACCAAGGTGACACCATACAGTCAGCAGACTAGACGCACGGTAGTGTTGTCAAATATGATGGCCATGACGGTCTTGGCAGTCGTTCCTCTTCAAGTGCCTTTGACTGGAAAAGGAGCAGGCGAGGCGCTGCGGCCTGTACAATCTCAGCGTGGAGCAAGCTGACCTCGGGAAGGCTGAGGGATCGCGTCGGATCATGGCCTCAACTGTGAGGCCCCCTCAAGCATCAACATGATTCCTTCATGCGTACGATAAGAGAAAGTTCTGGTCAAAACGCAACAGCAAACCACCGTCTTGCGCAGTATAGGCGCACGCGGGCAACCTGGTGCATGCAAGAGATCTGAGCTGCAGACTCACATTGAGAATCAGAAACGGGCTTCAGTACTGATTTCCTCTCAACACGACCCCCTGGAGTGTAAGGTCTTGGGTCGTTCCCTGTCTTTCTTTCCGTTGAGAAAATATCAAACTGACCGCGGACAGAGCTGGTACTCCGAAGACCCCGCCTCCTCCATGGATAGAGTCCAAATCTATGGCGAGGTCGCCATTGAGAGACACTCTTTCCGCTAATGCACACATCCAGTGATGCACTGAACCAGACCCCAGCGAAGCCAATCGGCAAGCTGCTCCACTCCAGCGGCAGACTCGATCATCAGGATGGAACGGGGGAGTCGATCGCTCACTGCGGTATGATACGAACCACCGGGCTTTGGAAACCCGCGTCGAGAATCGGTATCATCACCAGCAAAGACTTGCATGTCCCATTTCGAGGTGAGAGTTGGCTCTAGGCATGCCAAGCAATGGGACAGCCTCAGGATTTAGGCGGCGATATCCTTTGACCACGCATCGACCGACCGCCGACGACACCCATACCAAAGAGGTGGGAATCATGGGAAAATCAGCTACAAAGACGGCTTACATATGATATGACGCAGCCGCTGATGGTGGACACTTTATGCATGCTACTACCATCGGTACTGCTTGGAACGGCTTGCGACAAGAACAGCACAGCCGACCACATCTCACCAGCAAGCTTGATCACTCCGCGGGCAGCCCACCTTGCCACTGATAGTCCTGTCAAGGTCGCATCTGGTCCTAGCGAAAATTGGGTCAAAGACACCGGTGGAGCTCATTGTGCAACGCGGCCATATTCCGTGGATTTTGACAGCGCAAGCCGCAGCGACAGATCAGGGTGAAGACCCTTGCGGCTTCAGGACTATCAACACCATAGCCTTTGCAGTCGGGCTGGGCAAACAGTATTCGCCATGTTGTCCTCGTATGCTCTGCAGATTCGTGGAATGATGATTACCTCCAGAAGTCGAGCAATCTTGGCCAGAGAGGAGGGGGCTCAGCTGACGTTGCGTGCAGGATGGGCATTGTCTTCACCGCGCTGGGGCTGAGTTGTTCGAATCTCGCAATCGAGGACGACAGGGTTTCACTCAAGACCCGCATCAACCAAGCAGTGCAACGAGAACCTTCGTGGAGGGCAGGGAAAATTCAGAGGTAAGGTTCAGCATCCAGCTATGGTGTTATACGCTGTTCCACAATGTCAGACGTGCAGACTTTTCCAGCACGACGCTGCATCAGGTCTCCACGTGTGTTCAAACGCTGTCGACCTCAACGCATTTTGACTCATTCGGAATATCTATAAAGAGGGTGCGAGCCCTCACATCGCTCGGAGAAGGAATACGATGACTGCAAAGCAGGTCACCCCCTGCCGTAGCGACACGGACAACTGCTGGCAGCAATGATGAGGGCTCGACCACGATGCAGCCTACACCTGATCGACCGATGTTGAAGCGACTCGTGGGCCGTACCATGCAGCCCCTACAAGAAGAAATGACGTTTCGGACACTCCTACTCGACTACGACGATTGAGGCAGCATGCGTCATAGAAAGTCTTGATGCCCGGGGCATTTGCCTGGCGATGTGTGTTGGAACCGAGCAAGCTGCTACAATCGAATCTCAGCTGGCCAGTTCCGGTCTCCTGCTGCCTGGGTCATTCCATCTCGCGGCCTCTCCGTTCCTCCTCCGGGTCAGCTCGTCCGGCTCCAGTCCAACCACGCGAGGTCGCTATCACTCCCCGCAAGCACAGGTACCTACTTGCAAAGGCGATGTCGGGCAATTTCCGCCCAAGGCGTCTAGCAAGCGTAGGGCGTACCTCGGGACAATTGCCTTGGTTTGCTGTCGCTGCTCAGTTCTGGGAACAAGATCAGAGGGGCAGGAATCATGGCAGCGTTCTGCTGCTTCGTCAATCTTCACGATCATGGAAGTTGGCCATGACTCTGATTGGAATGGGACACGATGCTCTGCAAGTGCAGAAGCATTGATGGGCCGCTGTCGGTCAGACAGGCAGTCCACCGTGGAAAGGGGTTAGGGATCGGCGAATCTTTCGCAGCGACGCTCGGCGGGATGCAACGTCGGCGGAATATCTATGCACTGTCTCCCAACAGTTTTCTCTCTATCTCGCGCAGTCAACCTCGCTGTATCAACATTGCGGGATTTCAGATATAATGCTTAACTTCAATGCCAGGGTGGCATTCGGGTGAAGAAAACGTGGCCAAGGAGTATCAATCTCCTACGTCAGCCAGGTTTCGTTGTTTCTTGGAAACGGGCGGCATTTTGTCCGTCTTCATGACGATGTAATATTCATGGAGCCGGCCGCGTTTTCCCGGTCTCATTCGACCTGGACCACTATCGTATTGACAGCCCAAGACAGGGAGGTGCCTGCTGGCGTGGCGCTGCCGTCGACCTCGCTCTTCCGAGCCTCAGGCGAAGGACGTGCCATCTCGGAGGCTCTGCGGCTCAAAATTTGATCCTCATGGGTCCCTAGCGAGATCCGACTTTCCCGACCAAACGGCCCGTTTGACGGGTCCTAACAGTGGGTACCTGCACACGGCATCTGGTCCTCTCTGATGTGATATTCAGGCCGCTGGCTGGCGGGAGCCGCCTCGGCATTCGTGACTTGGCGGCTTGGCCCCACGCAACGACACATCTCTGCGCCCCAGTTTAATCAGCCGGTCTCGTTGTGTCTTCCAAGGACGGCGATCGTCCGAGTCCAGATCGGACGACTCGCAGTCGACTCGCAGTAGCCACTCCTGTCTCTCGTCCCATGCCGGCGCAAATTCGTAAGGAACCTCAGCAAGCTCTTCGACCTGCCTCGAGTCAGTCGGTGGCGCGCGAAAAGTTGGACAGCCCTCACGCCCTCACAGACTGCACCACGTCTCCAGAGCTGCACGCTCGCTGGTTACGTCACAGTCTCGCCCGCGCGGTGCCATCCTGCAATGAACGGCTCGTGCTTTAGAGCTGGTGATTTTTCGGCCGTTCCTCGTAGTGCCGCACCCCGGACCCTGGCGATGGAACCGTGGGGTGTCGTCGAGGTGAGGCTGATCTAATCAAGCCACCGTCTGGAGAACCACGCCTCCGCTGCACGATGGCCGCTCGGCCAAGTCTCCGAGCTACTGGGACTAGACTCGACCAGCCACGATCGCCTCGCCCGGCCTCAACAACGGCCTCCTATTCCCGTGATGGCACGTCGTGTGTTGCATTCTCAGGCAGGATGGCATCCTCCTCTACGGGGAGGTTGGCGAGCAATCATGCGACTGTCGCCGGCCCATCGCCAGAGGTTGCGGTTTATTTTCTCTCTTTCGGGCGTACTCTCGGCGCGGACGTTTTGCGGATGATGAGAGATCTCCAGGTGCAGCTCCGCAAAAAGATTCGTGCATCCCCACAAGGTTCATCGCCCAGACCGTGACGATCATTCCAGGCCTTTGGCTCTCGACCATGGCCCCCCGATGGCCCCCGGGTCGCACGCCAAACCACCGCCGCGTCCAGGAGGGTTCCGCTGGACCCGCCCGAGATACCTGTGGTGACAATGCAATGTTTTGTCACCCCACGATACCCAAACCTGGTCGGTCACGCTCCCCAAGCTGGACGCCCCGGCGACTGTTCTCCAGTGTCTCCATGCCACTAGCCCATGGAGAAGACTACGGAGGTCTGGAGTCACCCTCGTGACATGCCCGCAGAAGCCACCATGGAATTCTTCCCCAGCCCATAAAAGCTCTTGATCCCGCTATGGTCTTGGTGCTTGGACATCATTACGATCAGGCTTCACACCTCGTACATCTAAGCATCTTTCCCCAGATCTAAATCTACATCTCTCCCCTCGAGTCCTACTCGACATCGCCCTGCTTTGCGACACCTCCAATCCCAACAACGCGTGTATCGCACGGCCAATATCACATCAACAAATATGTCTGCGGCAGAAACACCGGCCAGCGGTGCCTCAACGCCACCAAATGGCCACGAGAAGGAGACCGCCGCCAACGACTATGCCGGCAACTACCCTCCCGTCAAGGTCCTCAACCTCCGGGTCACCGTCATGGGCCTGCTGGTCTCTCTCGGTGGTTTCATCTTCGGATGGGAAGGTGGTTCCATCTCCGGTTACACGCAAATGGCAAACTTCAGGGACCACTTCGGCGACACCCAAAAGAACGGCGTCCTGAGTCTCGGTAACGTCCGGCAAGGTCTGATGGTCGCCATGCTCTGCGCTGGTTGCCTGGTTGGCGCTCTGGTCTCTGCTCCCGTCGCCGATAAGTTCGGCCGCAAGTACTCCATCACCTTCTGGTGCATCGTCTACATCGTCGGCAACGTCGTCTGCATTACCACCACAGACAAGTGGTACCAGGTCGTCATTGGCCGTCTTATTGACGGCTTCGGCATCGGTGCGCTCTCCGTCCTGACGCCAATGTACCAGTCCGAGACCGCGCCCCGCCAGGCCCGTGGTGCCCTCGTCTCCGCCTACCAGCTGTTCATCACCCTTGGTATCTTCGTCGCCTACTGTGTCAACTACGGTACCGAGGCCATCGAGTCCGAGAGCTCATGGCGCATCACCATGGGCATCGGTTTCATCGCCCCCGCCATCATGGGTGCCGGCATGCTGACCATGCGCGAGTCTCCCCGCTGGCAGTACCGCCGTGGTGGTGAGGCCGAGGCTGCCCAGACCCTGGCTCTTATCTCCTGCGTCGAGCCCGACCACCCGGAGGTCCAGCACGATCTGGCCGAGATTCGCGAGAAGTACGAGGCTGAGGTTGCCGACGGTGAGCCCAAGTGGTTCGAGATCTTCACTGCCCCGGCTATGCTCCGTCGTGTCCTCGTCGGCATGTCCCTGCAGGCCCTGCAGCAGCTCACCGGCGCCAACTTCTTCTTCTACTACGGTACCCAGATCTTCTCGTCCGTCGGTATCTCCAACTCGTACATCACCTCCATGATCCTCGGTGCCGTCAACGTCTTCTCCACCTTCGGTGGTCTGTACGTCGGCCAGAAGTTCGGCCGCCGTATCTCCATGATCGTCGGCGGTGTCTGGATGTTCATGTGGCTCATCATCTTCGCCTCCCTGGGCTCGTTCGCCCTGTACCCCGATGGCAACCCCAACGACCCTAACGCCCGTACCAACTCCTCCGTTGGCTCTGCTATGATTGCCTCCGCTTGCTTCTTCATCGTCGGCTTTGCTGTTACCGTAAGTTTCTACATGCCCCATAAAACACACTCTTTCGTGAGATCGACTCCGCTAACCCGCACTCAAATAGTGGGGACCTCTTGTCTGGGCCATTGTCGGTGAAATGTTCCCGTCCCGCTACCGTGCCGTCGCCATGGCGCTCTGCACCGCCGCCAACTGGCTGTGGAACTTCCTCATCTCCTTCTTCACCCCCTGGATCACCGCCGCCATCAGCTACCGCTACGGTTACGTCTTCGCCGGCTGCTGCTTCCTCGGTGTCCTCATCACCTTCTTCTTCGTCAACGAGTCCCAGGGCCGCTCCCTCGAGGAGGTCGACTCCATGTACGTCCTTGGCGTCATCCCCTGGAAGTCAAAGTCCTGGAAGCCCCTCGACGAGCCCGTCACCACCGACAGGATGCACTTCAAGCCCGGCGCGCGCGACTTCTCCAAGCCCGAGACCCCCGCTGCTGGACACCACGATGGTGAGCCCTCTGGGCCCAGCAATGCTGTCTAAGGGACAGTACTTGAGAGCAAGAATGCGTGTGTGGATTAATGAACGATGCGACCACAAAATCGGTCCTCTGGAGCTGAGGATCACATCATGAATCAACGAGTGGAAAGAAATCATCAAGAGGAGGAGGGATGAGAAGTCCAGAAGGGGACTTGTATGTATATATGTGTATATTTGGGAGACGAGTCACTACTACTGTGTTTTATAATGGTCCTGTACCACCACACACTGCCTACTAGGCAAATCAGATACCCCTTTGAAAACGATATCTGGCTTTGAGTCACAACTGCTGAAGGGAGAAGAAATTCTCGCTGTTTCTGCCTTCGTGCTGATCCCATTTTATCTCGCGTGCTCTGGCCAGAACCCCATCGCCGGCCCCGAATGCGTGGTGGTGATAAGAGGTTCTGATAGCTCCCAAACGTTGTGGTTGGCCAAGAACGTGTGGTCCTCCCTCTGACGTGCTCGAGGTGCCCTCGCGCTGCTGAGCCGCGCGAGCGCGCGCACACGTGGATATTGCTTGGGCGACGCGTGCTTCTTCCTGGCACGGTCCGGGTAGATCCCGGTGAGACTGATCTTTCAGAGTCCGTCTATGGCAGACAAAGTATCTGAAAGAATGGGGACTTGCGTCCGAGGTGTGCGCATGAATCTGATTATCGTACTGTGCGTCGCGTCTTCGTGGTCTCGGAGATGACCCGGGCGGGTCCACTTCAGCCCTACACTAAAAAGCGCCGAAACAGGTTGACAGGTTAGGTGGCTGGACTCTTTTCGGACGGACTGTGTGGGTCGCCAGGCCCCTTTTGGACGGGCGTGGTGTGCCGTCGCATCGCCCCGGTTAAGCACTCGCCCGGTGCTGCTATGGGTGCTCAGGGTGCTGCACGCCTTGAGCTCCCATGGTTGTCACCCAAAGTGAAGATCGTGCGGGATGTGAGTTACCGGACTGGTTGCTGGAGGGATGTGGTCTTGCAACCCAGGCAGGGAAAAGCTTTGTGGTCTGACATCTGCCGTCACGCAGTGGTGTCGAGACTCTTTGGATGAGCTACCTCAGAATTAAAAGGTCACAGGAGCCCTGTTGTGTCCCAGTACCTAGGTATGTAGATGTTATTAATTCTGCAAGCTGTTGGCATTGCCCGCTTCAGTGTCACAGGGCTAGGGTTCTCTCAGTGGCGCTCATCCGGTCACATCAGAAAGCCAGCCAGTCTACAACACCAAGGTGCTCGACTATCTTACTTCTTGGAGCTATGCCCGCGAGTACAGCAGCATTGATGCAAATGTACCACATCGTCCCAGCTGGATCCAAAAATTCTCTTGCCGTGGCAGTTTTCCTGGAATCATGTTTCGCAGATTTGAGAGCATATTACATGCAGGAATGATATCTGGGCAGCTAGAGAGGAGAAAATGCAATTCGATAGACTGTTTCTAACGTTAATGCCAGGCTGTCTCAATAATACAACATCAACATATCGAAACAGCACCCGAGACCTTCCAAATTTCCAACAAGGCCCAAAGATGAGAACGATAATCTGTGCAAGTATAACACAACGCCGAGACTGGATGATGCAAATTCCTAGGGCTAGCTTTTCAACTCCTACATCGCAAACTGTCGCTTCTTGATGTGCACCACCGGCGGCGGCTTCCTCCACACAACCCAGGTCTTGTGCTGCGAGTAAGGCAGCGTCCAGTCCACTCGCGAGACGACGGGTCCAGCCTCATGTCCAACTCCCAGAGCAGCCGGGCCATGATCAGGCGCATCTCTTTGTAAGCCAGGTGCTTGCCCACGCAGTTACGAGGGCCGTACGAAAATGGCTGGATCGCGTCCCGCTTATCGGGTCCCGCTTATCGGCGTACAACGGGGACGACGGGTCTTGAGACGAGCTGGTCAGCCATCTCTCGGGTGCAAAGGACTCGGGCTGCGCAAAGTTGGAGGCCGACAGGCCTGCAGAGGACATGTGGACGCCTACGCGGGTCTTCACAAGGGATCCATCGTCGTCAGCGTTATCTTTCGTGAGATATTAGGAGACTGTTGGGAAGTTGGGGGGGGGGGTCTCGGGATGGTGGTTGCCGCCCAAGGTGGATCACTTACCCCGGGTGGAAGATATACCCCGTCAATGTGGATCGGCTCTCCAGTCTGGGGGACGGACCTCTCGAGCACTGTCGCCACAGGTGGGTAAAGCCTGGCTGTCTCATTGAGCACGGCAAGCATATAAGGCAGGCGTGCGGTGGCATTAGTGAAGTTGATGTCGGCCGCTGATTCGAAAGCATTCCGTACTTCTTCCACTGCTCTCTTGTGCGCGTGGGGAGTTGCCAGGAGGTAAAACGTGCAAGCCGTCAACAATGTGGCGGTGGTGTCGCTGCCGGCCACGAAAAGCGTGTTCGCGCTCGTGATGAGCTCCTCCGTGGAGGTGATGGCCTTCTCGTCTCTTCCCCGCAGCAGGCCTGGCATGAAATCCTTACGAGACACGTCTGATTCGTTTTCCAGCCGCTTGCCTACCGCCTTCCTAGTGAAACTGAGCTGACTTAGGAATCCCTCCGCTACACCTGGCGCCACCACCGGCCTCACGAGCCGTGCCAGCGGGCCGAGCAAGCCATCGAGGACGAACAATTTCTTGCCTCTCTCTATAAATAAGAGCACAGAGGTCACCACGTGGTGCAAGTTGTTGTTTTCGAGACCGCCCAGAGACTCGCCAAAGGCCAAGTCGGCAATGATATCAAAGGACGCGATGTGGAACCACCTCCCCATCTCCGCCGGCACACGGGACTCTGCCACGTCCGACAACTTCTGCACCGGCAAGTCGACGTAGCTGTGGACCAGTGGCTCCTGTTCCGCTAGTGATCTTGGGGAGAAGGCGTGGTTTCCATCATCCGCGCTGAGGATGTTGGATTGAGGTTCGAGTAGCTGGTTGGTAAAGAATTTGGGAAACTGCCCGTGTGCGGGACCGTAGATGGGTTTCCAGGCCTGGCTTGTGGTGAAAGACATGGCGTTCGGCGCATAGCGCACTACGCTGCCATACCTTTGGTGGAAGCGGCGAATATCTTGGTCGAAAGTGCCGAGGAGGGTCTTTAGCTTGGGTATAATTGGGATTATGGTCCAGGACTTGGGACCCGGAATATGATGTAAAGGGCCGAAGTAAGCCTTGTATATGCCCTTGTGTCAACGCTGACAATTGTCTTGGTTACTAGTTCGGCTCCAATCGTCTACACTGCGGAAGGCGGGCAAGTTGCGAAGCGACTTTGGAGAGAAACGATGGAAGAGCTATCCTTTGCTGGGGTTCAAGATATCGTGGACGCCTTCGGCATTTCCTGATGCAGTTACTACACCTTGAAATCTCGCTGGGAGACCGGTTGACACTTGTGCCGAACATGCCCAGGTTGGGTTCAGAGAGCATCTGGACCAAACGCCCGAAGATCCGGAGATGACGATGGGTCGGAGATCTTGGGAACGGGGCTGCAGTGCGTGTTGTTGGCCCAGTCTTGGTCCTGCTTAGGTGATCCCAAGGACACATGAGAATACCAGGAGCCGTTCACAGCAGTAAGATGATCGAATTTCCGTAATTTAGAATTATCCTTTTGGGCTGTGAAGGAATAATTAGCCAGATCCAGCGCCAAGGGCCAAGGATCGAGGGAGCGCTGCAGCCTACCTGCAGGAACCGGGGCCACGGAGCGGCCGAGTGGTTGGTCGACATACGTTTGTTTGTTAAGAAAGCCGACAGAATGCTTTCAGAGTATTTTTTGTCTGTTGTTCTAGAAAATCATTCGAACTGATAAGACGAGAATGGTAGGCGTGTTGGCTGCACCTACATAGGTAAGAACGGCCGCTCAGGACCCGACGAGGACCGCAAATGTGACGGCCGCGGTAGATACAAGCATGCTCGTCAACATAGCAGGAAAGTTAATGGGAGTCACCGCTCTAATGTATCGTACGCCGCTTTCATCCCAGGGATAAAAATCCATTGACCCACACCACCAAAGCTCAGGGGCAATAAATGTCAGCTCGGCGCTAGTGATGGGAAGGAGGTGCTAGTGTCAGCTTGAGAGATATCTGTTGATACACACATTTGAGACTGGATATTAGCTCCGTCCTACATTTGTTATCCATGACCATTGTAGATACAGTCAGACTCTCCCTGGGAGTCTGACGCACACCCCGCTCTTTCTCATGGCAATCTCGGTCTATTGGCCATTGGATCATGACACTATACCGAAAGTTTGTACGTATAAAAGCCGGCAGCAAAATATGGATAGTCTCGTCGCGAAACATACTTCCTATCTCCAGCTTCTACATCTCTGCGGTCCCTATCTATGCCCAAGCAGTGACCATAACTTCACTACCCACAATTACCACTCTCAACAAACTGCACCTTCGCGCTATCCGACACAATGCAGCTGTCGAGTCTGGTTTGTACCGCAGTCCTGGCTCTGTCCTCGTTACGGGTGGCTGGCGAAACCTACTGCGGTGCTCTAGAACAGTCTAACCCCAACTCGCCATCGATCACCAGTGTCTCGGGCACAGTCACAGTACCATCGGACCTTTCCCAATTCGAGGGTTCTGGATTCCGGGCGTATGTTGGCGTTACAGGCCAGTCATGCATCAATGACTACGTCCAAGTCAATTTAGACATTAATGTGAGTCAAAATCATCTGCCTCGTCCAAAACGGGCCAGAGATTCGAGCCCGTTCCCAGACTTGGAATAGGCTGGGGCACGAGGCTGTGCTTGTTGGTAGGTCTCTCGTATGTATGATAATCGTATAGGAAGCAATCGTGTATTAGTGTTATTCTATTTAAGTTTTAAGAGGCTATATACCTTAAAGGGGATAATTAAAGTAGCCTTTTAAGTATAAGGGTTATACTTACTAATACTTATAATTTTTTTCTTTTTTTAATAAATATATATAATTTTTATTATAATTAGTTTAAAATTATAATTTATTATATATTATATATATATAATTTTTATTAAAAGAAAGCATTATTAAAAAGGCTTAAAATTATAACTTATAAGTTTTAAAGCAAGTTTTAATAATTCTTATTATTATATTATTTTTTAAACTTATAATCTTTATTATTATATTATCTCTTAAATATTATATTTATTATTCTTAATATTTAACTTTTAAGATTATTTCTTTATAAAGATTATTAACTTTTATATAAGGATTTTAATTTTAAATTTCTTCTTTATAGGAAAAGTTAATATTTATAAAGTTAATATTAAACTCTTTAGCTTATATTTATTTTATTATATATCTTTATAATATAAATATTATTATTTTTATCCTTACTTTTATTATTAAAATATATTTAATATTGCTTTAAATTAATTTTTTTTAATTACTTTTTATTTTCTTAAAATTAAGCATTATAAATAACTTAATTATTTATTAAGTTCTTTTCTTACTTTTTATTATTCTTTTTAATCTTTTTAATAATTATTTTTTGCTTAAATTACTTAAGTAATAATATATATTTTTTAATAAATTCCTTTATATATAAGCCTTATATATATTTATTAATAATTTAATATAAAAAGTTTTAAATTTAAGTTAATATAATAATTTAATTCTTTAATAGCTAAATCTTTTTAATTTAATATATATAAAAGATACTTAAGATTAAAATTCCTATTAAGTTATTTATTATAAAGATTATAATAATTTAATATTTAAAATAATAATTACCTTAATAATTTTTATTATTAAAATATTATATAATTTTATATTAAAAGTTTTAATGCTTTTAATATAAATATATAGCTTTTTAATTATATTATTAAAAAATATTTATTTATTTTAATATTAAAAGTTATTAATAATTTAAATAATAATTATTATAATAACGTTATTTAAGAAAAGTATTTTAACTTAAGTTATAATTATAACCTTTAGCTTATTAATTTTAATAATTTTATAAAAGTTAATCTTAATAAATAACTTATTCTTTTTAATGCTTAATATAAAAGTAAAGTTAAAGGTAATTTTTATAATTTTTATTAAGGTTTTATTAACTTAATTTTAATTATCTTTATTATTAATAATAATTAAATTACTATTAATATTAAGTAAATAAGAATTATTATTATTAATATTCTTATTAATATTTATTAAATAAGTAAGTAAATAAAAGTTATTATTATTAATATCCTTATTAATATTTATTAAATAAGTATTATTAATAATAATTTTATTATAAGAATTAATAAGATTAATAAGCTTATCTTTATTTTTATTAATTAAAGTAATTTTAACTCTTTTTATAGCCTTAATAATAATTTTAATCTTTATCTTATTACTTATTAAGAATATAATTGCAATATTTATTTTATTAATTAAAATTATAATTATAATATTTATTTTATTAATTAAAGTTATAATTATAATATATATTTTATTAATTAAGGTTATAATTATAATATTTATAGGGAAATCTTAATTTTATTTAAGGATTGTAATAAGGCTACTTTTAATATTAATTATATTAATAATAGCTATAATAATAATTATATTAAATATATTTTTAATGTAAGTAGTAAATATAATATTTATTAAATAATTTTGCTTATTATTATTATTCTTATAAGGTATATTAATAAAAGTATTAAATAACTTTTATAAGTTATTTATAGTTATGGACGTGCCATAGGGGGATAGCAGCACTAGGCATGATAGGCACTATGGGCAATAAGCACTATAGGCAATTAGCATTAAAGCACTGGCAGGCAAGGGTTATGTGCGGCAGTATGTAACTACCCCTAGATAATTTATAGCTAAAGGGAGGTTTTGCAGCCTATGGCCGCAACCCTCCTTCCTTTTATATAGCCGATTTAAATATAACCAGTTTATTATTAATTAATATATATTAACTTAATTAATATTAATTAATAATTACTTATAAGTAGTTATAAATAGTAAGGTAAGCAAGTAATAAATTTATATTATTATTAATTAAGCGGTAATTATTAATAATAGGAATTATTATAATTAAGTTGCAATATTTATACTAAATAATTAATATTAATATTATAAAGATAAGCAATCATTAATAATAAAACCCTATTTAATTAAATATTAATAGCTATATTATAATTAAAATTAATAAAAAGAAATTAATAATGCCTTAATCTTTTTATTATAAAGATTTAACCTATTAATTAATAAGTCCTTAGTAATGCCTTGGATTTATTAACTATATAATGCATTTTATTATATAATTAATGCTAAAAATGCCTATAATTACTTTACTTTAATATAAATAACAACCTATATTTACTTAAGTTAATAAATATTCTTTAATAAATACTCTTTTATTATATAATTAATACTCTCTTTTTACGCTTTAAAACAACCTTATTATATCCCTTTAATTACCCTTTTTCTTTTCCCTTATATATAAATTACTTAAATATTTTAATAATTTAATAAAATAACTAAATTTAATAGTAATGCTAAGGAAATACCTTTAAATGTTAATAATGCTTTTATATAAGAACTTTAGTTATTCTTTAACTTTAATAAAAGGTTTTAAAGTTAATAAATTAATCTTAATTATTAAAATAAACTAATAATAAAGGTAAATAGCATAATTAGTTAAGTAAATATTATTATTCTTAAGTTTATAAAGAAAATAATAAAACGCTAAAATATAAATAATAATTTACTTTAATGCTTTATAAAAGACTTTGCTTTTTAAAATATAATAATATTTAAAAAGTTAATTATTATTTAAAACTTTAAGAAATTCCTTTAAGAAAAAGAAGTTAATATTAAAGGAAGCGTTAATAAGCAATATACTAACTTAAAAGTATTACTTATATATAATAAGTATTCTTTATAGTAGGAAAAGGAATTATATAAGGTGGCTAATATATATAAACTCTTTAGGTTTTATACTTAATGGTTTTAATTTTAAAAGCTAAAGATAATAAATACTTAAGAAATACCTATTATTTAAGAAATTTAAGAAATCTTAGTTATTAATATAAT